TACAAAAAGCTCGGTCGTGCTTCGGACATTCAAGTCTACACCATCGAGGAGGCTAAGAAGTTGTACGGCGGTCTCTACGAGGAAGCCGACTACACCGGTGCCAAGGAGGTCCTCGTTAACAGAAACAGTGGCTGGGGAGCTGCAGGCGATTCTCTCCGCGCTGTGACGCGCGAGGCTATGAAGCTGGGCGTCAAGTACATCGTTGCAGATGTGGCTACGGTGCAGATTGAGAACGGCCGCGCCACAGGCATCCAAACGGCCAAAGGCGAGATCATCTCGGCTGATACAGTTATCCTGTCTACCGGAGCATACACAGCCAAGCTTCTAGAATACAGCGCTGCACGCCACAACCTGCCTGATCTCCGATCTGGTGATCGCATCACAGCTGCTGGTATCACTACCGGCATGGTCACGCTTGATGACCAATCATTCGCCAAGATGAAGGACATGCCCGTTGGCTTCCAAGGATATACCTACAGACACAGTGAGTTTAAACCCGGGTGACATACGTCTTCTAGAACATCAACTGACGCCGGCTACAGACTCTCCCTTTATTGGCAGTCTACCGCCTACCAAGGATCGCGAGATCAAGTGGTGGGGTCGCAATATCTTCAGCAACCACCGCGCAGTCCTCCCAGGCCGTGTCGTCTCCGCACCACCAGATGAGAAGGACTACGCTCAATGGAAGGTCCCCAACTCACTAAAGGAAGATATTGACAACGCCAACCGTCTGTTCTTCGGTAGCAAGGGTGCGCACTGGAAGTACGAGAAGCACCGCATCTGCTGGTATGTAAAACCCCCACCATGACGACGAGAGAAGACCGACTGACACCGAATGTTACAGGGACGCATTCACATCTAGTGGAGATTTCATCATCTCTCCGCACGCAGGTGCCAAGGGTCTGTACGTCGCGACATGCGGCTCGTTCCACGGATACAAGTTCTTCCCTGTGCTGGGCAAGTACGTGGTGCAGATGCTCGAGGACAAGCTCGAGCCTGAGCTCAAGGAGAAGTGGGCTTGGGACAGGGAGCGGCCCGATGCATCCCTCAACTGCGAGTTCCCCAACTCGGAGATGAGGGACTTGTTGGATCCCGCTGCTAGACTGTAGAGTCAAGGTAGCAATACATAATAGAAGCATGTAAAGAAGGACGGATGGAAGATCAGGGAATAAACAGAAGAGAGGGTAACATCCTCTGAGGGGAATAACTGCGGGGGAGACGAGTCGGGATTAAGGGAGATGTGATTGGGCGTTGAACGGCATAATTACGAGCATAATGAACGAATTGAGATTCTTGTTACTACCATGATATGGTCCAAGTCATCCGTGATCGCCTTTGCCAAGCAGAATGTCCTAAGCCAAGCAATGTTTAAACTGCGTTGTCGGAGTATGCTGCGTAGAGTTGAAGGGTTGTGTATCTTGGGCTTCTCCTCATCTCCACTCTTATCTAGCACCCTGGACTAGTTAGGTGATCATTGATCCACAGCGCGTTATCTCTCCCCGACAGATCTCCGTTTGTCGGAGTGAGGCGGGGACCAGGTGAGCTGTGTTTCGGTGAAGCAGAGATAGTTACTTCTGGAAGCTCTGATAGAAGGTGGGTGCAGGGGACGTGGAGAGTTGGGTGTCGGCAGTGGGAAGATAACGAGCGGTATGACCGAATGGTTGGAGATAGGGAATTCTACGGTGAAGAGTTTTCACCTTGTCTGCTTTGGGGAGTGACTCGATAGATACCGTGTAGTGTTCAAATCACCAGACCAAACACGCCGTCATGGCAAGTTATCCCACGTTGTGTCGTGCTGTGCTGTAACGGATGCTGGGATGTTCTATGTTTCCCTCTCAGTGGGCCTCATCTCTGACCGGGAGTCACACTATCCACGCCCCCTTGTTCCCTTCAGGCACTTCGCATTAGCCTTAGCCAGTCCGTCCAATCCCTGGACAACCCACTAAGCTTTTTGCTTCGTACCAAACCCCGCGTTATCAGCAGCGCAGCGCAAGGACCATGAGGAAGAGTTATTCTAACGCACACACGCACGCAGTCCGTTTAACCAGTAGGCAGTGCGGGGTTTGCAACAGTAACTGTAAGCCACCCCAAACTGCACTGTATCGTGGACGCCAAAAAGCTCCAGAGGTCCAAGACTAAGGTATTTAGTGGAAGCGGGCCCCTTTACAGCGAGCGAAACAAGGTTCACCAACTCCTACGCCATCAACTTTTTTTTATTCATTATTATTCTCCTCGTCGGGACATTCCCTCCCTCCCCTTCCCTCTTCTCTCTTCCTTGTCTCAAATAATAATACCTTCAAAATGTCAAGATCTTCAATGTCACCCACTGAGGAGAACAGCAACACCAGCAACAACAACAACAACCCTCCCACTAGCAGCCGCGGCAGACGACGCTCTCACCACGCCTGTCTGACTTGCAGGTTGGCAAACACATACTGCGATGTCGCGTCTATCACAGCTGTACTGATTTGAGAAACCCAGACGAAAGAAGACCCGTTGCCCAGGCGAGAAGCCAGCATGCTCCAGCTGCGTCCGCCTCAAACAGTCATGCTCTTATCCCCCGGCAATCAGGCCCACACAGAGCGGTCCCTCGGTACGTTGTGCATGGGGTTTTGCATACGGAAAAAAAACATAACTTGACGATTTTAATTAGGAGGAGAGATTGGCCCATCTGGAAGAGAAGCTTGACTTTTTGCTGAATGGAAGCTTGTAAGTTTTGTTTCCTTGTTCTCTGACGCTTACAGTGGGAGGGGTTCTAACCTTTTGGGCGTTACAGGCCTACGCCACAACAAAAACCGAACCAACACCACCAGCAAAACCACCACCAACAGCAACAGCCCGATTCAGCACTCGAAGAAACAACAGACACCTCCGAAAAGTCATACTCTGGCGTGCGAAACACGCGCGAGCACAGCTATCCCACAAGTCATCCCTCAGTAAAGTCCGAATCTGAGAACTCGTCTCTGCGACCGAGCCATTCCGATATCGCTGTTGGTATTGCGCTGTACTTTGAGTACTGCCACCGACAGCCAATATGGTGTTTTGAGCGCGACGAGGTTAGGGACTTTGGGTCTATGCATGATGAGCTTGCTTGCAGTATTCTTGCCTTGACGTTGCGATTCTCTGAGAATGGCGACCAGGCTAAGTTGTATGCCAACAATGCGAAGAGTCTCATCATGCTGAGGATCGCCAATGGGACTGTGGATCTTGCGACGCTTGAGAGTCTCTGTCTTCTCTCTTACTCGTCATTTATTGGTACGTTTCGGTTATTCTTATTGTCGCGACACACAAAATAACATCGTCAGACGGAAATGTTCACCTTGGTCAATTCCACCTTGGCCTTGCGCATCAATTATGTCGCTCTGCCATGCTGGACGTCGAGTCCGTTTATGGCATGGAGGATCCCATGTCAGACCGCAAGAAGAGACTTTTCTGGAGTCTACAAATGCTTGAGCAATCTTACGGCCGACAAGAAGGTCTTTTGAGCGTACCAACAGAGATCTGGCGCCCGGCTTATTCCACTACTCGAGGGCCTATGCCAGATCACGACCCAAGAGCGCCAACTCTTCCCAGAGATGATCTCGGTTGCCAACACCAGAATGAACCCGGTATCTGGAATACCAGCGTTCATCTGGGCTGGGTCTGGAGTCAAGTGCGGAAATACGTCTCTGATTGCGCACACAATAACATCAAGGAGCCTTGGCGACATGACTCGATGTACGCCAAAGTCCTCGCCGACTTCATGGAGACCGAGAACAGAATACCCATGTGCCATCGCTATGACACAGTCAAGTTTTACGAGCGCAAGGTCGAAGATTTGAAGATGCATCGCGATTACTGGGCGCCATGGCTGAAGGAGCAATTCACATACCACGTCATCCCGACGGTATTGAACCATCCTTTCTTGTACATCGTAGGAGCACAGCACAACCCCAACCTCGCCATCCCAAACACTTTTTGGAGGCGATCGTCAGAACTGGCACTGCTACATTCCACGTGGATCGTGAGAATGATCGACATGGTTGTCGACAAGCAAGTCCCGCTTGCAGATCCTTTCTTCGGCCACGTCGCTGCCATTGCGGCGACGGTGCACCTGTACTACTGCTGCGCTGCCGCGGCGCGATTAAAGCACAAGTCAAACACGGACTTTGCCAAGTGTAGGCGGTTTTTGAAGAACTTTCTGCCCACTTCAGCTGCTTGCAGAGCATTGGTATGTACTTTTCTGACTGTCGCATGAACGAACTTGCACTAACAATTGACAGGACCGCAATCTGGACAAGATGACGCGCATCGCTGCAGGTACATCTGATAGCATGGACGTTGAAGACTGGATGCCCTCAAAGATCTACCTCAGCGTTCCCCTGATGTGGAAGATTCTCCAGTTCAACACCTTCGCGGACTCTCACGAGCTCCCGACAGCTGGTCTTCTCAACCAATCCCTCGTTCCGAACCCTACGAACGAGGATGCAAACGAGAACATCACCTTGGAGATCATCGTCGCCAGCGCACCGGAGATCACAATCAACACTGCAGACGGCGGCCAAGAAGCGCCAACGCTATCTTACAAGGCCCCGCTCTCATCGCAGGGTCCAGACTCAGCGCGCGACACTGTCTACGATGAAGTGCCAGTGGACGATAACTTGACGCTATGCACTACGCCGTGGCTCTACGCGGACTCGTCGCAGTTCGTCAACATTGCCGACATGGGCTGCGATGACCCCCAACCTGCCCTGAGCGAGAGTAGAGGGCCTGCTTGGTGGGAAGGTGAAAATTTTAGTAATATCATGTTTAATCACTTTTAGGAGTATGGTAAATGGATCTTGGGTATGGACAAAAAGGCTAAGGTAGTGGGGATCTGTAGAGATAGAATATTCTCTTGCTTAATTGAGACGTCTAGAAGACTGGGCGTATTACCTTCTCCCGTCATTCCCTGTTTTAGATCAACGGTGCATTGTCTCCCGAATCCTTCTCTCCAAATCTTCAGATACAGAACAAACAAAAACAGGGCGAAGTCGCATGTTTCTCTCCACAATGACAGAAGCTGCGCATCACCCATCTCCAAGCCCCATCCGTGTCTGTCATTGCGGAGCCAAACCTCCTCGGGTTGTCCCTTGCTCTCCGATGAGCGTCTCGATTTGGGGGTCCGGGGTAGCCGAAACCGGGCAGATTTCCTGGGGAAGACCGAAGTGAAAGTTGAAAATGCGGGGGAGAGAAGGTTACCGGAGATGGAGAAGACGCTAGATATGCACAGTGTGTCCCTCCCTAGCCAAGGTGAGACTGAGTGGATGAGAAAGTGTCCAGGGTGGGGACCGTGCTTTTTGTTTAAAGTGCAGCCCTCCCGCGAATTCAGTATTTCTATGTGTCAACACTTCTCCATACAATGAGACCGGGCGTCTACACAACCTGGGGTAAACCGGGGAAGTCGGGGTACATTTCAGGGCTCCGACGCGGGGGAGAGAGGGCTAACTTGGCGACATTGGGAGAAGCGAGGCGGGTCAGCCGGACAGTCTAGATTTTCATCTCACGATGCACAGTTTTTGGTGTTGAGTTTAGCTTCATGGGGTAATGCACATCAGAAACCCTCACCTGAGTCGAGTTTCGTTACACCGCTCCACTAGAGGGTGCCACGACATGTCGGTTGGATATTCGTCTCCTTTGACAAATGTGGTCTTCATTCATAGGTCAAGTGTCTACTTGGTCTAATCGGCTGCAGAGCTCGCTCGAGGGAGACCAGAATTCCAGGGTCAACACCATCTCTGGAATGGGAACCCTGGTAGGCCAATGGGGCATCATGGGATTCAACGTGCCTGGCAACCAAATGAGCCAAGCTTTTCTAACTGTGACGATGATTGGCCTCATCGGACAGCCTTTTTGAAGGTTGTTATTATTATTACCGGTTATTTCCCCGCCCTTGACCATCTGTGAACTCAATTAGTGCCGCCTCAATTGGGTGAATCTTGAGGAAATTCGGCACGAAATGCCCGTCGAGGGAGGGGAAAAACCACGAAGGTAACAATACCAAAATGTCATTCATTGAATATAGCGGTAAAGACTGACTACCGATGACAGCTTGACGATAACGAATGCGCTTCGTGTCACTTTCAATTGGTGTAGACTTCGCAGGGAGGGGGTCTCAATGCCACGAGAATTCGCAAGCGAAACACAAACCCCTCCCGAAATGAAGGCATCGTGAAATGTGACTCTCCCGCAAAAGGTCCCATGACCAAAATTCTTGGGGTGTTTTTGCTATGCTTTTGCTTGCAAGGGTAAAAATAGCCTTTCCTCTTCGCTATGACAAGTCCGTGTCAGTCCAGCTGATTGCCAACCCCCTCCCATGGCAAAACCTCATGCAACCCCAACCGACCGGCGTCTAACTGTTTAGCCTTTTCCATGGAGCATGGGTCTCTGACGCTTCGATAGTGGCCGTTCCTCGCCTGCAAGATCCGACATCGCGCGTTGAAACTATTCTCTATCTCGTTACCACGCGTCCTATCATTCACAGCACGGGGTGGACCGGCACTTGATGCCCGGCCCAAGACCAAAATAGATCTAGACTCGTCCCGTTATCTCTGCTCCCCCGCATGCCAGGCCCGGAAAACACAACACCATAAACACACGCCCTCCACCTTTGAACGGCGCCGCCTCTCGATGCCGATCACGTGAGCGCTCCCGCAACCGGAGGTTCTCATGTTAGTTGCTCTTATCGTAACCATGACATAGTGACAAGATACTTTTGAGGATGATCTCGGTGAGGAGGAGTGCGGAGTCGTAGATTGCTGATAGAAAGATATATTTCGACTAGAACCTTTGTTCTTTGCCAATAGAAGCTTCTGTGTTGGAAACCATTCTCATCTCTTCTCCTTTTCCATCTCATCCCTTTACCTACATCACATAATTGCAGAAATGGCACCCTCACCGCGGGTACTTATCATTGGCGCTGGCATCGTCGGCGTCAATGTTGCTGATGAGCTGGTCTCTCGCGGCTGGACCGACATCACGGTTCTTGACCAGGGACCTCTGGACATGCCTGGTGGTTCAACCTCTCACGCTCCTGGTCTTGTATTCCAGACCAACACATCAAAAACTCTCACCAAGATGGCTTCATATACAGTTGAGAAGCTACTATCACTAGACTGCTTCAACCAAGTCGGTGGTTTAGAAATCGCTACTACTCCTGCGCGACTGGAGGAGCTCAAGCGAAAAAGGGGATATGCTTATTCTTGGGGCGTAGAGGCGAATCTCATCAGCCCTGAGAAGTGCCTTGAGTTGTACCCCTTGTTGGATAAGAGCAAGGTCCTTGGTGGACTTCATATTCCTACTGATGGCCTTGCACTGGCTCGTCCTGCTCAAGCGAAGCTTATTGAGCGAACACGAGCGGCTGGTGTCAAGTATCACGGATCTACGGTGGTTACATCCATTGACCACTCCGATGGCCACGTCTCAGCCGTCGTCACAAAGAATGGAACTTTCGAGGCTGATATCATCATCTCGTGCGCTGGATTCTGGGGTGTTGAGATTGGAGCCATGGTTGGCTTGCCTGTTCCCCTGACACCAATGGCTCATCAATATGTCCACACAAAGTCAGTTCCTTGCCAGAAGGGCAAGAACGAGGAGCCTAATGGTGCTAAACTGCCTATCCTTCGTCACCAGGATCAGGATCTCTACTACCGAGAGCACGGCGATCACATCGGTATTGGATTCTACGGCCATCGCCCAATGCCTGTTGTTGCAGCCTCGCTTGGCGAGACACCCAAGAACGTCGATTCTAAGAATATGCCATCCAGCCTCCAGTTCACACCCAAGGACTTCGCGCCAGGCTGGGAGTTGTCGAAGGAGATCCTTCCTGCTCTCCGAGAAACCGAGATCGACCACGGTTTCAACGGTATCATGTCTTTCACTCCCGACGGTGGCCCTCTCGTCGGCCAGGCCCCCAACTTTGACAACTTCTACGTCGCTGAAGCTGTCTGGGTGACACAATCCGCCGGTGTTGGCAAGGCACTAGCTGAACTTCTCACAACAGGCCGCTCAGAGATTGACCTCTCCGAGTGTGACATCTCCCGCTTTGAGCAAGTTCAACTTTCACCCGCCTACGTCGCCGAAACAACATCACAGCAATTCGTCGAAGTCTACGACATTCTTCACCCTCTTCAGCCCAAGGAGTCGCCCCGCAACCTCCGTGTCAGCCCCTTCCACCAGCGCCAGCAAGAGCTCGGTGCTTATTTCCTCGAGGCTGGTGGTTGGGAACGCCCTCATCACTTTGCAGCCAACGAGAAGCTTCTCAAGGACTTGCCTGAGGCTTGGAAGCCTGTTGAGAGAGATGCTTGGTCGTCTCGATACTACTCTGCTGTCTCGGCAGCTGAGGCTTGGAAGACGAGGACTGCTGTTGCTTTGTATGATCAGACTCCTATCCGAAGACTGGAGATCACTGGTCCTGGTGCTGCTGAGTTGTTGCAGCGATTGACGACTGGTAACGTTGCTGGAAAGGTTGGCAAGGTGACATTCACCCTGCTCTTGGATACCCATGGTGGTATCAAGAGTGACATCTTCGTCGCTAGGCTCGGAGAGGATCTCTTCCATCTCGGTGTCAACGGCCCTGTCGATTTGCACTACTTTACCCGCGAGGCAAAGGTCCAGACTAAGGCCAGCCCTCACCGAGCAGTCCAAGTCCGCGACATCACCGGTGGTCTCGCCGCCGTCGGCGTCTGGGGTCCTCGTTCCAAGGATCTCATCAAGCTTGTCAGCAAGGACGACTTCTCAGACCGGGCCTTGCCTTACCTTAGCGTCAAGAAGGCTGAGATCTCTGGCATTCCCGTCATCGCTACCAACTTCTCATACATTGGTGAGGAGGGCTGGGAGATCTATACAACCGCTGATAACGGTCTGCGGCTTTGGGACGCTCTCTGGCAGGGTGGTAAGCCTTACGGAGTCATTGCTGCTGGTCGAAGCACCTTCAACGCTCTCCGTATTGAGAAGGGCTTCAGATCCTGGGGTACTGACATGACCTCCGAGTACGATCCCTACGAGGCTGGACTTGAGTTCGCTCTTCAGCCTGGGAAGGATGGCTATGTCGGCTACAACGCTCTCAAGGGTCGTTCCAGCGAGAAGGTATCCCGTCGCATCCGCGGCCTCACCATTGACGATGGTCGCTCCGTCGTTCTCGGCAAGGAACCAGTGTTCGTCAAGGGCCGCGCAGCCGGCTACGTGACAAGCGCAGCATTCGGCTACAGCATCCGCAAGCCCATCGCCTACGCATACCTACCCAAGGAGGTCCTCGAGGGCGACAAGGTAGAGATTGAGTACTTCGGCAAGCGCATCAAGGCTACCGTTACATCTCTGCCATTCTACCGGCCCGAGAAGAGCGCATATGGCCAGACCTCACAGGCCAGCTTCTCTGCTCGTCTGTAGATTACGAACTTTACGATTTCTTTTGTCTTGGGTGTTTCACATTTGTATTTGCGATTGGGAAGAGGTTTTGCGATGCTGGAATTCCTAGATGGCGGAGAAGTCATGTTATGGGAAAAGTCTTAATAGGCAGCTCACTCTTGCATAATGAGCGATGATTTCTACAAGATGTTAATGAATCATGTTTTACAACTTTACCACTTTGTTATCAGTGAACGTGCTATTCGTTTGTGCTATTTGTAAGTCGGCATTGAGTCTTTCCGTGGGCTGTCTTGGCTGACAAGGATAGTGATCCCAGTTTCCATTTCTGGAACATCCCAACAGACATGATAGGTCACGATGCAAGAGCTAGCAGAAAGCGAAGTGGAATAGTTCGATTCATAACGTTGCTTCTTGGGCATGCTTATCAATTCGTCTTGATTGAAGCTTGGATATTGTTGGTCTTATATGCCATACTATAACGAATCATTTGCTCATCCGTTCAACGATATTTGACATTCGACAGAGATCCTTTAGGCAGGAGATAATATGACTGCAATGCGAGCTTTCGTGACGGACGGCAAAGGGAGCGGGTCTGTACAGCTGTCTCCGCGTCCAAGCCCCCAAGAAGGAGAAATTCTTGTCAAGATTCACTACTCGGCTCTGAACCCTGGAGATTGGAAACTCGTCGAAGGCGATGTGTTGGATGGACCAGCACAGCCGGGTCTCATAGCAGGCTGTGACTTCGCCGGCACGGTCGAAGACCCCAATGGCTCTGACTGGAAGAAAGGCCAAAGAGTTGGCGGCTGGGTTCATGGCGCAACCTTCAAAGGCATTGGGTCTTTTGCGGAGTATATGAGCATCGAGGCATCGCTAGTCTTTGCTGTGCCCGACAACATCAGCTTGCAGCAGGCATCAACTATCTCACTCGCTTTTGCAACCGCCACGCAGGCTATGTATCAGCACATGTCGCTGCCTGAGCCCTACCAGCCAAACGACGGCCGAGTGGATTTTCTGGTGTATGGCGCTTCTACGAGTGTTGGACTCTACGCTGTTCAGCTTGGCAAGCTCAGTGGTATTCGTGTCATTGCAGTGGCTTCTTCAAAGAACCATGACCTTCTCAAACGGCTCGGTGCAGAAGTCACCCTCGACTATCACGATGAAGACTGGGTTGAGCGTGTGAAGGACGTTACCGAAGGCAAATTGAGATACGCGCTCGATAATATTGCGGATGCAGGTTCCCCAGAGAAAGTGGCCAGCTGCCTGGCTCACAGCGAAGGATCTCAGCTGATCGCTCTATCGCCACTCGACAAAGAGTCTATTCACAATGTAAATCCATGTGTCAAAGCCGAGTCTATGCTCGCTTTTACTGTCTTTGGCAAGGCATTGGGTGAGGAATACACCGTGTTCGACAACACAGGTCCCGAGACACCAGACGAGAAACGTGCTTGGGAGAAGTACCTACGACTTGTAACCAAGATGCTTGAGCGTGGTGATCTTGAGGCAAACCCTGTGAGGGAAGTTGGAACTCTGGATGACGTTACTGAAGCGTTTCGGCTGAGCAGAGAAGGCAAGCTGTCGGCTGAAAAAGCCGTGCTGATGGTTATCACAGATCACTAAAGTATGGATAGAGGTTTCAATGAGCACCAAATGACAATGCAGTCAATGCGCTCAGATAAACATTGTGACTAACCTGTTGATGACTGCACATGGCAACGTAAATATCCAATCATGCTTGATCAATGTCGATTCCGCGGCCGCGGAACACTCACATACGGGTTGTTTGTGCTATAGCAAATAGGAGCTTATCGGAGAGGCGATAAGGCGATATCTGTTGGTGCTCTATTTGGGTTTTGACAGTTGAATCACGTACGTCATTCCGTGGAATCTTGTTTGGCCGTTTTGAAGCGTGGACGCGATGGCATGGAATGGGTTGCAACTAATGCAAGCCAAAAACAAACAAGGCTTGTCTGTTGCGTCATACTACCGTTTGATGGAGCTTGTTTAAACAAATCCTTATCGTCGTTTAGATTCGATGTGCGACGAATTCTGCTGATCGTTTTGATGATGAAGATCAGGAAACAAGACAGTGGAGTTTGTTCACTGGGGCACTCGCTGAGTGCAGTAAGATTAGCTCTGCAAACCGCTGACTCAGGGTAGCTTGCGGCATGAGACCTTCGCGTGGAGATGCTTGTGACGAGTTTAATGGGAATTAACTTTTGGAACCCTTAAAACGGGAGGTCAAATCAAATGTCAAGGGCTAAGCTTTTGTTTTTATGTAACAGCTTCCTCTTTGATCGTAGATACCTTACGCGTCGTGGATTCCCCCAGATAATGCTTGTCGCTGTCAAGTGCCAAGATGAACATCACGGGTGCCAAGAGACCAAGCACGGGTTTAATTGGGAATATCTCCAATTTTCTCAACTTCATTGATACTCACGATAGTTGAAGATGGGCTGGGAATAGTCACCACCACAATTAAACCCTGGCATGTCCTTATGTTAGACCACCCATCCGTGTGTATTTCTCACCTAAGATTTGAACGAGGATCAGCACCCAAACTCTATCAGCGACTGCATCCCATTCCTCCTCCCATGACACAACTCAAAGTCGGTCCTACCACAGACCAAGACCCATCTGTATCCCTTCTCCAGACTCCAGTGAGATAAACCCAACTGTCTCTGCCCAATTAGACAGGGTACAACCAGTGTTCATCGTATGTTAGCCTCGGGATCGGCGGCTTGATAAGAGAACTTCCGGCTAGCTCGGCTCCGGGCGCGCCCCAATGATACAGGTGCTACGCCATTTGCTGCCAATGCTCAATTTCACACGTACGCAGATCCAGCAAAGATATTCCGGGGTAGAACTTGAATCTATGACAAATAGATTCCTCAAAAGATGCCACTTTCCCCAGACTTGGGAGGAGCCTTTTTGCGCACCTTATCCAGACTGCAGAACATCACATGCAATATAGATAAAACATGCCTCGATGGAGTCGTGAAGAAATCGACGACAATACCTTCGGAGCCGAGGATGCACAAGATCAAGCCTCAGCCTAACCTCAGCTCTAAAACTTCCGCTCAGTAGCACTCTTCCCTCCCCGCCAGCACGCGATCAAACGGTTGATAGGCTAGTTTCCCTCTCTTCCCCAGCTCCTTTTTTGGTGGCTTAAGCTTTGTTCGTTCGAGTATCCACTTCTTTTGCCCCAGCTGAGCAAAGTGCCGCTTTATCCGTGAGATAGAGGAGCCGCCCCCAGAAACGGATCACCACAGCAATTCAACAGTGAAACCAACAATCATGCTCCATGTTACGTACCCTTCCTAGGTACCTATCTCTCTCTGCATCCTTCCAAGAAACCACCTTCCGCTTTTCATTTAGGTCCGTTTGAGGGATGGTCCCCCTGCGTTGCCACTTTTGGCACGAGTAGCATCGTATATATCTGCCATTAACCCGCGCTGTCTCTAATTCCCTCTGATCCTTTGACTCCAAGACATTGAAACTTATCTAAGCATCTCACCATGTCGGAAATCAGTCCTAAACAAGAAGCCCTTGAGGCTCAGGATACAACACCACGATATGATGAGAAGCACGGCACCACTGAGCCCATTGAGGATGCACCCAAGCAGTCATGGGCGCTGCGCAATGGGCTTACTCCCGGCTCATTCGCTCCCCATGATGATTACGCAAAGGGAACCGCTGAGTTGCAGCGGGAGATGAAGCCTCGTCATCTTAACATGATCGCTATTGGTGGCAGGTCAGTCATTTTCGTTCTGTCGTCATCGTGCAACGCCGGCTTATTGCCGCCCCTGCTAAATGATGACGCGCTAATGGTGATTTGGTGTACTAACTCATTTGCAGTATTGGTGCTGGTTTCTTCGTCGGTAGCGGTGCTGCTCTGCAGACTGGTGGCCCTGGTTCATTGACTATTGGTTTCTTGATCATGGGTGTCATGATCTTCAACGTTGTCTATGCTCTCGGTGAACTTGCTGTTATGTATCCCGTCTCTGGTGGTTTCTATACGTGAGTTCTGTCAATCCCCAATTAAGACGTGAGCTAACAATCACCAGCTATGCCAACCGATTCGTTGATCCTTCTTGGGGTTTCGCCATGGGTTGGAACTATGTCATGCAATGGGCCTTCGTTCTTCCTCTCGAATTGACAGTTTGCGGTACAGTCATTCAATACTGGGCTCCGCATACTAGCGTAGCCATCTGGGTCAGCGTAAGTAATTTCTCTGAAGCTATCGTGAGTCCGTCAACTAACATGCTGCAGGTCTTCCTTGTTGTCATCATCTTAGTCAACATTTTCGGTACTCTTGGTTATGCCGAGGAAGAGTTCTGGGCTGCACTTCTCAAGCTCTCTGCTACTGTCATCTTCATGATCGTCGCTGTTGTCCTCATTTGCGGTGGAGGTCCTTCTGATGGAGAGTACAGCACCTACCAGGGTGCCAAGCTTTGGTATGACCCAGGTGCTTTCCAGCACGGTTTCCGAGGCTTCTGCGGTAAGATATCATCCCTCCCTCCCATGGCATTCATCAGAAACTAATGAATACTAGGTGTGTTTGTCACTGCGGCTTTCTCCTTCAGTGGAACAGAACTTGTTGGTCTCGCTGCTGCTGAAGCCAAGAACCCAGCCAAGGCTCTCCCCGGCGCCATCAAGCAGGTCTTCTGGCGAATCACTCTCTTCTACGTTATTGGTCTTCTCCTCGTTGGCTTCCTTGTCAACTCCAAAGACCCCAGACTTCTGAACGCCGGCAACAACGAGCCCAGTGCTTCTCCCTTCGTCATCGCTGCCGCTAACGCCCATCTCAAGGGATACGATTCTTTCATGAACGTCATTATCCTCGTTTCCGTCTTGTCTATCGGTGTCTCGTGTGTTTACGGCGGTAGCCGAACTCTTGTTGCTCTTGCGCAACAGGGCTACGCTCCTCGATTCTTCTCCTTCATCGACAAGTCAGGCCGTCCTCTTCCTGCTGTTGTCTCCATCATCGCCATCGGTGCTCTTGGATACATCAGTGTCAACGGCGAGGGAAACACTGTCTTCATATGGCTTCAGGCTCTGTCTGGTCTGGCCGCTTTGTTCACCTGGGGCTCCATCTGCCTCTGCCATATCCGATTCCGACAAGCCTGGAAGTATCACGGTCACACCCTCGATGAGATCCCTTTCCAGCACGTCTTCGGAGTCTGGGGTTCTTGGCTTGGACTTATCCTAATCGTCATCGTTCTCATTGCGCAGTTCTACACAGCCATGACCAACATTGACGGATCTCTCGGTACTGCTGAGGGTTTCTTCCAGTCATACCTGGCCTTGCCTGTTGTTATCCTCTTCTACGTCGTTGGATACATCTGGAAGCGAGAGGGATGGAGAAAGGTCAGTGAGATTGATCTTGATACTGGTCGTCGTGAGCATGATTGGGATACCATCAACGCTTATCGCCAGCAGCTCGCCAATGGCCCTGCTTGGAAGCGCCTGATGCATCACCTATTTTAAGTGTATATAGCGATTTCAACATATGTCACAAACGGCTTTTGGCCATATAAGTTTAATCTATTATACTTTACGTTGAATTGTCATGCATTGCTTCAGTGAGATTAGGCCTGGTCAACTGAACCTACAGCCTAATTCGCGCTGGCTATCGTTGTCTCCTTATCACAGTCTATATCTAAGATATTCTAACCCTTTGCTTTGGTGTAGCCATTTGACTAAGCATGACAGGCTCATGACAGTTGAGCTATCAAAGACTGTCGTCACATCATCTTTGACCTTTAATGGTAGCCATGATGCCTGATCTGTCCCAATCACTTCAAGGGAAATCTCCGGAAAGATCCTGATCGCCTGCGTGTAAGTCATGCATGTCAGATCCAGGACATGGTGCAGGAGGGTGAGCAGCCACGAAATGAAGTGCCAGCGGGCATTTCGAGAAACCCCGAGGGAAACCCCAACCGCCCGAAGTTCTCGACTTACGAGTAATAGTCCCCCTACCCTTTCACCCCTGGTCATATGACCGTCCTTCTGGCAATTAGGCCTAAGGCCAAAGATGACAAGAATGGGTTCTATGGCTCTATTGAACAGTAAACGGCCATAGCTATATCTATGACTACTGGTTCCAGTCTACACTTCGCCAAGCAATAAGCACTAGCCATGAGCACTGCCGCTCAGCTTCATGGAGACTTTTTGTAAGCCCGGAGACATTATTCGATGTCCGGAGATATGTAGTGAGACTCGGCTTGACTAAAGATGAACGAACTCCTACGGAACTCCTTATAATATGATCACTACTATGTGCATATAAAGCCAGGTGTAGGTCAGTTCATTCCTCACAAAGAGTAGTATCCTTTGCATCATCAACCTCCTACAACCGCGGACCGAATAACCTTGGTTTTTTCCGTTTATAATGTCATCAAAGGACAAAGCCGACTATCCATGGGAAATAAGCAGAGAAGTAGAAAGGCTTCAGAAACAACACGCCTGGGTTCAGAGATGTCTTAACAATAAGATTGTCTTTGCACCGATACCGCTGAACAAGGAAGAACTCAAAGTTCTCGATGTCGGATGTGCTGATGGTAAGAAGCTATTTGTTGGGAAACATTCAGGTTACTGACCGAAGTATTTAGGAATTCTCCTTCGAGACTTGAAGAAGCAGGTCTCTCCATCAGCCCAGCTCGTTGGCGCAGATCTTGTTGAAGCCTTTCTACCCGCTTCCGAAGAGGGCATCCAATTCGAAGTCTATGACCTTTGTGAACCGCCTAGAGACGAACTTGTCGGATCATTTGACTTGACGCATGTGAGGTACAGCATCCTCGGAGCTGCCAAAGTGGGCTATCGGAAAGCCATTGATCATCTAGTCTGTAGGTGAACAAGGGTTTCTCAATATTTCAAGCCACTTGACTGACTTTAGACAGCGACTGTTGCACCCAGAGGTTGGCTACAAGTTCACGAGCTTGACTTTGATCTGACAGACCGACCTAACGTAGGTCCAGCGTGGAGAGATGTAAACAACCTCATCGCGGCTATGTTCGATGGTATGGGTATGGGATCCGACTGCATTCGGAAACTGCCGGGCGCATTCGAGGCAGCAGGACTCGTGAATGTGACTGTCCATTCAGTGGATCTACCCATGGGGAAGCTATTGGGTGATGGTGAAGCTGCCGAGATATCGTGGCAGCCTTTCGTGATTACCATCCCAAGTCTCATCGAGGGCGCGAAGGGTAAGTCTGAACTATGGAAGTATATGGGAATGTGACTGACAGTAATAGCCCTCGGTGTCAAGCTATTCGAATCTACGCATGAGAATTTGGCCGAGAGGTTTGAGAAGGAAGTCAAGGAAGAAGGTGCTATGTTTCGCGCGTTGGTCACTATTGGACAGAAGCCCGCGTGAACTATAGCATGAAGACATGGCATTCTAGAGATATATGATGCTACAACCTGGTGTCTGAGCATACGTTGCCCAAGGATGGGATCCCGTGCTGTCAGCCATCCAGTTACCCCAGCTCCGCAATTAGTGTCAATTACAAAGGCTTTGTCATGGTTATTAACTCAGAGCGGAGTCTCCACCATACAAAACAAAGGTTGACAGTCACCCCGACGATCGTGATGCCAAGATGTCACCAAAAGCCAAGTAACTCAATCCAACGTGAGGGGACATGTAATTTTAGCGGCCCGAACAGCCGACGGCTAAATCCTGCTGAGTAGTGCCAATTCAACAAAACGGAGCATTCATCGCTTTTTCATGAAGAACTTCTTCTATTGCCATCATCCACTTGTTGGAAAACTCGGACAATATGGTCGAAGCAAATCTTGTAGATGTTGAAGCTCTATTGAGCAAGTTGACGCTGGATGAGAAGGTGGAGCTCCTGGCGGGCCAGGGATCATTTCGGATGACCGGTCTTGAGAAGCATGGTATTCCAGGTCTGATTGTGAGTCTGAGGTGTAAAATATGAGAAAAGCATGACGCTGACAAGCTAGACTTCGGATGGCCCTCATGGAATTCGAGGGCGACGGTCGTTCACTCACGTGAGTATCCCCCAACGTCTGGGTAGCATGGACTAACAGGCCGCTAGATGCCGAGTCCAATGCTACCGTCGGCAACCGGAATGGGCGCCACATTCAACACTGAGCTCATCCATAGGATCGGAAGCCTTCTTGGCGAAGAAGCGAAGGTCCGCGGTGTTCATGTCTTGCTAGCACCGACACTTTGCTTGCAGCGCTCACCCTTGATCGGACGTGGTTTCGAGGCCTTCGGTGAAGACCCTTTTCTCAGCGGAACTTTGGGCGCACACTACATCAATGGCGTTCAAGAGCAGGGCGTCGCAACAAGCGTCAAGCACTATGCAGCTCACGACCAGTCTGACAACAGTATCGAGGACAACGCGGTTATGACCGAGCGCACTCTCCGAGAGGTTCATATGCTCCCCTTCCAGCTCGCCCTCCGAGGATCAGAACCATGGACTATAATGACATCTTATAATAAGATCAACGGAATTCATGTGAGTGAGGATCCTTTGCTGATGAAGGAGATCCTGCGTGAAGAGTGGGGATTCAAGGGACTTGTCATGAGTGACTGGTTCGGCACTTACAGCACATCAGAAGCTATCAACGCTGGCTTGGATCTCGAAATGCCTGGGCCAACAGACTGGAGAGGAAAGCGCCTCAGCATAGCAGTCAACTCTCGAAAGGTATCCAAAGCAACAGTCGATACAGCTGTTGAGAACGTCTTGAACCTCGTCAATAAGTGCAAGGCAGGCGAGAAATCAGGGAAGCCCCCTCAATCGGATACACCAGAACAACGAGCTCTGATTAGACAGCTGGTTGCGGAATCAGTTGTCCTACTGAAGAACGACAAGCAGAAACTACCGATCAACAACCCGGAGAAGTTGAAGTTCGGACTGATTGGAGATCACGTTAAGAACCCGGCTCTCTGTGGTGGCGGAAGTGCTGAGGTTGAGCCTTATTATGGCATTACTCCGTATGAAGCCATCAAGGAAGTGGTAGGAGAGGAGAACATCACATATACCCCAGGCTGCAACTGTATGTCCCTGATTAGGCCATTATCACTACGCACGTGCTAACACTACAAACAGCCTTCCGATTCAGCCCTCTCATCAAGGGCCATACACCACCAGACTCTGATTCCGAGGGCTGGTTTGTCGAGATCTTTGGCGAGGACCCGCAAGAGAACCCCGATGCCAAAGTCGTTGTTTCAACTACAGCCGAGAAGCAATTGGTAGATGTTCCAGAAAGCTACCACGCAACCATCCCAACCAAGTATTACGTCAGAGCGAAGGCCAAGTATATAATCCACGAATCGGGAAAGCTCAAGTTCGGTTTCAGCACTTCTGGGAAGGGCAAATTGATCATCGACGGTAAGGAGGCAATCGACCTTTGGACGAGCCAGCCTCCAAAGACCGACTCAACCCCATGCTTCAACCGTCTCTCTATGGAAAAGTACTATGAGGGCGAGTTCGAGAAGGGTCATGTTCTTGATCTCGAAGTCCTCCAAGTCAACGAGAACCTATCTGGTGGTGTTGGTACTGCACAAACTCTGACTGGACGAGTTGGTGTTTACGAGCTGTATGATGAGGATCAGGGGATCAAGGATGCAGTGGAACTCGCCAAGAAGGTTGATGTTCCCATCGTTATTACTGGCTTATCATCAGACTTTGAGTATGAGGGCAGCGATAGGAAGCACCTGAGACTTCCCGGTCGCGTGGATGAATTGATTGCGGCTGTGTTGGAGGCCAATCCTGATGCTGTAAGCTGACCTTTGTTTAGCCAAAATGCTTAGACTAACAGATCACAGATTATCGTTACGCAATCAGGACTACCCATTGAGATGCCTTGGGAGTCTCAAGCAGCAACACTTCTTCACGCCTGGTTCGGCGGCCAGGAAACAGGTCATGGCATGGCTGATGTCCTGTTTGGCAAGGTCAATCCCTCTGGAAGACTTTCCCTGACATTCCCCAAATCTATCAAGCATACGCCAGCGTACCTCACCTTTTCTAAGGCGGACTATGACATTGTATATGGCGAAGGTGTATTTATAGGTCATCGATACTATGAGATGGTTGATCGAGAGCCTCTCTTCTACTTCGGTCATGGTCTTTCATACTCGAAGTTCGAGTACTTGAACCTCACCGTCCCCGGGGAGTTCACACCCGCGGCTGATCACCAGATGCGCGTCAAGGTTGATATCACCAACAAGGGCGCTTTCGCGGGTGCCGAAGTTGTTCAGCTGTACATCCACCACGCGAACAGCTCTCTTCAGCGACCAATCCGAGAGTTGAAGGCATTCACCAAGGTCAATCTGGGCGTTGATGAGACTAAGACAGTCGAACTTACTCTTGATAAGTATTCATTGTCATTCTGGTGTCAGGAAGCATCGAAGTGGAAGGCGGAAGCTGGGCAGTACACACTGATACTTGCTTCAAGCTCGAATCCCAAGGATGAGATTGCACGCGCGGACTTTGCTCTACCCAAGACTTTCTTCTGGAAGGGTCTTTAGATATTTCGGGTACACGCCCATACGATAGCCTGTCATAGGTAATAGACTGCCATCGATCGTTCAACTTGTATGTTGTTACTTTTCAGTGAAATTACTCCATGGGAATCTATTTGTGACCAAAAGGAATTCTATAATACTCTACCTAGGACTGTACATAACCTCCGTTGTTGAAACAATCTCGATGCCATCAGTTTTACCGTTTCTGTGGTAATGGGAGTTACTCCTGCGTGAACCAGCAGCACCAGAAACTACTCCAGGCGCAGTAACCAAGACTTTGTGGTTGCCATTGTCGAAGCTTTTCTGTGGCTTGGGCCAGAGCGTAGCTTCATCGTCATCGGTAACCTTTCTTCCTGACTCTGAGTCATCTCCAGATTGAAGCTCAATGGCATCAACTTGCTTGCGACTCAGCTGCCTTCGGCTCTTGATGGCATTGGATCCGCCTGTTGCTCCAGATGGCCCACCGTAGCTGGCACCGCGGCTGCTGAAGATACTGGGTAGGATTCGCTTGAAGAATGGCTTGAGAGAGCTGGCGGATGCGCAGATGACACAGCCAGTCAACTCAGCATACATCCAGCAAAGCTCATATGCGAGACCCCAGGTGTAGTTGGGGCTGCTGAATAGCTTCACAGTGAGAACGCAATTGTAGATGGCAACGATGATGACACTAGGGACGTCAGTACGATAATTGAGCGATGTAGGAAGGGTTACCCACAAGCCACCAGTAGTGAACAGAAACAAAAGTGACATCTTCTGCCGTCGAGGAATTTGCAGCGGGATAACAATCCGCAACGGCAGCAGCAAGATGATCAGATCCATGACTACGTTGGCAACCGACGCAGCCAAGAAGAAGCCGAACTTGTCCACGCATTTTCCCGTTGCTTGAGCAGCAAGGTCCCACGACGCCTTGATGGGTTGGCACCCAAAGAGACTAATCATGGCATATATGAGGGCATAAAGACCGAAGAGGCTAATCAGGACATAGATGACGATGCGGAAGGTTCGCTCGGGTGAGAGACGGAGATAGAAGAAGAGAAGAGAGATTTTGGCGAGATCGGAGGACAGCATGTAAAAGATGTTGACGGGGATGGTCCACTTCAAAGGCGTTAGTCGTCTCGAAGAGGAAGAGTGTTGTTGAGGATCGTACCTTGAGCAATGATTCGTATTGCGATTGAGTGACCTGCCAGAAGTTGGTAGCACAGCCGCCCTGAGCGACCACTGCCTCTGTGAGTATGTATGAGTTAATAAGTATGGGATAACTTACTACCCATGGTGCATGCATAAAAGACCCAACATGCTATCAGCGAGGCGCCAGTGAGAACTGAGTATACAAGGTTAGCTCTCTTGAACCAGACATGCAAAAGTTGAGACTTACAGTCGTCAAGACGAAGAGGATTCTTCAACAGCCGCACTCTCGTCAAGATCCGGAGTCCATACACAACCGTTCCAAGCGTAAACAGACAAGCACCCAAAATGATCTGTATAGTCGCAGCGCTTCCGGCCTCCCATCTGTCCTGCCCCTTGGGCGGCTCCATCATATACACCTCCTCGGCCATGGCGTTTTGCGACTCGGCCGCAACAGTATCGTTTGATCGTGAAGAGAGAAGTCGAGTTGGTGAAAGACCTTAAGTTCACAGTATATCAACCTTTTTTCTGCCGGGAAATGGTAGTGAAATAATCTACTGGATGAACATGAGATCTGCAGGCTTATTCCTTATTCTGTTTCAACGGCAGACGTTGTCAGGAGCTGTCCTTTTCGTCTGCAACGGCTCCACTACTGTTCATCAAGGATGATCTTCCCACTACGCATCCGAGGCAACAAGAGTGATGACAGTACTGGGGGCCTGGTAAAAGATTTTATGCTATATTTTGCGTACTTGTTGAGAGACCTAGCGCCTTACTTGCCACTACGACCTGTAGTTGAAGGCCAGCGAAGAGTGAGACAAAACCCTCAAGCTTTGGCACTTTTGCCCTCAGACACTTCCAACCAACAGATTATTTCTTCTTCCCGTTAACCTCTCCATGCCTAGCGATGCGATTCGCTTGCTGTACAAAGCGAAGTGGGCTAATTGCAAGGTCTTCAGGGGAATCAGCTCGGCATTGGAGGTTTCCGACCGAGTGGTTTTTCTTTTGCCTAATGCGAGATCCACATTGACTAGAAATGCATGACCTACGAATCTCCATTCGAACAATACTCTAGGCCTCTGGATTGGTAGGTTTTTGGGTAATGAGCTCTAAATCATGATGGTACGTTCCTTGTAACGAGCCAAGACCGCCGTTGACCAGTGTTGAGACAAGGCAACTGTCGGTGGTCCATGGTTTTCGCAAACATCATCCAACGGCTTTGCAGATCACTTCTGTAGCGTGCTTATTATCCGTTATTATATATGGGGCTTGCTTCAGGAACAGCAGGGCTGAAATTCCTTGCGTATCCAGGCCACTGGACTGGGACAGAACATCTTGATCTGTAAAGGGGGCTGCAGCATCATACTCAGCAATACGGATATCTCTCCAACACGACACCACAGCACATTGCAGTAATAACCAAGCTCTGTTGGGATTTCCCCCCTCAAGCTTTCTCCTCATCAACGACGTCTCGTATCAGTTTTTCAGCTTCTGCAGTCCCACTGTGTTGACGATATGTCACTTTTACTTTCTTTTGTCGCTTTCACCGTTGAGTGATCTGACTTCTCTCTCTATTCTCATTGGTCCGGAAAGACCTCTCCTCATCCCTGCAACTTTCGGAGGGCAATCATGTGAAAAGAGAAGACAACAGTCTCCACGTCTTGGAATAAGGATCAGATCCTTGTCAGGAGATCCACGGAAACCCACAAATTCTCCTCTCGCTCCGTTGATATACTTATCAGAAGAAGCACTAGAAATGAGAATCACGGACCGGACCGCCGGAGGTTAGGCAAACCGTTGCCTCCCGTTGAAGCTAATGGTAATAACAATCTCGTGTAGGTTTCGTTTGCCGCCTTCGAACAGGCTCAAGAAGAAAAAGAAAAGAGAGGGAAAGAATTTTGTTTCCCCTTTTTCAGACCCACGTCATGCAGAATTAAGATTGGTCAAGATCTCATGAGTTGTTCAATCCTTCGAGCCTTTCCCTGCAATGCTCAGATTTCTCGTCTACGCCATGTAACTCAACCGGTTCGGCTGTAGGGATCAAGACCCAATACCAAGGCAAGTTCCCCTTTTCGAAACCGTTTTGCTGCGGGCTTATTAGACGATGCAACACTACGCGATGATCGCTTCCATCCTATCGGGCGCTATATCCTCTCGGGGAAAGAGATAACGCAGCGACTCAGTGTCTTCCTTGCAGACCATCCCCCACGACTCAAGAAGCTCCATTTTACATGCTCCATACCAAGATCTTAGCAGCCGTTGCTGTTCCTGGTCGCGGTGTATCAATCCCCCTCGGACCACTCGAAGCTTGGCTTGCCTGGGAAGTATCTGGAGTCACCTATATAATCTACCCAGTCAACAACGGTAGCCGATACTCCATTCATTTACAGGTTGCATTTTTAACATCGGTTTTTCTTTTTGCAACTCTAAAAATGGCAAACCCATACCCTTTCCAAGACAAGGTCATTGTTGTCTCTGGCGCTAGTCGGGGAACAGGCCTGGCCCTCTCACGTTACCTTTTGGTTCGTGGGGCAAAGGTTTCTATGGCTGCTACTTCTGAGGAGAACTTGAAGAAAGCGATTGCTGGGATTGAGCAGGATATTCCTGATGTGAAGGATCGGGTTATCTATTTTCCTACTGATGTCAGGAAGCCTGATGATGTCAAGGCTTGGATTGAGGGGACGGTTGCCAAGTGGGGAGAGTTGGATGGTGCTGCAAATGTTGCAGGTGAGACAATGAGCTCCTGATACCTTATGTAAGGGCGTATGCTAACACATTGGATAGCCAAGATGAATAAGAGCATTCATCCTATTGAAGACCTTGAACTGGACGAGTTGAAGGAGGTTCTCGATGTAAATGTCATCGGCACCTTCAACAGCATCAAATACGAGATGAAGAACATGAAACCTGGAGGTAGTATCGTCAATTGTGGTAGTCAACAGGTCAAGTATGCTTCTGGAAACATGGGAGCATACGCAGCTTCAAAGAACGCCATCCGTGGCTTGAGTCAATCAGCCGCATATGAAGGTGGTACCAAGTATCCCAAGAACCCCATCAGAGTCAACCTTCTATGCCCGTGAGTAATCCCAACGTGCTCAGCATCACCACGCTCACTATTCTACAGTGGTTGCATTGATACCGACATGATTCATCAGCCTCTACATTTGCCAAATGGTGCGGGTACATGGACGATGACGGAGGGTGATCACTTGACATCTATCATCAAGCGCTACTCCAAGCCAGAGGAGATTGCTGCTTCCATCGCATTCTTACTGGGAGATGAGAGCAGATTCATGACAAAGCAGGAGATTTATGTTGATGGTGGCTGGATGGAGGCCAACTATGTAGCATAACATGTTATCGAAGGCTGATTCTCTAGATATTGACGCGAGCAAATGCCATCTACAGCCTCAAATTCTGTACCCGTGCGCCCCCAGAATGATTTATAATGCAATCCGCTCAAACTCCGCATTACAAATGCATCTTCGCGGGGGTCCCTTCATCGTGTTGTAGCTGAGTGTTAGACGTGAAGCTTCAGCACATTCCCTAATAGGAAACTGCATGTCTTGGCGGACCCAGCTCGAACGAACCAAAGCTCCAGAGGCTCGTTCTAACGGTTTCCGTAATTGGCAACAGCACTTCTTGGCGGATTTACAATATCGAAGCCTTCCAGCAAGATATCTACACTCAAGCAGTATATAAATCCAACAGGCTTACCATGATAGTCTCCAATTCTTCATTCAATCATTCAAATCCTATAACTTGCACTCATCTTCACTGCCAAAGCAAGACATTATGACTTCCACTGGAAAATCACCTCTCAATCTGGTTCTTGGAGCCGCAAACGTGAGCAGTTCGACGCATCTTCTCATTTCAAAACTAACTGAACACTTGCATAGGTCGGAGACAAGGAGGCTGACCCTTGGGCTCGCTACGACACTCCAGATGAAGTCAACGCTTTCATTAATGTCTTCGCCAGGCGAGGCTATACTCAACTCGATACTGCTGCAGTCTATTCACCTCAAGCTCCCTACAGCTCTGAGCCTCATCTCGGTGCCGTCAATGCAGGCGATCGGTTCAGCATCGACACCAAAGCAGATTTCATGAAAGGCCATACCAAGGAGAATATCACCCATGATATCGACAACTCACTCAAGCTTCTAAAGATCAACCAGATCAATATCTATTATCTCCACATACCTGATCGTAACAATCCTGTTGAGCCAGCTCTTGAGGCTCTTGATCAGGGCTACAGAGATGGTAAGATCAAAGCTTGGGGCATCTCCAACTTTCGAGCCGATGAAGTTCAAGAAGTGATCGATATCTGTGAAAAGAGAGGCTTTGTCAAGCCTGCCGTTTACCAGGGTCACTATAACGCACTTGTCCGCAGCGGTGAGAAAGAATTGTTCCCTATTCTTCGAAAGAATGGCATGGCGTTTTATGCCTATAGTCCTGCTGCTGGCGGTCTCTTTTCTGGGAGTCACAAAGATCCTGCTCCAAATGGACGATTTGACACAGCAGTGAGTAGAAGGCCTGGGCGAAATTACTTCCAAACACATGACTGACATCATGTAGCACAAGTCAGGAAGCATCACTAGCTCACTCTACATCAAGCCATCAGTTCTTGGAGCTGTTGATAAGGCCATTGAAGTTTTCGTCAAGCATAACATTGGAGGACATGCTGCCGCCCTCAGATGGACGGCTCATCATAGCATTCTCGACAAGAAATACGGCGACGGCTTGATAATCGGTGCTTCTAGCCCCCAACAGCTGGAGAGCAATGTTGATACGATTGAGGAGGGTCCGTTGCCTGAAGAAGTTGCTGCTGCTCTTAACGCGGTGTATGAAGAGGCTGGTGATGAGGTCGCTTACCATATGTAGTTAGCCTTATTGGACTAGGCTCAATAGAGTAGGAGCACTTCTTGGCGGGAGATTGTCAATTATTAAGCAGCATCATCAATACATTGCTCAAAAACATCTCTGATCGTGACAGACAGTTGGTGATCAATATCTATCTTTTCACTGCACGTGTCGATCTCATTCAGTATGCAATTTATTACTGTGACTAATCCTGGCCAACGTGCGTCAGCCAAGACGACGCGAAAGGCTCACTCCCATGCAGCTCGCGTAGCCCATGCACGGACACGGAGACAACAAATGGTGGACTACCATGACCAAAGGAGACAACAAACTCCTCAATTGAGCCCTGCAAAGGGTCATGAACCAAATAATCCATTTCCAAAACTCACTGTGTCTTCGACCAGCGAACTACAAACATTAACATCTGTGCCTTTCACACTACCTGGCGATTTTCAGCCAAGTAACATAATATATTTTATCAAATCGCTTTCGACATTTGAGCACTCCATATTCAGTCAATGTGAGTTTCGCATGATTGACTTAGGGTAGCATTTTCTGACCATCCCGGCGTAGATCTTCAAACTGTTCTGCCTTCCCAAATTGCACATTGCCCAATAATTATGGACATTGCAGAACAAGCAGCTGAAATCAGAAGCAACTGGATATTCTTCGTTTCTACTGATCTGGTTCTTCTACGAGGTTGTCTCCTCGCGGCATGCCGCTACTTGGCCCAAGTTGAGCTCCGTGAAGAGTACGCATTGTTAGCCATTCAGTACAAGCAGTACTATTTACAAAGCCTTCGGAAGGGACTTTCGTCAGCCGGTCTTTCGTCGCGTCGGAATGCCGTCGCAATGACTACGGTTCTCGCACTCGATGAGGTGAGTCCATCGCTAGGGCAAGAGATAACATACTGACTAGGTAGATTACTTGCGGAGATCATCTTATCGCTGCTAAACACGTCCTTGGTGCCATGAAAATAATCGAAGATGCTGGCGGACTTAGAAGTCTTGGGCTTAACCATCTTGTTCGCTATGTCCTCTACAATCTCATGTTCGGCAAGCGACTATCAGAATGGGACATGGATCTCCAACTTGCCTCAACGCTCATGTCACCAGACTCGATACTACCCTAATCATGCTAAAACATATCCCGAAACAATAGCGTTCATTCCGCAACCCCTATTAATTGGTCATCCGATCGCGATGTTCCGACTCATGCTCATTTCTCCGACCCGGTCTCGTTTAGCTAGTGGCGCGACGTGTTATCTCTGCGTGAAGGCTGGTATGCAAAGCTAGACGAATAAGGTATACAAGGTTAAAAAAATGCATAGTTGCTTATTTTCGAGACACGACGGTAGTGAAACATTCTCAAGGATCACCTGAGACCTGTTGATATGAATCTAGTGCTACGAATTTCCGTGCGAGTTCCGGAGGTCAGCAGGCGGTCAACAGTCTAGAATCCTGATATTACGATTGATATGGCCCTTTTGATGAGTTTGAGCGCGTTGTCTTTGGGCTCTTTAATTACTTTTGCTTCTGGTTCAGTCGATTTACCCCAAAAATTAGACAAGCTTTGACGATCCCGGTCCTGTAAAGAAACATTATCTCAAAGTTATGAGGGTATCAGCTGATATTGAAATTAAATGGCTGGGTTTCAGTCCGCCCTATTATGGCTCTCATGTATGTGAAAGGGGTCTACGAATCTTGGTTCAAGCTTAAAGAAAGCTTATACGTTGGATTGCTTCAGCCTGCGAGCCAAGCAGCCTGGGCATCGGCCGTCGGCAAGTCAGATTCCACTCCAGAAATGAGGTCTTAATGGTCCAAAAGCCGTGATTGGACACTTGTGGAGGGAAGGTTGTGACTAAACCCGAGGGTCCGAGACATTGGGTTCACTAGCCCTTCAGCTCATGAGCCAACACTTGCCCCCGACTTTGACTCAGTTGTAATGATGAAAGAACCTCTCGGAGATTTCTGAGCCAAGAAAAAAATCAGCCAGAACTTCTGGGCATGTTATTGTGTATGAGATGTGTGGTTCAGACAAACACCAAGAAATCTGCTCGCCAAGCCGGCAACAACATGACCTCCCTTCAGTCCTACCTTGGCACTACAGCATTCTTCATTCGAATACGAGGTCATCTGATGAAACTTATCAAATATGCATCTGAAACATTCTCAAGGGACATGTCTCGCCTGAGGTAAATTTTTGACCCCTTGAAGCCTTTGACAGGCTGGCACTCTAATCTGGGGAAATATCGAATTTCCCCAATTCCAGCCGCCCTTCCCCAGATTCCGGACTAGTCTATCACGGCTCTAAACGAATCTAAACTGAAGATCCTCAGGGGATATTCTGAGGTAAACTTTGAGTATAAGAAGGCCGTGGACATCTCTCCAAATCAACTTCCTCAGCTCAGCCAGCATCACTCTTTCACAGCCGGTTGCGTCTGCCACTCTTTACTAACCCAGTTTTCACATTCACTCTTTTTGTTTTTCTGTTTTACATCCAACTTAATCACTCTCTTTTTCTGATATCCATCTGTTCAAGATGAGATACTCCCTCGGTTTCTCTGGTCTTTTGACCATGGCCTTGAGCTCGACTGGTCTCGCTCAGTCTACTCCTGGACCTACTACCACCGACTTCAGCACCTCTGGCGGCATGAACGTGCCCACCTCAGTCACCTCCCAGCTGCCCGTCACTTTCACCACCACCTTGACCACCATGGCCAGACCCACCAAGTCTCCTGTCCCTGGCAAGTGTGAGTGCGGCACTGGAACCTGCTTCACCCCCGAGATCTGCAGTATCGAGTGTACCACCGTGTACGAGGACTGCTGCAGCATTGAGGGCTCTGACATTCAGGCCTGCAAGAGTCAATACACCATCTGTCTCGGCTACAACCCCTACGAGTCTGTCTTCGTCAAGCCTACCAGCTGCAAGCATGACAAGAGCTACTACATTGAGTACGAGTCCAAGTACACTAGCTCTTACTTCGAGGAGAAGTACGGCTACTACTACTCTTCCTCTTCTTACTCCACCTCTTCTTACCACTCTGGTTACCACGCTGGTTACTACACTGCCGAATACTGCTGCCTTGAGTGCACCACCATCTACGATGAGTGCTGCGCTGTTCCCGGTGCCGATATCGCTATCTGCAAGGAGAAGTACACTGTCTGCCTCGGCTATAACCCCTTCATCGTCCTTCCCTGGGAGGAGCCTTCTGTCTGCAAGCACGAGGAGTCTTACTACAAGGAGTACGAGTCCAAGCACGGCGAGTCTTACTACAACTCCAAGTACGACAAGCACTACGAGCACTCCGATGTTGAGGTCGATGTTGAGCAATGCTGCATTGAGTGCACTACTGTCTATGATGAGTGCTGCGCTGTTCCCGGTGCCGATATCGCTATCTGCAAGGAGAAGTACACCGTCTGCCTCGGCTACAACCCTTGGGATGTTACCCCATTCGTCAAGCCCACTGTCTGCAAGCACGGTGAGGACTCTGGTTCCAAGTCAAACAACAACAATGGCGGTTCCAGCTCCAGCTCCAGCTCCAGCTCTGAGGAGGAGTGCTGTGTCCAGTGCACCACTGTCTACGATGAGTGCTGCTCCATTGACGGCCACGACATCGAGGTCTGCAAGAAGGAGTACGTCGTCTGCCTTGGCTACAACCCCTGGGACGTCACCCCCTTCGTCAAGCCCACTGTCTGCAAGCACGGCGAGGATTCCGGCTCCAAGTCAAACACCAACGGTGGCTCCAGCTCCAGCTCCAGCAAGTCTGATGACTACTCCAAGACCTCTGGCTCCAAGTCCGACAGCTCCAGCAAGTCTGGCTCCGATGAGGAGTGCGCTGTTGAGTGCACCACTGTCTACAAGGCTTGCTGCGACGCTTCTGGTGCTATCATTGAGACCTGCAAGACTGCCTACACCACCTGCCTCGGCTTCAACCCTTGGGATGTCACCCCCTACGTTGAGCCTACCGTTTGCAAGAAGGGAGGCAAGCCTTCTGGTGATGATGTTGTCATCGTCTCCGGTGGTGAGCGTGTCCGCCCCGTCCTGGCTCTCCTTGCCATGGGTGCCATTGTTCTCCTCTGTTAGTACTCCTCTTCTACCCGCGTCAACTCCTACTAACATCTTCACAGAAACGACTAGCGACTATGTAGCCGCATAATCTTCGCTTCGTTCTTCTATTTCCACTCCGTTGCTCTGGGGCACCCGCACCTTGCCTTCTTACTTTCTCAGTGGGATGTCTGTTTCTGTGCAGTGGATGCTTAACATTCTTATCTTTTGATGATCTTATGGTTTTATGGGTGTTGCCGCATACTCGGCCTAAAATAGTGCACGATAGACACGTACGTAATATCGACGACTGGATGGAGATTCTCTGGATGGCGGTCCTGGGCTCTTGGGGGCGATTACATGTATTCCATAGTCTACTTTAGACTCTGTGCCCAGAGCTCAATTCACTTCTCTGTCAACTATTTATTTCGACCGCGAGCTTACGTGTTTCGTACTAACATCCTCGGTCTTTTTATTGTGTTCAATGCGACATTATAAACGGCAGTTACGGCACTTGATTTTGACTTTGAGCATGGACGTTGGCCTTCATTTGGAAGTGTCCACTAGCTAGCCAGTGGGGGAAATGGAGTGCTCTGCAGTTGCGTGAAACGCGTGTACCCCGGATTTTCTCATCTGCGGGAGGAAAACATGGCAATTGATTAATCCACCAAACGAAGCAGCTCAAGCTGCATCTAGATCTGGCCATAATCCGATCGAAATGGGCTGCTACACTTGTTATAGTTAGTCACTTTGGGGGAATGGCAATCGACTTGAAACAGCTGAAACCAACAGCGGAAGCTTACGCTCCGGACAAACCGGATGACCCTTGGCCAGGGACCTCGTGTTTTTAATGAACAAATTATTCTCCACCAATCACGAGGAACTCCCTTGAACTGTGTTTGGAGTATAGAGTTGCAGTTATATGACGATTTACTAAGAGATGAAGTTTAAAAATGCTACATAAATACTGAGACTGTTGGCGTTTTGTTGTTGGTTCCATTTCTCATCGCTGACTTGTTTCGGTTATCCTGATCTACACCACCATGAAGTTCCTTACGACATTGAGTTTCGTCACTGCGGCGTTCGCTGCTAGTCGAACAACTGCTCCTTCTGGATGTATAACCGTTAAGAAGTCACCTGGAAGCGGCCAATTCGGTACTATCCAAGCTGCAGTCGACTCTCTCTCGACTACAGCATTTGGAAAGCAATGCATCTTCATTGACCAGGGCACCTACAACGAGCAGGTCCTTGTTCCTAGCCGCAGCGCTCAGCTGTCCATTTACGGATACACTACCGACACCAGCGGATATAGCGGCAACAAAGCTACCATCACAGCGAAGAAGAGCCAGGCTGATGGTCTCAACAACGATGCAAGTGCTACACTTCGTGTTAAGGCTGCCAACTTCAAGCTGTACAACGTCAATGTTGCCAACACCTACGGAAAGGGCAGCCAGGCTGTTGCTCTGAGTGCATATGCCGACAGCGGATACTAGTATGTCAACTGGCAATTCTCCTAGGTCGTTACTAACTAGCTGCAGCGGCGTCGCTCTTACTGGGTTCCAGGATACTCTTCTCGCCCAGCAGGGCTACCAGCTGTACTCTAAATGTCTTATTCAGGGCGCTACCGACTTCATCTTTGGCCAGACTGCTTCCGCCTGGTTCGAGAATATTGACCTTCGAGTTGTCGCCGCCTCAGTTGGCTACATCACTGGTATATTATTCATCCCTCGGTATCAAGCACAAGCTCTAACACCAAACAGCCAACGGTCGTGACTCTGACTCCAATATGTCTTACTACGTGTTCAACAACTGCAACATTGTCGCAGCTGCTGGCAATGCCGTCGCCAACGGCGCATACTACCTTGGTCGTCCCTGGCGTCAATATGCCCGTGTCGTGTTCCAGAAAACCAGCATGAGCTCTGTCATCAACTCCAAGGGTTGGTCGATCTGGAACACTGGTGAAGAGAACACTGCCCACGTTCTGTTTGGAGAGTTTGACAACACTGGTGCTGGTTCTCAGGGTCAGCGTGCCTCTTTCGCCACCAAGCTCTCCTCTGCAGTTTCCATCTCTACTGTTCTTTCTGGAAACTACGCTTCCAAGGGCTTCTATGATGCCTCTTACATGTAGAGTATATAAAAAGAGAAGCCTGGAGCTACAAAGGGGTCGTTGAGTTAACATGCATATGACTCAATGCCACCTATCATTCGAAGTACATATTCGAGCAGTTAAGTCAATACTATTGATAGACTAAATACACTTGCCATTTTATCACTCGACGATTTCCCGTGTTCTTGTATCATCGCTTCCTTCTGGAATGCCTACAAAAGTGCTAGTAGTCTTCTTTGCCTGTTACAGGAAAACTGGAGAGACGAAAGGTTCTTTCACTCAAATGGGATCATCCTTGGCAGATTATTCATGGCAAATCTCATCTGAGCCCTGGTATTAGATAATAAGTGAGGTACCAAATATTTTTCAATGCATTTCTCCCGATTACAAGATCTTCTATTTAATCTATTCGTCATGAGAGATAAGAGGCAGACATATAATGACAGTTTCGAAAGACCAAGAGCCGTGGAAACAGAAATACTTAGATACCAATTGTATTTATATAATGTTAAGATGGATGGGAAGCAGTATCTGTCGAATAAAACGTTGTAACATGTAATCAAGGAACCATGAAGAACATATACTAAGCTACCTAGAGCTACGTTCCAATCTCACCAAGTACACTTGGTCGAAGTGTAGACATATGTCCAACACGTCTGACAGATATTCTCCCAACAGCCCGAAGGGCCACCGCAGGTACCAGACGACTGCTTTGTCAGTTTGAAACATTTCCTCGTGCCACCAGAGTACACAACATGCGCCCTTTCTCTATCTGAGTCGATACATATTTGTTTGATCCAATCATACTTGGTTTTCCTACAGCCATCATCGAAAGCACCTAGGTTGTAATCTTTGCCGTCGTCACCATAGTAGACGGACGAGTAAACACGAATGGGTGCTGCTCCGGTTGTGACGTAGGTCTCAATACGAGCACCATCGGCGGCACCTAGCAAGGAGAGCGCAAATGCTACAGTTGGGAGAGTAAACTTCATAGTGGCTGTGGGGATTAGCCGGTGCTGATCAGTATTGTGCAAAAGGTAAGACAAGTTGACTTACCAATAAGTGTAAGAAGTTTTAAAAGTTGCAATAGTAGATAGACCAAAGAGGATTTTGTAAGGTGCTAAGGATCCAGGAGAAGGTATGAGGAGGAATCAGCTACCTTATATAAGAAAACTCTCTATCTAGATTCACTGCAGCGCCAATAACAGTCTAAGAACATCTTCACTGATTAAATCCCTCACATGTAACTGCCACTTCTTGGGAATGTCGGCAACCTCTTCATTGGGATAGCAGACTATGCGTCTCCTGATGTTGGGCCTGGTGGACATCGTGGAATTTGAGCAAATTTGGCAGTTCCGACTGAGATTACTCGGAACATCGGCACAAATTCAAAGAAAATCGTGGTTCTAGACTCAGACTCTGCGGCACGCTATCAGGTCTTGAACCGAGTTGGTAACCACTGCGGTGACATTGATCATGATTCGCAGGTATCTCTACACTGCTCCAGTCAAATCGACGACCAACAGACATGTATCTTCTCATGTGCCCACTAATCGCCACTGCATACATCTCTGCCCTCTGGGTCAAAGAAGAGAGCCTCAAGGTCACGTCACGAATACTCCGACAAAGTGAAAAACTTCATATACTAGAGGACGTTGATTTGGGGCGAGCAACCAATTGCTGGGGATATTATCATGGTCTATCTTTTATTCCCTCCCGAATTGAGTTTGTGTCCTCCTGTATCAGCACGCGGGCGCGTGAATTATGTTCACATGTAATCTTCGGACCATCTTCGATATGTTCACTGCCATTCCTTTTCCAAGGAAATCAGGCCATGCTCTGAAAGTCTTATTCCAGTTCCTGCGATAGGGCCCTCAAGTCTGGCAGGAAGATTTACGGCTAGGTAAGGAAATGGACGTCGAGTGAACTCTGAGCTCGAAGAGTCCCTATGACCTGATGTTTCTGTTGTTGGTTGTTGGTTCTGTCTGTTACACGAGGTCATCTGATGATGCCTGCAAGGATAAATGTATGTTGGTTCTGTTAAAATTCCAAACTAAGTTACTGCCTAAAGAGATTTGCACGTCAGGACCTTAACCAGCGCTTTTATCCTGTATTTATCCGGTGGGGCTGTCATAGCTGAGCAGGACCCTGATGCTCGCTTATTATCACATCACCATGAGAGCTGCCGTGTCCTGCATCTTGCATTCTTCGTCGTCTTCGTCTTCTTTTCCTTCATAGGCGCTTATTTCCCTCTTTTCCTCCGAAGCTATACCGATTTCTTTCGACTACTCAGAGCTATTAGAAGAGTTAACCATTACCCAGACATCTATTTTCAGATCCTGGACTCATCGTCCTTCATCAAATGCCATTCAGCTCGTATGAAACGCAGATGTCGGCTCTCGACTGATCATTCTGCGATAGCTTTTTGGTGGCAACACATACACTCCGACACTTCAAACAAAGGGAAGGATATTACTAGCCAGACCGGAAGGGTCTTTTCACCGGCCCTTTCCCGAAATCACTGCTGAAGCTCTCTTGATCACAGTGCAAGAAGGAAGGCGTTCCAGGTAAGCCAGAAGCTATAAGTATTGCTCCCATCCAATGTATTAAAACTAACTAATCGGAGCATACATCTTGTTGACAGCCTACTCATATCCTACTCCATCCAATCTGAACCTCAATTGCTGCAAAAGGACTGCGATGATTTGCGATTGACAACCTTGGGTGTCTAGAAGAAGAAGTGCCTAGCATTCAAGCCTTGCTGGGGTCGGCAACGGCGGGCTCAATGTGGACAATGTTGGCGTGGGCATCAGCCTCAAAGAGCTTCTTCTGTGTGGATGTCTTGACGGGGTTGTCAGACGAGAAGATGTGGTCAAGCTCCTCAAGAGTGCGATTCTTGGTCTCGGGGACGAGGAAGTAGAGGATGACGGACTGGCAGACACACCAGATGCAGAAGACAATGTAGGTCTTCCACGCGATGTTCTTGAGAGCAACAGGGATACCGAACTGCATGACAAGCATAGCGGCATTGGTGAAGAGAGAGCTGAAGGCCATACCCTTGGCTCGGATCTCGTAACTGAGAACCTCGACAGGGTAGAGGGCCTGGAGAGGAGTCCAACCAACGGAGTAGAAGATCTGGAAGAGGTAGACCCAGGCCAGAATAGCCTTGCTGACCGGGGCAGTGACTGCGTCGGTTTGGGACTTGTCGTCGAGGTCGGTAATGTTGGCAATAGAGGCGGGGACAGTGACACCGACCCAGCAAAGAGCGCAAACAAGGTTGACAACGAGAAGCATGGGACGGCGACCGACAGTGTCAGTAAGAAGAGCTCCGAGAGCGGCGAAGACAATCTGGACAGCGTTCATGCCCAAGGCGACCTTTGTCTGTGTCCTTCCCTCCTTGATACCGGCGGTGTCGAGGAAAGCACTGAGGTAGTAGGAGACGATACTGTTGCCAGCCCACTGGCCGAAAAGAGAGACGAGACAGTTGCAGGTGAGACGGTAGATGGAGGCCTTGTTGCGGAACAGAGCACGGTAGTCCCACCATCGCTTGTCGCTACCGTCCATCTCAAGATGTTCCTCGTACTCATGAAGCTGGAGCTTGACCCATTCGCTGTCAGGGTTTCCATGACCGTGGAGCTTGACGAGGTTGTCGATGGCCAGTTGCTTTCTGCCGCGAGTGTACAGCCAACGAGGGGACTCAGGGAGCAACATGGAAAAGAAGAAGATGGTGCAAGGGAACATGAGCTGAAGGCAAACAGAGATCATCCAAGAGGTGTTGGTTCCCTCGTAGGTCCAACCACCGAGGGCGGCACTGCTAGCAACGAGGGCACCGACAGGCCACATGACGTTGTAGAGACCAGTGATGATACCACGGTGAGCAGGGTGAGAGACCTCAACGACGTAGGTGGGACCAGCGGCGGCGGCGATGGAGACACCGAAACCAAGGAAGAAGCGGCCAGCCATGAACTGATCAACACTAGCGGTCTTGATACAGGCGATCTGGATAACGACACCGATGATGATGATGAAAGACCCAATGGTCATACCGGCGCGGCGCCCCCAAGTATCGATAGCAGGACCAACGGCGGGAATAGCGACGACGGAACCAATCTGGTACATGGAAGTGACGATACCTGGAGACAGAGATTGTCAGTTTTGGAACCCCACATCGGATCGAATTCGACGAGACATACCGGCTCCGATACCCTTGTTATCAACATCAAAGAACTTCTTAAAGTCATCGTTGGAGAGAAGAGTTCCAAAAAGCGAACCGTCGTAACCGTTGGCGGTGGAGCAGCAGAAGGCGACCATACTGGCGAAGATGAGGACAGGAGCGGCGATCTTGGGCGGGGGCTCCTTGATCAAGGCCTGTTGGAAGGCCTCATCACCAATGGCCGTCTTGACAATGGCGACCTCGTGCTTCGGCTACCGAAAGAAGTCAGTATATGCTCAATTGCGCTGGTGAGCGAAGAAAGACGTACATTCTTCTCATCGTGCGTTGCGCTGTGAATGGATTCAGACCCCATGTTGATGTTTCAGCGCCGACGCTGTGAATTATCTTTCTGGGTGTTTTGTTGATTGATGATTGAGATGGGTCTGAGCAAGAAACAAAACTCTGGGATCCAAGATGGATCAAGGGAATATATATTAAAATTCGAGATGCTGGGGATGGTGGTGTTCGTCTGCATCGCAATTTGAGTCCGTCCGTGTGCCTGCCAACTGCTACACAATGGAACACGGTCTGCAGATCCGATACAACCCACAAAGATCTGAAAGGGCTGGTGAGTCTATCTGCCCAGGACTACGGATCGACGGCCAACCTTCCGAGAGCTGAATCAAGTGCTACACTCTTACGGCCTAGACTGATCTGACAAGAACGGCCAAGTCCCATCCCTGAACCAGAAATTCACGTGGGATGGGGAAGCGAGAATTCGGTATTGACGCGACAAGAGTCTGATTTGTTACTCGACAATGCAGTCATGTGCGTTGGCCGCCAATTCAGGTGTGCCAGCGGCGCTTAACACTCGCTCGTTCGATGAGTAGTGATCGTGCTTCTGTCGGCTCCGTGGTCCGCCATGCATCTAACGTGCTCTGTCTTCCCTGGAAGCTTATCGGCTCACTATGCGGGTAGCCGAGGATGGCTCTTACGATTCCCCGTGGAGAGGGATGCGGGTTAGACGCGGAGGCCAAAATTACTGTTCCCTCGTGGTGCTTCTGTTTAAGGTAAGGGGGAACTCTTTGTGTTGGCCGGCCCGGATTCCCGTTGGGTGATTGGTCGAGATCCTTGCTGCTGAAAGTGGACAAAAGTTCCAGACCGTGAGAATGCTATGAATAGGATGAGGGTACGGGAATGGAAGATGTCTTTTATTGCCGTTAGAGTTTATTGTCCAAGTATACGCATGTTCTGAAGGGTTCGTGCCCTAGATGATAACTTTTTACCTAAAACTTTATCGACTTTGATCTTCATGGCATTTGATCTCACGATAAAGTTGGTCAAAACATGGCTTATTTCACAAGCCTTCATGGTTCAGACAAGCTTACTCCCCCGCATTCCAAATCACCAATTCTCCACGAATAACAGTCTCGTTTACGGCCCGATTCCTCCGACCCCATAGCACCTGAATCCCAAATAAGAAAAGACACATGCGGAAAAAGCGGGATTGCAATCCCCCGATGATCTGGGGTAAGCTTTTCACTTCTCCAGTCACAGAGTACCGAATCGGCTGCCAATGAACGAATAAATCGACGGAACTCGAAGACCAACCTGCCGTCGCTCAATAAGGCTACCCTCCGAAATCGTTTGACAGATCATGGGGCGGCAGCGCCTTTGACAAGCAGCGGTAACGGTTTTCCACCGCGAGTCGTTAATCGGCTTGATGGGATGACATTCCGAATTTTCACCTGAGAATACTTGTCTTCATACAGCGGGACTGGCAGTGGCCGGTCCGCACCGAAAAGAGGTCATTTCGTGGGTTAGGGTTGATGACTGACCCAGAACAACGGCTGCCCATGCCGCCCAGAGGCTGGGCCGATATCCCGTCAAGGATGCCTCTCTTGGCCTGCTTGGCCGATTCTAGATTATGAGTACACTATTTCCAAGCATCGGATTTATGTCTGTTGGGGGCTCGTAGAGATCTCTATTGGGCAACTTTATTACGATTCCGCAGTTTATCTTATCATCCCATGATGTGACTGGGCTCCTGATGGTGAAAAGTCTGTTCCGACTGTGCCTCAGGCTGATCCTGAACTTGTCAAAATAGCGAGATTTGGACAATCTCGGTGCTTGCCGAAGCATTCGAGACTTCAGTCAAAGTCACGTCAACTTCGTGTCAATCTCCAGTTTCGAGACTATCATATCTCAACTTCTCGGAACTTCAGACAGAGAAACTTTCCAAGGCAATGAGTAATTCGCGATTGCAAGTCTCGTGATGTTTCTGATGATCAAGTGCTTTGGTAAAAGGCTGTACCAAGATCACTGAACAGCAATATCAAGACATCAGCTACTCGGCAGTAGCTTAACTAGAGCCAAGCGAAGGCTTGCCGACACAGCCGCGTCGATCTTAAAGTGGTCTTTCTCAAACGAGTATAAATACATCGATCTATTCTCGTAATGGTGTGGAAGAGCTTGCATGTCGTGGGAGCATGCAAGCATGCGCTGGGCCTCTCTGGGGTAAGATCTTGGCGCCCAGTGTCTGAGAAGGCCGACTTTCCGCTACTTTGGATTTCCAATGAACAGGAGTCGATAACCTGAGAGGCGTTCCCGAGAAAATGTCAACGGCTTTAGATGGATGCACGGTGCGGTGATCCTGGGGCTCGAACTTTGATGTCTGGGTCCAGACTGAAAATGTTCCGCCGGCTTTGTTTTGGTGGCGAAAATGGTCCTTTTGGCGCAGAATGTGTCACATGAGCCGTTCGAGAGGACTCGTCTATCACACTACTCTGCTTAATGCCAAGCCGTCTGTCAGAGCGTCTTAGCATGTCGAAAGCCAATCGTCTGTTCTCCAGTCTAGTACGGGTACTGTAAGACTTTTGTCTTCATTGTTCCAATTTCTGCGAGCCCTCCAATGTATAGTTGAAACAGCTCTGGTGACTGCTTGGTGTGATAGAGTAACAACTTTCGTTGAAGAATTGGAAGTCTAACAATACAGGATTATGCTCGTATTATTTGAGCTCAGGCATCAATAAAGCTTAATTAAGAGCCGGGACTCCACAAATAGGGAACCCGTTGCATATATCAACTGAGCTATTTGTACGCAGTTTCAGGTTGTAAGGCGAAAGATTGGTACTCAGGAAGCTAGTTGATTCGATGCAGCTAGGGGAGTGTTATGACGCTAACAGATAAGATTGAGATTAGCCCAGTCATTAGTATTATCTGTTAATGCACAAGCTCACGAGTAATAAATATCCGCGTTTTCTATCCCAAATAACTAATATCCAATATGAAAAGAGCTATTAAAATTCTCCCTTAGTGTTTACTATTACATTGGAAGCTCTGTTTGGAAGTATTATTACATGTGAAATGTTGTTCAGGGTAAGTTATGTTTGTCGCATTTTTCTGGTGGTCGTTATATCTACAGTACGGTATGGCGATAAGATAAGAGGAGATAACGATTACTCTTTTCGTTCCCAGAAGCCGAGGCAGACGTCTATAACTATTGACAGGGGTTTTAAGAACAGCCAAGACAGCCAAGGCTCCAAGTGAAGATCTCTTATGTCCGAACATACTTCCCGTCTTTCGATGGCTTGGCTGAAGGGCCCTATAAAAGCACTCTGACTTTGTGCAAGTTTCGTGTCATTGAAAAGAACTTGGACATGGTGACACGATAAGATAAGACACGGCGCGAAAAGGTCGCGTCGCGCTTCACGAATCATAATAATCGCTTCTTATTGGTTAAAGCGAGCGCGTCTCCTTGGCTCTTGAGCGTGAGGAGGGACCCACCACTTGGGCTTGGACAAATAATAAGGAGAAGTAACTGGCGACTTGACGGAGGCCTCTAACGATGGGCTTAGCCACTCATCCTATACTCAGAAAGCGTGAAAAGTGATAGTCATTTTGACAAATAGTTTCAGCTACCACGAGCTTGGTAGGGCTGTGCATCCTCGACTGTCGTCGACTGTCGATCAATTACGGAATGACATGCTATAGAGTCTGCAAGACAGCTGGAGGTATTGTCATTCTTATCATGGAACTTTATTGAACTTATTTGCGAATGAGAATGTCTTTCCTATGTGTCGCGACATGGGTAGGGCTTATCGGCTGCTGCGAGTCGTCTGACTTACTTGATTCGGCGGGCATTTCGACGCTACCAGGCGGGCACCACGGGAATCAGTGAGTCTGATCATTGGCCAAAGCTAACCCTCGAGTGCTCAACCATACTGTTGAGAGCGTTTAGGTCGATGGTAAGCATATCGATAGACTTACTGCTTTTGGTACTTGAAGAGATATTGCGGAATATACAATCTGAATTCATGTATATATATGTCTAGATCTTGACCCCTTTCTTGGCGATACCGGAATAGTTCATTTTACTCCTGTCCCAAGACCAATTACAAACACATAAGCTTTATGGGTATTCTAAGAGATACGATCGGCTCAGTCATCGAAGCTGCAGCAGAGAGTAGCCAAAAGAAGAAGCCCTCTTCCATCTCAAGGCAAATGCCACCATCGCGACAAGATCTATCGCCTTATGACTCATCGTCATCCTCATCCCATTCACATCAGTCACGTACAAGGCAAAATTATGACCTGAAGTCGCAATGCCAGTCTTCGCAGAGAGAAACTCACTCTGTTCGAGACGGCTTCAACACCCAACAACACGCTGGTTATTGCTACAGCGATGAACCGCCCTCTTACTCACTGCATGCCTACGACGAACCCTCGAGCAGCCGACCCAGAAGCAGCCAGATGCCTTCACAAAGTAACATCTATCAACAGCCTTCATATAGCTATTCTTCCCCTGAAACCACAACTACGAACATGCGATCCGCCTATGGCCAACCAACCTATCAAAACTCCGACTTTCGACCTCTCATCCTCCCTCAGGTTGCTTTCGGAGCAGGAGAGCACTTTTTAAGAGGCTATAGTTCTGAGATCAGCAGATACGGAGTCCCACGCGATCAACTTCTTCGAGTCATAGATGAAATCAATATTGCTCGTACCCCCAACCCAGAAGCACAATTGTTCCAAAAGGGTGCCAACATTGCTGGGTGGTTTCTGTAAGTTGACTTGATTCAATTTCTACGGCTTTGAAGACTGATGAATGTATCTGTCAGGCCTGGTGCTGCCAGTATTGGGCTCATTGCAGGCCAAGTCGGCGTTGGTGTTGCTACAGCTTTCGGCCATGCATCAATGGTTTCTAAGGCACTATCAAAGGCCAACATGGAACTATTCGCGCCCAATGGGCTTGAGATATGGTAAGTATCGCCTCACATTCAACGACTTCATGCTAACGCAGCTCCAGTATTGTCAGGACCCAAGACCTTAATATGGAACTGGGCATCTCTTCATATGAATTACGTGACATGCCGTATAACATGTCACCGGCCGATAGGTTAAATGCTTATAGACCCCACATCGCCTTCGTGAATGAGATTCTACCAAGTCGATCAGATATGGGACGACAAGATCCTCTTGCCATGGCTGGTCGAGCACTCAACAAAAGGTCGAACCAGAAGAAGGCTCAAGACGCACAGGAGAAGCTAGACAAAGGCGAAAGAAAGGACAAGGGAAAAAGACGGCTTTTGAAGTCATACGATGACATTGAGTGGGTGAGTAGCTATTGCGGCTGCGATACGTCAAGAAGATAACTGATCATTTTCTCTAGCTTGTCGTAAAACTTGCGCCTCCTATGGGAGCTGGACAGTGGTAGAGCCTCCTCATTGAGTGGATGAACCGAAGGGCGACAGGCAGGAGGTTGCAATAGTTTTAATGAAGTGTTGAAGCGAATTTCGTGTTCGATTAGAATAGACTTGGCAATAGAGTAGAAATAAGAACCCAAGAAGAGTCCAGAATTTGATAACAAAATTCTCCATCAAAGCTGCTATACATTTAGACTATGCTCAGAATATAGAAAGCTGTTACCAAAGTTACAGTGGTATGGCTGGGTTAATGCACCGTGCCGCTTTGTCTGTTGAGAACTTGGATGATCATGAACTTATTCTTGTCACTCAAATTTCCCAAGACACGCCCCAAACTGGTAGCAAACAACTTGTTCCCAATTTCAGCTATCAATCCCAACTTCGTAACCATTCCCCCGCGTCACTTGCTATTCTGGCTCCACCATGAAGGTTACAACTCTAACTGTCAGGAGGTCTAAAAATCGAGACAATCATATTTACAACCGACCCAACCAGAACCCATAATGAAGAGGGGATGATGGTAGCAGAATGTGATATGGCTTGACGAGAACCTACGTATCATAAAATATGTTGAGCGGACTTAAAGCCAAGATACTCACAGCCATGGAGCAAGCCATCCGTTATAAGCACTATGTCAATTTCGGCTGTATGTTTCTACGACTGGACTCTACCCAAGGAAGTCAGCTCGAGTTACAGCCACGGATTATCCAGAAACGCCATTAGTAACCACTCTCCCAAGATTCTTTTCGCAAGGGTTTTCGTATATTGAGTTACATCGACATGAATCCTTTGATGATCTTTTACGGTTGAGAGAGGAACATGCGTAGAGAAGAACATCACAGTGCTTTCGGGAGCTTGTCATTACTTGATGGCATGAGAATTACTGTCAAACACGATGGAAGGTATATGGAATCACAATGGCATGAAAGGTCTATAAAGATGGACGCTTCTCTTGTCTTCTGAGAACCTTCTTGACAACAACAAACCTTCAACTCTCAGACTTCCATTCCATTATTACAACAAGCACTAGTAAGGACTTAACACCATGCAGTTCTCCAACATCTTCATCACCGCAGCCGTTTTCATCGGTGCCATCTCTGCTGCCGCCGTTCCCGACACAAACATCCGTAAGCTCACAAGCTGCACAACTAAGGCCATACATGGTTCACTTACTGATCACAAAATAGCTGGTATTGATCTCACTAAGCGAGCTTGCAACGAAGAACAGTTCAGACAGTGTACTCGTAACTGTCCTACCGGAACTGGTGGCGGGCCCATTGGATGCCCTATTGGTGAGCAACAGTTTGGTGATCCAAAGTGAGGTAGTCAGCTAACTGTGCTGGTTAACAGGATGTTGCATTGCTGCCGGCTGCTGCTAAGTAGATTGCCATACGCATGAGACTACAGACGGAGGACGGGGACATTATGTACCTGGGGGTTCGAGAAGAAAGGATTCCTGCATGTTTCAAACTACGGCCAACAGCCTTTACCGATTGCAGGATGCGATTCTGGGAAAGAGTCGAAAGACTACTAAGACATAGCCATCAATACACCTTGTTCTGTGTCACATGTTCGATCTAGTAATGCGGCGATCTTTTCATGTCATGATTATGCCTTTCGTCGCTGTTTGACCAGCCTGAACATCGCCACGTGCCCGGCAGTAATGTCCGCAAGTACAGCCTACTCGTCTAATTGGTTCCTGCGTACAGCCTGACAAGGCTGCGCTGAGGCTATGATATTGACTGGACATTCCGGCTAGTCGATGTGGTGCTTTAACGTAGCGAATGCGACTCCGAGCTATGCACTCAGTATAACTCGTCGAAACATGTACCGAATGGAGAAATTTAGGTCTTCCGCTATGGTGGGACTTTCGTGCTAGGTAAGCTGACGGTACGCGGTAGTCGACCTCTCCACGGCGCCATGCCCAAATAGTAAGAGAAACAGCACGCTGGCAGAATGTGTTTAAAGTAGCTGGGTAATTAAGAATCAACAACATGTATAAATTAGTCGACCCGCGACACGATCTGGTTTCTCACCTCCTTCAGTGAAACTACATTCTCATTACACAACTATATCTTTTACAATACAGCAAGCTTTCAACATGAAGCTGAACAAAGTCGCCTTCTTCACCTTCTTGGTAACTTCCAAGTCGGTACGTTCATCGTCATCTTCAATGGAATATTGATACTAATAGAAAACATCAACAGCTTCCAGCAAATGCACTCCCATCCGAGGTCAATCTACACCGTAGACATGACTTGCCGAACGTCACTATGCTACAGCTTATTCCAGATGATGACTTTAACTTCAACGTCATGGTGACCTTAGCCGCTGCTCCTTATCAAGGTGCAGATATCGGAGAGGTTCTTGTTGCTGCAAGCCAGATCAAGACAGGCGATTTCGAAAGCTACTATCAAGCATACTATGATCTTGCAACTCGAGTCCACAAACAGGCAAAGACGATCGATTGCAAGAAGCATCCAGTTTCTGCGAGGAATGCCCTTTTCAGGGCCTCGACCTACTATCGCTCTGCTGATATGTTCTTGCATGGGAACTGGAGTGATCCCAGAATTATGTCACTTTGGAAGCAGCAGGCCGATACCTTTGACAAAGCAATGAAGCTCATGCCGATTCCTGGCCAGCGCGTCAAGATTCAGGCTGATAACTTCACTGTGCCTGCCATCTTTTTCAAGACTGACAAACCTGGTCGTCACCCTACTGTTATTCTGGGCAACGGATATGATGGCTCCATGGAGGATCTGTATCATGTCATGGGCGAGGCTTTGCTGCAACGAGGTATGAATGCTATCGTGTATGAGGGACCAGGCCAGCCATCTGTCCGTCGATACCAAGAACTTGGCTTCATCCCGGAATGGGAAAAAGTTGTCACACCGGTTGTTGACTACGTTCTTTCTCGAGATGACGTCGACGGCAGCAAAGTTGCACTGATGGGCTTCTCATTCGGTGGCTTCCTCGCGACTCGTGCCGCAGCCTTTGAGCACCGCCTCGCTGCAGTGATCGCCCTCGACGGAATCTACGATTTCGGCCAAGCAATGTTCAAGCAATTTGGACCTGACATCACTGGACTATTCAAAGCTGGAAAGAAGAAGGAAGTTGATGAGGAGGTCGCCCTAGTACAAAACAACTCGAGCCTGCCCTCAACTTTGCGATGGGGCATCGATCAGGGAAAGTGGTCGTTCAAAACTCATTCTGCGTACACGCTCCTGAAAAGGTCTGAGGCTTTCACCTTGAAGGGTATGGTGGATAAGATCAAGGCGCCTGTTTTTGTAGGAGATGGTCAGAATGATATGTTCTTCCCTGGACAGGCGAAGGAATTAGCGAAGCAGCTTGGAAGTCGGGCAACGTATCATCTCTTTGAGACGGTTCAGGGGGCTGGACTTCATTGTCAGGTTGGTGGTTACGTGTTCATGAACCAGGTTTCTCTTGACTGGCTTGAGGATGTTTTTGCAAATCATACCGAGGGCAATTGAGGGTCGGATCAAACCGACAGGTCATGACATCTGCAGCGATGGACTAAATGATGCTCCACCCACTGTGCATCGCCACTTTGAGGGACCGTGGAGTCAAGTTACCCACTAGACTAGCTAATTGATCGTTTGGCAATGGAATGAAGCTGCTCTGAGCCTGGCCGTGAATAAAGCGGAGATGGTTGTGGTTGTTGTTTGGCTGACAGAGAATTGTCGGCACTCGGCAGAGCCTTCAGGTGAGATGACGCAAGGATGAAATGGCTTAGCGAAGGCCTCCAGTGGCCAATGGCTTCTGATAGGTGCCGAGTACCCGTGCTTATCACTGAACGGCCTAACGTTGTGCCAAATAGTGAACTTATCCTAATTTGGTGGGTATTTCGACGCTAAGGTAACAGATCCAGGAATCACCAAATACTTCAATATTTCGTCGAAACACTCGCCTTTTTCACACCATCCATCAATCACCGAATCTGTCATTCAACCCCAGACCTTACTGCTAATTGCCAGAGTAACTAATTGAGCTAACCCGCCAATCGTTCAATAGCCAATCAAAGACTGCTCATCTGATATCGGGACCATGGTCTTCTCTGGTAAGCCTTCACGGGCATGTGAACCCTGTCGAGAGAAACGGAGAAAGGTATGGTCGGTATGCATGTTTTCTTATTAAGTATCTAACCATGCTATAGTGTGACCTCAAGAAACCTTCCTGTTCAACATGTATGCGGATGAAAATTTCCTGTTTTGGATATCGAGACGTTCATTCAGTCAAGATCAAAGACCAAACTTCAGCCGTGATACGGAAAGTGCAACGCCAGAGATGTGTCAACACGAGAGTGACCCCCCAATCCAACAGTCCATTCAGCGATTACAGCTCTCCGGATCAGTTGGGTCAGCAAAGTGATATGGAGGTTGACTGTCTCCGAATCTCAAGTCCTCCCGAGGAACTGGCACTTGGATACTTCCTTTTCGTCTTTACACGATCCGGCCCATTCGCATACCTCCATGAACACACAACTACTCTCGCTATTGACGATGACATAATACAGGCCATCCACGCCCCGGCACTGGCATCTCTGGCTCTCGAACATCGGCGAGGTGACCTATTACGAGCAGCCCGTTACCACTACTCCAAAGCTCTGACTCGGACAAACCAAGATCTGAGCGATCCTCAAGTAGCTATCCTCGACAAGACCCTTCTCCGTGTATTGTTGCTCTCAACTTTCGAAGGGTTAGTGTTCGAAGGCCGAGGCTCAACGAGAAACTGGGAACTCCACGTGCAAGGTTCATTGAGGCTCTTGGTCATGCGAGGAAGACAGCAGTTCCAGACTGAATTCGGGCGCAGACTATTCCACCATACCGCCATCAATGTGCTGACAGATTGCATAATGCGATCAAGTCCAATAGCAGACGACTTCTTGCGACTGTACGAGTACGCTACCTCCGGCCAGTCGGGACTCGATGAAGCCAGGACTCGCATGATCGGATTCGTCTGTCGCTTTGCCAGAATGTCTGATGCCAGAAAAGGCATGTTGGCGACGGACTTTGTGAGGGAGTGCATGGAGCTTGACAAACAAGCTGCCGAGTTTATTGATACATTCTACAAAGACACACCATACGAAGTCATCGATGTCACTACGGAGGAGTACCGACAGAATGCTCCTGGCACAGGAATCTGCGCCTACAAGGATACTATACACAAATACCAGTCTCAGCAGTCAACAAGGGTCTACAATACCGCGAGACTCATGCGATTGACAGTCAAAGAGTGGGTATACAGCGTCTTCGATAGAAATCGCCATGGAGTCATCCTCAATGAACCCAGCGAAGATGATCCCCTCAAAGCAAGCTGGAACCAGCTTCCCATCAAGGTCGCACTACAAGCCAGCGATGTCATTGACGATATGCTAGCCAGTGTTCCATACTCACTAGAGCTGTTGAATACACCGTTCCGAACGGCGTCGCGGTATGTTGTCTGGCCACTTGCAAATGCTGCAGGATCTGATGTTTGCCCTCCGCCTGCGAGGCTGTACATCATCGATCGGCTGAAGGAGCTGGCTGTCAAAGCAAACCTTGACCAGGCTATGCAGGCGGTGAATATGTTGGAGGAGAGAGTTCCGCTAGAGGACTGGCAAGTTAGCCTTGATGGTGGATGGTATGTCGGTATGCTAATGACTATTTGACAGGATGCATCTTCTTCATCTCTCATAATGAGCGGACAACAAAAGGTTTTAAAATAGGGCATAATAGAATAATTCCTTGTTATGGAATCGGCCCACGTGGGCACTCGTGTATATAACAGAGTCGAGCCGAAAGAGTTCAAGCATAGTGTATTGCGCGCCCTTATCAAAGACGTTACCACAAGGAATAATTGCGCAATTCGCATCCGCACGAAGAATCTGTCCAGTTATAGGCTACCGAGTAATAGCCCTATGGGCTTGGCTCAATGAATGATCTACTAATGTCCTTCGACCCGAGTTGTATCCACTACGGAGCCGCATGTCGGACCCGAGTCAGTGGTTCCGCAGAGAGTAGGATATAACGTCAAACTCAAAAGGAGACACCATTTTATCACTCTTTTACTGTTGAGAGTGTGCATATGAGTGATCCTCTATGTTGATGACAACGATTGGAGATTATCGTGGAACATATTCTCGTAGAGGTTGGAGTGTTCGAAGCATAAAATGTCTTGCTTGCATGACCCAACCGTGCGGTTCGATGAAGTCTCCAGGATCTATCCGAAAAAGCCTACTAGCAGGGCAATAACGCCCTTGAATCGACATATTGTGGCAACATTCATTGTGCGATTGCTAGTTCGTATGACGAAAAGCGAGTAGTGGAGAGGCTCATGATACCAAGTCAAACGCCTTTCATGCAGACAGGTTTTGGAAACCCAATAACAAGCACACATGGTCCAATTTCTAGAATGGTTCATGGGTCTAGGCCCGCATTGTTGAAGACACCCTGTAAACCTAAGATATTGACCTTGCTAGTCGCCGGTCATCTTGCCGGCACCCGGATATTGACAGATCCTGTATGCACATTTAAGTAGCCATTGCAGGACGCCAAGATGGCCATTTCCACTCGTATCAACATTCAGATCTATCTACTATCACTACTCGTCTTTGGCTCAACGATAACATGAGTGAAGAGAAGCAGGCCAACCCCAAGGTCGCTAACGCAAGCTCTAGCAGCTCACTCAACGAAGGTGCTGTTATTTCTGGCCGAGCTGCAGATGAGACTCTCGATCTCATTGAAAAGCATGGACACGAAGTTGGAGAACTTACCCCTGGGAAAAAGAAGAAGCTCAAGCGCAAGATTTACATCCACGTTCTTCTGCTTGTTACTTTTATCGACTTTATGCTTTATGTGAGTCCAGACCAGAATTCGGGATTTTGGCGGTACTAATCTTTATTGAAAGGTGGATAAGAGCACATTGGGACAGGCTACGCTCCTAGGCCTTTTCAAGGATACGGGTCTCAACAATTCCGAGTACAATAACTTGAACTCGCTGTTCTATACAGGTTAGCTTCCTTGTTCCGCCTCATAATTAACTATTGACTCTTCAAGGCTATATCATTGGACAAATCCCCGGACAGCTTCTCATCCAAAAGCTTCCCCTTCGCACCTTCATATCTGGAATCATCTTCACCTGGGCTGTCATTGTCCTTCTGCACTGTGTCGCTCAGAGCTATGGTGCCCTGATCCCTCTTCGTTTCTTCCTCGGCTTCGTCGAATCTGCGGTCATCCCAGCACTTGAGATCACAATGGCCATGTTCTTCACTCCCGAGGAGCTTCATCAGGTTCAGCCTCTGTTTTACACATCGTGCATTGGCTCACCTATGTTCACCGGTCTCGTCTCATATGGCCTGCTGTATAGTAAAGCTACCACGAGCCCGTGGAAGTTCTTTATGATCATCACTGGAGGTATATCCCTTGTTCTCTCAGTGATTACTTGGTTCTGGTATCCCAATAACCCTGCAACGGCATGGTTCTTGACCACTGAGCAGAAGGTCCATACCATTCGCCGCATTCATGAATCCACGAGAAGTTCGATTGAGCAGAAGACATTCAAGAAGCATCAGTTCTACGAATGTTTGAAGGACCCTATCTCCTGGCTCTTCGCTTTCTCGGGCTTTACGCTCATGCTGGCAAATAACCTCCCCTACCAGCAGAGCCTGCTCTTCCTAGACCTTGGAGTTTCTCCATTGGGATCTACACTTGTCTGGGTAGCTTCAGGAGGCTTTGCCATTCTTGCATGCATCACGGCCTCGCTTCTGATACGCTTCTTTCCTGGACATAGCGCTTGGTGGGCGGCACTTTGGTGCGTCCCTTGTATCGCGAGTAGTATTGGTATGGTCACCATTCCATGGGGTAACACCATTCCCATGCTCGCCTGTCTCCTTCTCCCACCGAACTGCTTTGCGCAAACATGGATCATCTCTGTTGGCTGGGTATCATCCAGTTGCGCCGGTCATACAAAGCGCCTTACTCGAAACGCCATGTTTATGGTACTCTATGGAATCTCGAATATTATCTCGCCACAACTCTGGAAGACTGGAGGGCCTCGCTACTACCCTGCTTGGATTGTGCAGATTGTGGCCAGTTTCACCTTGACGCCCATTCTACTACTCAGTATCCGATTCATCCTTGCCAAGAGAAACAAGGAGAGACGACAATGGATCGCAGAACAGGAAGCGCTTGGAAATCATGGTGAAGGATATGTCGAACAGGTTGTTGATGGTGAGACTGTCAAGGTCAAGGTGGATGTTTCCATGTTGGACTTGACTGATCTGGAGAATAAGTACTTTCTTTATCCACTGTAGTCATCATTAGATATTGTTTTTCAGGGATTGAGCAAAGAATGTTTATTTTCTGCTGCTCACTTAGAAATGGCAGTATTCACCTTCAAGCAAATGATAACAAATCTTAATAGGTCGTCAATATGTCACACATGCCTAAATTCTTAGATACTGGTATTGTCACGGGGCTCTCTCTAGTTCATGCAATCAATCTCAAGTGATTTCCTGAAAGGGTAGGTGGCAATCAAGCACAGATCGTAGCCTCCGCCCTAGAACGACATCTCAACAAGCCCCACCACGCCCAACTTTAACATCCGCCCTGGCTAGACATGATCTTTCACTAGCTCATTCAATTTGGTGAAAACCTGCGCCTAAACGCAAACCATGATCAAATTTGAGCTTGTTTCCTGTTAAGAAGCTATTTATCGAGCGGCGAACGATAAGATGTCGCGCCAAGGTGAACGTCGGTGCGATGCGGCGGTATCATCGCGCTGGAATCTCAACACTTCAGATCCACATGTCCCGTGGGGTTCGTTCTGGAACTGGGGTAGAAGGAAATCGCGAAGACATCTCGGTAAGCTATTATATAATGGATATCGAATTTTGTGATCCCATGGCTCCACATGTTCGCCTTTCATCGACAAGATGCACAGTTAGTCGTATGTTGCCCCGAGTATTCAGATATGGCTTACTATATCAGATGGCCCGAAATCGGCTGTCTAGAGGAGTGAAAAGGAAGCCCTTTCGCCATCTGATTCTCAGGAAGCTGCACTCATGTCGTTCATATCATGACGAACTACATGACCATGCATATCCAAGTAAAGTCTGACCCTCACCCCGAGGTCAACGAATCAACCCCCTCCACCAAGTCAGTCGAGCATGGCACTGCCGACACTGAACTTGAACGCGCCCTCCATGGCCGCCATCTCCAATTCATCGCCATCGGTGCCGCAGTCGGTACAGGCCTCTTCATCGGCACGGGCAACGCCCTTGCAACAGCCGGCCCCGTCTCCCTTCTCATCGCCTTCATCTTCGTCGGAAGTCTTCTCTTCGCAGTGATGACAGCCCTCGGCGAAATGGCAGCATATATCCCCGTCGCAGGCGCCTTCACAACGTACGCCTCGCGCTTTCTCGATCCAACATTTGGCTTTGCGATGGGTTGGATTTATTGGTTCAGCTGGACTATCACATTTGCCCTTGAGTTGACAGCTGCGGGTTTGATCATTCAGTACTGGGAGAAGGGGCTGAATATCGGTATTTGGATCGCTGTGTTTTGGGTCCTCTTTACTGCTGCCAATTTCATGCCTGTTCGCTGGTTTGGAGAGTTCGAGATGTGGTTTTCCAGTATCAAGGTCATCACTATCATTGGCTTCATTATTTTTTCGATCTGTGTTAATGCCGGCGTCGGCGATCAGGGATATCTCGGATTCAAATACTGGAAGGATCCCGGGGCATTCAATGAACATCTTGTTGAGGGAGATGTTGGACGTTTCGTTGGCTTTTGGTCGGTTTTGATCACCGCCGGCTTCAGTTATCAAGGCTCGGAATTGGTGGCCATTGGAGCTGGCGAAACAAAGGATCCACGAAAGACGATTCCTTCTGCAATGCGCTGGACCTTTTGGGGCGTCTTCTCAATCTTTATCGCGACCGTGTTCTTCCTCGGTCTCAATATCCCGTCGACAAACAAAGACCTTCTTAGCGAATCGCAAGACGCTTCAGCATCTCCTCTGGTCATTGTCGCTCAATTGGCTGGTGTTCCGATACTGCCTTCGATCCTCAATGCGGTTCTGTTGACTGCTGTATTGACTGCTGCAAACTCGGATGTGTACTCCAGCAGTCGCATTCTTATTTCTCTGGCTGATTCGGGCCATGCACCAGCATTTTTGAAAAAGACGAACCGTTTCGGCACGCCTTATAATGCCGTCGGAGTTTGCGCCGCTGTCGGCTTTTTGTCTTTCCTCAATCTATCCAACGACGGAACTGTTGTGTTCAATTGGTTCTTGAGCATTACCTCTGTTGCGGGATTTATCGCATGGGCTATCATTTCGCTCTGTCATATTCGGTTCATGAAGGCTTTGTCTCTTCAAGGGATTTCCCGATCGGAATTACCCTACGTTGCGCCCTTGCAGCCATATTTGTCTTGGTATGGTCTGTTCTTTAGCGTCTTGATTATCATAACGAGTGGATTCCAGGTGTTTATCGAGTGGGATACCAGCTCCTTTTTCACTGCGTACATCAGCCTGATTTTGTTCATCGTCATGTTTGTTGGTCACAAGTTGATCTTTCGGACTAAGCTGGTTCCGTTGAACGAGATGGACATTATTACTGGGAGCGATATCTAAAAGCATATAGGAGACGAGATGCTCTGAATTAATACATGTAATTTGATCTGCGTCATAGCAAGTTTCTGAATTTCCTTTCAAAACTCTTCATGCTTCTCAGTGACCTTGCAGGTTAAATACAGATCTCGTATCCGGTTATTGCCTAGCCCTTTAATCGCCAGCGACAAATCGATTGGCTGAGGCCAGCGGAGAATTACGGCAGCACCAATGAGACGATCCTGTTTTCAGCCGAAGATCCCGGTGCTGATTACCTCAGCGCTATCGATAGTACTAATGTTATCTCGCGTCAACTAAACTCGGGTTAGTCAGATCTGTTTCTAAACAATTTCAAGATCCCAGGGACACGAGGCCTTTTGAGATGTTTCGGGACGCGTCAATACATTCGTTGATACCAACGACGCTGCTCCTTCTGTGTCTTGATGTTGGTTCTGTTTTAGCAGCTTCGGAAGGCTCGGGGCTTGATCGGTGTCCAGATTACGTCGCTAATCATGGTGAGTAACATCTCATCGGTCGTCATGATCGCGTTCAGTACTGAGCGAATATCATAGCACCATTAGTATGGCTTCACCCAGAGGATCGTTTCATGCCCAGTGATCTCTCGGCTCACATCACCAACACAATACCGAAACTCAATGGACAGCCAATCAACGGGCCTTCATCCATTGACCTCTCAAACCTTGGGGAGCTCAACAGCTACGGCGGTGAAGATGTTGCTCTCACAGCCAAGGAAGATCCTCTCACTTACCCTCAATGGATTCTGGGTGAAGCACCGGATGCTTCTGGTCGAATAGCCAACTCAGTTCCCTGCGCTGTGATCTTGGTGGAGAAGAGCGAGGTCGACATCGATGCATTCTACTTTTACTTTTACTCATTTAACGAGGGACCAAATATCACTCAGGTCATGGAACCGATCAATCATTTAGTCGGAGACGAGAACTTATCGTCGGGGATGCACTTTGGCAACCATGTTGGAGACTGGTAAGTCTGCTTCGACTCATGCTAGGTAATTCTTCTGACATTTGTTATCAGGGAGCACAACATGGTCAGGTTTCATAATGGAACTCCTGTTGGTGTTTACTACAGCCAGCATATTGACGGCGTTGGTTTTAAATGGGATGACTCCACGCTCAACATCACCGATTCAAGGGTATGAGTAGTATTCGTTTTCCTTGGAATCCATTGACTAACAAACATCTCAGCCTATCGTGTATAGTGCCCTCGGCTCGCATGCCAACTATCCACAAAGAGGGTATGTAATACCGTCCCGTTCTCAAACATTTACTCATCAAGTCACAGCCACCAAATTCACAATGCGGCAATGTTCGACTACTGCGATGAGGGCAAGTTATGGAACCCAGCTCAGTCAGCCTACTACTATCGTTTCAACCCCGATTCCTTTACCATCACTCCAATTATTTCACCCTTTGAACCGTCTGCAACTGAGCCCGCTCAGAACTTCACGTCATGGTTCGACTTCACCGGCCACTGGGGCGACATCAGCTATCCCGATTCTGATCCTCGGCAAGAAACCGTACCTCACTTCGGTCTTAAACGCTTCAACTCTGGACCCAACGGTCCTCGCTTCAAGCATTTAATTCGCAAGGGCCTTGTACGAGATCATGCGCGAAAAATGGGTTGGAAAGAGTGGGCAGTTGGTGTTTTCATGTATTGGTATCCTTGTTGTATAAGAGGCTGGAGATTATGGAGGTCTTTGGGGATCATGGCTGTGATGGCGTCGGCGTTTGTGCTTGCAGTTGTGTACGGAATCAGAAGGCTGCAGACTTGGAGACAGAGACAGGTGTACACAAAACTGAAGAACGATGATATCCCGATGGAAGAGTTGAGGAGAGAGGAGGAGTTTTTGATAGGGTCTTCTGATGATGAGGATGACCATCGACGGTAGATGGAACGATTTCATATTTACAGTTCAAATAGACAGATAGAATTAGTCAAGCAATAAGAATCCTTATTACGAACTGCCCTGAAGACACTGCTATCAAGAAGAATGGCAATCTATTAAAGAATTTTCGACTTATTGTCTAAGCGGACTTTTGAGATGATAATGGCTTGGCAAGTTACTTACTTTGCCCAGGCTATTTATTCCATCCTCCCTCTGTCTCAAAAATGCGACCAACTGCCTTACTCACCTTGAGAAGGTGACGATCACGAAGTCTCGCAGACACAAGAGACACTCCAACAGGCAAATTGCTCTTGCCACGAAATCCCGGAATATTGATCACTGGTGTATGTAAAGCCTGTTAACGTTAGGAATATCCAAAATCCAGCCAAGACATACTTACCGTCCAAGTTGCTGCAAAGACAGGGCTTCCTGTATTCTCAAGACCTTCAGGAGCTTCGTCGAAAACACTTGGCACGAGAACTGCCACATACTCATCTGCCATCTTATCGAATCGGGGCCGCAAAGCTGCAAGCCCATCATATGCATCGAGCTGCGCCTTTCGTGAGATTTGGTGCTTTTCTTCAATACCATTGGCCAGCACTGGATCAAGTTTGTCTTTGGCTTGACAATATTCTGGCCACAGACTCGTTGCACCCTCCAGTCGTACAAGAGTAAAGTGCCAGTCGACGACTTGATCAAAGTCTTGACCGAGATCGAGTTCTTCAACCTCAGCGCCATGGGCTTTGAGAAGCTCTACAGCTTTATCCATAGCCGCGATTGTACCCTCTCCAGCCATGTCCCATTTCGAAGCCCTGCATACAGAAAATTTCGAGCCTTTGATATCTTCAAACGTGCTCTTCTCGTCATCATGCAAAGCGAATACATCAGCTAGGACCTCAAAATCAGAGACGCTTCGAGAAAAGAAGCCGATTGTATCCACGGTTGGAGCACAGAACTTCTGTCCCTCTCTTGTGATAGCTCCCCATGTAGGTTTGAAACCATAGACGCCATTGAATGCAGCTGGTCGAACAATGGAGCCTACAGTTTGTGAACCAAGAGCAATGGGGATCTGAAAGTCTGCCACTGCGGCGGCTGAGCCTGCAGAAGAGCCACCAGGTGTATGACCTGTGCTATGTGCATTGCGAGTAGCTGGACCCGTGAAGGATGCGGCAAACTCGGTTGTTGTAGTTTTACCTGAAAGGATAAGTAATCGGGGCTTAGAAGGACTAGGTTGGCATACCAAAGATGAGGCATCCTGCTTGCCGAAGAACCATGACCGATCCAGCATCGATCACAGGATGATCGTTCTTATAGATAGTTGACCCATGTTCGGTCGGCATATCTGATAAGCTGTCAGCAATTAGTTCCGCCTCTAATAGATTAATCTCAGATGTTGACCTTTGGTCAATATGATGTCCTTGATCCCAACAGGAAGACCATGCAGTGGTCCTCGCTGATCCCTCGGCACTCTATCTAATGCTCTAGCTTGTTCCAAAACAGCCTTTGGGTCCAGATATGCCCAGGCTTTGACATCATCATCTCGTCGCTTGATTTGCTCGAGTAGTGATGAAGCATACTGCTCAACTGTGAAATTACCGGAGCGAATGTTCTCCAGGATTTGTGTAGCTGTGTGGCGCCAGGGTTCCATATTTGGATTGGAGTTTATAGGAGTATTAACTGGTAACGGGGTATTGGAGAGAACCTGACTGAGCTGTTGATGCAGTTTGTGGCTTGAAGTTCCCCGCTTGCTGACAGTGATGCAGATCCACTGAGATGAGGGGGTTCGGATCTTGGCCCGACAGCTTGATCAGGAACTTTCCTCACCGATAACTCTTTCTTGACAAGCATCAATTGGAAATCATACAAATTGAACCTTCAGAAGTATTAATAGTGATGTAATCAAACGTTTAATTGTAGCATAAAGCTCAGGTCTAGTTACCGCTCATGGATCGCTACACCAACCGCCATCAACAACATACGAACTACCAGTCACTCCACTCGCTTCGTCACTACCCAAAAACACGATCACCTTGGCTACCTCCTCCGGCTCAAGATCTCGCTGCAGACTCTGGCCACGCATAACCTCCTCGCGATACTCTGGCGTGAGAACCTCATCCCTCTGCCGCTGTGTAGCGATAGCACCAGGCATAACACTATTGATACGAATATTGTACTTCCCATATTCTTTACTCTGAGTACGCGTCAGGCCCATGATTCCCGCCTTGCACGCGCCGTAGACTTTGAAATGTTAGCAGACTGAAAGGTGAGACGTGCACATTGACGTACCCGGGGTTCCTTGAGCGGGGATGCGCCAGGTGATTGACCCAAGATTGATGATGCTCCCGCTTTTTGCCTCTCTCATAGCTGGAAGAACAGCTTGGCTCATGAAGAAGACATGTCGAAGGTTGTTGTTGATGTTTACTTCCCAGTCTTCAGGCCTGACCTTTTCTGTTTCAAGTCTGGCTCTATTTCCAGCAGCGGCTGCATTGTTAACCAAGATTTGTATCATCCCATGCTTATCTTGAATGCTCTTGACCGTGTCTTGTAGCTTGGGTAAATCTGACACGTTGCAATTGTAGAAGATTGGTGCTTGGGCTTGCACATTGGCGTCTTTCGCACGCGATACAGCGCGGTCAATTGTCTTTTTCGCTGAAGACTCTGCGATGTCGATGAAGATGACCTGGCTGCCCTGTAGCGTGAACAACTCCACTGTAGCAGCGCCAATCCCTTCTGCACCGCCTGTAATGAGTACGGTCTTGCCCCGTAGGCTGGGGTAAGTAGCGTGAGTTGCCATGAGTGCGAGTAGACGTCGATAAAAGTTGGAAATGATGTATTGGGAAGAAGATACCTTTGTTTGACCCCTCACTGATGCCTTACAGATACAAGCCACTTTCAAGTGATGTAATGCGCAGAAACAACGTTACAATGGTTCGTGACCCTTTTACAGTGACTCCATTGGTTTCTGGGCGGAGTTACTGCATATAGCTTAGACTCTGCAGTGCTGTATTGGCAGGTTTTACACCAGCTTTGGGCCGCTCGACAGCACGACATCTGTATTCCACCATTTTCCAGAGCAAACATTATAAGACATCGTCTGGATGCAAAAGGATGCAGCAATCTTGACCTGTCCTTCTAATCTTTACAACAAGAATGTTTAAGCCCGATAAGGTCCGGTGGGGTAGAGTATCTTCTAGCTTCCGCTCACGTGTCTTTGGAATTGACCATTTCAACTTCCGGGTTCCGTCCCCATCTCCATATCCAGATCTGCTAATCGCAACAACTCGGATCATTTTTATCAACCGTCCCGGCCGTTGAACGGTCTGTTTCATCAAAATGGAACCGCGGAGCAAACAAGCATGTGAGCCATGCCGGCAAGGTCCCTTGTCCTTCGATTGCGGATCCAATTGGGCTGATACTTTGTGCAGTAAAAAGAAGAGCAAATGCACTGGCGAGCGGCCGACATGTTCTTTCTGCGGACGGCTTAATCAGCTATGTACTTACAGATCTCCTGAGCCAGCAAAAACTGCTGCAAGAAGAAGTAACAGAGTCACTAAGAGGTAGGGCCAGTTCCATCAGTCATTGAGAGGAAGCTAACACGAAAAGTGCCCAAAGGAGTCGCTTACAGGAACGTTTCCAGATGCTGGAGTCCCAAGTCAAGGGTATTTATGAGTTGCTACAGTAAGTCCACCATCAATCTCATGTAATGAGCGGTGACTGATCCTCTAGGCCATCATCAGCCTCAGCTACTGGTCCTGGGCCCTCTCCAAGCACTTCTGCAAGCATTCCATCGACAGGTTTGCAAGCAGAGTACAGTGCAAGTCCTGGCATGGTATCACCACCACAGATCGAGACATCCTTTAATCTGAACAAGTATGCCACTTCTTCACCGGTCATCATTATTACTAACCATCTCAGCCCAGATATACCGTTGGAGGTTCTAGACCATCTTATAGAGATCTATCGGGTCAAACTCCACCTCCAACCATTGCAACTTTTTACTCTGTCTGAACTCAAAGTCTCACTCACCTCAGCACCTAAATATCTTCTTTACAGCTTCTTGGCCCTTACTGTACGGTACAGTACACATGACTTCTTCAATGGTCAACAAGCCAAGGTAGTTGAGTTCTATGGAAGTTCTGCACAGCAGGAGGTCGCCATACTTGCCTCCCAAGGCATTCCAAAGCTTGAGATCGTGCAAGCTTTATGCTTGCTTGTCCTTGTCGATGTCGCAGGTGGGCTAATGCCAAACGCTTCCGGTGTATGGTAGGCTAACGTAGGAAACTAGCTTGTAGACCAGGCCGGGCGTGGATGAGTATCGGAACCATGTCAAGACTCGAGGCTCTTCGCAGGCTGTCACAAAATGCCTTCTATCAGTCTTCGCCTGAGCTTGAAGCTAGTCTGAGATGCCATTGGACCGTAGCTCTCCTCGAGCAAACGTTCATGCCTCAAGAGCGTAGCAGTATACACGATGATGACGAGCAGAAATACCCATCCAGTGCTCGTAGACCACCCTCACTGCCACCAATAAACGATGGGGAGTGCCCTCCGGATCTCTTCTCAGACGATGCATCCGAAGACCTAGGTATAACCGCGTATTATATCAACGTTATCGAGATGTGGGGTCACCTCTCAACATACATGCATCAGGTGAGAATCGGCAAAGCAGAGACAGCTTGGTTACCTGGTTCAATGCATTACACACTCTGTGCAGAGCTTTACAAACACGAAACCAAGCTTCCTCATAGTCATCTGCTGAGAAATGTCCACTTTACAAAGCGGATGGCAGGCGAACTGCAGGACCAGCGAGAGTATTGGATACCATGGCTCCTCATGCAAGTCGTTTCTCACGCTATCACAGCTATTCTACATCATCCTTTCATCCATTTGGTAGCGATGCGAGACAGATCAAGCGGACTTCAAGCTCGTTCCTTTTTACAGCAAACGATTGACCAAGCTTTGTATCATTCAGCGTGGGTGTTCAAGTTCCTCCGGTTATGTGAGGAGCTACGCTTCGAGATATTCGACCCATTAGTAGGACAGCTTGTTGCTGTCGTGGCAACGATACCGTGGCTGTTCCAACGTGCGATTGATCCAAAGGTCGCGGAAAAGGCGAAAGACGATCTAGAGTGGTGCAAAGGGTTCTTGGAGAGGTTGTCATCAACTTGGCCGCACATTGCGCAAAAGGTGCGTATCCCAGGTGGTCAACAAGACGATACGCTAACAAATCTTCAGCTCGAATTACTACAAAGTCTAGACTCTATCGCGGACAATAACTCGCCACCACCAGCTGGCAAGGGCATTTCTATTGCCTTTCATCCGGCTCTGTTTTGGGCTCTGGTAGATCCCAAGATCAGCCAGATGACGCCGTTATATGGGGAAAGCTCAAGCCGTCCGCAAGATGCTATGATCCGCATCTCAACGCATTACATCCATCCGTTGACAGAGACACAAGTAGGCCAATCGGCGCCAAGCCAAAGAGAGGAGTCATTTGATCCCTTCTTGTTTGATGTTGGGGAGCTTGAGGAAGTGAACCTGGACGATATCTTTTCACATCTCATGCCAGACATATATGGCGTGCAGTAATTTTAGCTTCTATATATCCATCTCCATCTCTTCCATCGTACAGATAAGGTATCGAGACCGTTGGCGGGCCGCAGTTGGATCTGGTGATGATGATCCGCTCACGTGCCCGGCACATCGACGCTATAGATAGGGTCGCAGACGAGTTGACATCCGTCCCCACCAGACCCTTCGGTGCTGTATATCAGACGTCAGTTTTCGACCAGACTCTCAATCTGACCTACTAAACAGCATCGCCTCCCCCATGGATCAGACCAGCAAGATCGTAATCATAGGCGCGGGCCTTTTTGGCCTCACAACAGCCAAGCAGTTCGCGCTAGAAGGTCACCAGAATATTACTGTCGTCGACAGGCACATGCCACCTGTAAGAACCCCAGCTTCAGTGACGCCGATCCGCTAACCTCTTCAGGTGCCGGATGGTTCCAGCTCGGATATCTCCCGAGTCATCCGATTTGACTATGCCGACACTGAATACTGCTCCCTTGCGTACGAGGCTTATCGTAAATGGTCCCAAGACCCTAAGTATAAGGGTATCTTCTACCCGACAGACTATATCATTGCTGGTTCGAGAAGTTCGCCTGAGAAGTCTTGGACAGATAAGACGATTGCTCAGCTTGATAAGCGACAACTGCCTTATACCAGGTTGGCAGATGCCGCTGATGCAAAGCGGAAATTCCCGATTTTGACTGGCGAGCTTGCCCAACCAAACTTTGAGGGCTACTTGAACAAGTCTGGTGGCTGGGCCGATGCGAACAAAGCCATCAAGCAACTCCGCGACGAATGTCTCGAGCTAGGCATCTCCTTCATCGCTGGTCGAGCTGGAACCGTTGTCGGCTTTGACAGCAATGCTCAAGGAGTTATCAAAGCAGTCAAGACTCTTGAGGGAACACCTGTTCGGGGCGATCACTTCATTCTTGCAGCAGGCGCCTGGTCTTCCGGTATCGTCCCCACTTACAACTCAACACTATCAACAGCACAAGCCCTTGGCTTTCTTCGTCTCACGGACGCCGAGATGATCAAGTACAAGGACATCCCCATTTACATGAACTACGCCACTGGATGGTTCAACTTTCCTCCTCACGAAGATACCAAGATGCTCAAGTTTGCTGTTCACGGCTGGGGCTACACTCGAGCACCCTCCAAGGGCGACAACAACTCTGTCAAGTCTAACATCTCCGTTCCTCCTCCCGTTTCTCGGGAGCGAAAGAACTTCGTTCCAGCTGATGCTGAGGAACGCCTTCGAGCGGGCTTGCGTGAGATGTTGCCTGAATTGGCTGATCGTGCTCTTGACAGGGTGGCTCTCTGTTGGTACACGGATACACCTACCGGTGACTTCATCATGGACTATCATCCCGATTACAAGAACCTTTTTGTTGGTGGAGGCGGAAGTGGACAGTAAGTGACAGCGACCGTCGTTACCGACCCCTAGCTAACATTTTCCTAGTGCGTTCAAGTTCCTCCCTGTCTTGGGTGAGTGCATGGCATCGGCTTTCAAGAAGAAACTGCCGAGCCACTTAGCAGAGAAGTGGAAGTTCCATACTGAGTATGAGTATCGTGAGGATACCTTCCTTGGTGATGGCAGTCGAGGTGGTCCTGAAAGACGAGAGCTGAGCGCAGCCGAGAAGGCGAAGCTAGATGGAGAAGAGAGATCTAAGCTGTAGTTATCGGTCAGCCATAAGGGAGATATCTTGACTGTATCACGTATATTCTTTACTTGCAAGAACATGTAGCACCTATATTTCTTCACCTTTGCCGATAAGCCGGGGGCGATTGTCCATAATGGCACTCACGTCGTCATCCAATATGAGACATGTTAATTGACAATCGACCAAACCTTTTGGTATACCATGATGTAACCCACCCCAGCCCTCTTGTTCCTCCGAAAGCTACGGTAGCAAAGGAATGGAACAAGGTTTAACATGCGTTGGTCTAGTTTAAGTTGACACCTATTCATGCTCGGTTATGTATGCTATGGAAGTACTTGCTGGCCGTAAGGTTAAACACTTTAGGCTATATATGGTTGCGCCATCAGTCCAACCCCAACATCGTCTACCTGTGTCAGACACAGCCCTATCAGCCTGTCAGGAGACTTCGAAGGTCTGCATGACTAGTTCAAATTTAAAGTGTAAAAGAGGTGCAAGCCTTCATATGAAGAAAGGCTTTTATGTCAATATGTAAATGTGTGTTGCTTAATGATGTAACAATCTGAACTACCTATATGGTGGTACATTTAATCGATAATCTTGGGTTCCATTTCAATATCCTTCTTCTTTCCGAGAACTTCCTTCTCTTGCTGGACAGCAACATGGTTATTAAGCAAGTGACTTGGATCACGGATGAAACACGCCGCAATAATGGCCAATACACCCAATGGGATTGTCGAGTAAAACACAGTCCTGAAAGCCTTTGCGTATGTGTTCTTGAACGCGGCGGCCGTCGCCTGGAGAACTGGCTCTGTTACGTTGGGAACCTTGGCCATGGCAAAAGGCACACCAACCGCATTCTGGATGACGGCTGGAATCAAGGCAGGCAAGTCTTTTGGAGAGTAGCCCGCACCGATAGCAGCCCCAGCAATGTTGTTACCGAGGTCGCGGTTGACGATAGAGGTCAAAATCGTGCTGAACATGGCGTTTCCGAGCGATCCGCCAGCGCTGCGGAATGAACCCATAAGACCTGCTGAGACTCCAAGCTCCTCCTGCGGGACCAACAGGCCAGATGAAACGTAGGACAGCACCGTGACCCAGGTAAAGCACGACTGACCGAACATAGGCAGGATCTCCCAACCGGTCTTGTTGTTAGGGACCACGGCGGCGTATGATGCGGTGAAGACGGTCTGCATTATAAGGGCGAAGACGAATTGATATCGGATGTGCTTGATCTTGTGAACAAGACTGGGCAAAATCCAACCTCCAATAATGCCGGACATACTGGCGGGGACTGACATGACGCCGATTTCAAGAATATCGTTGGTGAACATGAACAAACTAGCCTGGTTGCCGAGTGTGACAACTCCCTGCCAGATCATACCAGAGACGAAGAGGACCACAAGATACACAGTGAACTCTCGGTACATGCGAAAGATCTTAAGAGGGAAAAGTGGCTTCTTCGGGATGGTGAAGTCGTAGACAAAGGCTGCAATGAAGACACAGGCACCGATCGAAATAGTTGTCGCAACGAGTGTCATGGACCTATGGGTGGCGCCGAGGAAGGTGACTCCGATGAGGAATACGGTAAGGCCGGTGGCAAAGAGGAGGAGTCCGATGTAGTCAAGCTCCTTCACCTGCTGCCAACGCGTCCTCTCAAAGTCGTGCTGCGGTCGAGACGGGGGGAAGTAGCAGATGAAGGTTCCGATGAGACAAATACCAGCGTAGATTATGGTGATATAGTAACACCATCTCCAGCTCGCCTTAAGATATAGGTGAGTAGCGATGAGGCCGGCTAACGAGCCCCAAGGGATAGTGATGCAAAACTCGGTCCACGCCAGGCCAATACCTCTAGAAAAGGGGATTAGAAACTGATGCTGAGTAGAGGTGTGAGAAATCTTTGCGAGGCACGTACCTGTACTTGTTGGGGAGAAGCTCGGCGATGCCAGGATACGATACCATGATACTACCGGCGCCAAAGCCGATTAAGGTAGTTCCAGCGACGATGTGCAATGTAGTCTGAGATACAGCACAAATAATCTAGCGAGCAACCTGGTCAGAAAACGGAAATCTTTCATCTTCAGCACATGTCTGACAACTTACACCACCAACCAGGACGATGGTCTGGCCGCACAATAGCACATATCGGCGACCAAATACATCACTCAAACCGCCAGCAATAGAGAATGCGACAGCAGAACCAATGGACCAACTACCGGGGATCCAAGCGATGTGTTCGGTGTCCCCCAAGGCCATACCGATCTGCTGAAGGATCTGAGTCGGCATGATGAATCCGGTTGCGATGGCGGGGACATAGGTCAGGCCCATGAACTACAAAAGAGAGGCGATTTTGTTAGTACAACCCAGATCACCATTTCAGGGCATTTTCGAGCACAATAACTTACGAAAACGGCCAAGATCGTGGATATAGCGACCTTTGGGGTTGGCTCAAGGTCAGAGTTTTCGACATATTGAATCGAAGGTGGACGCTGGTCATCATTGGGTAGAGTTGACTTCTTCACATCGCCGGCAGGCGCTGCAGACACCTCTGGGTCGGAGGCCATGTTGACAAGCTCCAATTGCTATTGAAAGACTACCGAATAATGGATTATGACAGAAAGAAGAAATGATTGAAGCTGTGATATACCACCTGAAGACCCGGAGTTGTACAAGTTTGGAAGATTAGTTGACCTGGAGACGGAACCCAGGCTTATATAGATCGACCAACTGGAAGGTTACGCTGACGATAATTAAACTTTCACTAGTCTGTGTGTGATAAGGCAATTGCCCCAGGAAATTGAAATGCGGGGAGGCTTGACACTACTCCCTGCGAATAAGGAGAAGGTCTGCTGTGGTCAGCATGGGGTAATTGCTTCTTTTACCCCGCAAGATTGTACAAGGTAAACCTCGGTCATAACATATTGTGCAAGATTAAGCAATTCGGGATGAGTCAATGGGGTTGAGTCGAAACGTCTGCCGTGATTGCCGCGTCTGGAATCACAACCATGCTGAGATTGGCGGCAGCTGTCTATCACAATGAGGGGATAGCTCCACGTGGGGGACTTCGATAAGAGGTAGACACGAGGCTCTAGACGCAAGCTAGTGCAACCGAGAATCGTATGGGGCCCCAGACGGAATCTGCGGAGGAGTTCAGCCCCCTTGTCTCAAGATCTTGGGGAACAAGGTTCCTTGACTATAGAAGGGATAGCATCAGACAAAAGGTCGGTATTGTCACCCCGAATGGTCGAAATGATCGGTCAGGCGCACACCGAGACGCATGGCCGAGACGATTACAGCTTCGGGCCAAAGAAAGCTTAAATATCTCCCCCCATTCCGGTTGTCCATCACGGCAAATGCTTGGCATGAGCTGGTACTCGAAGCCATATCATATGTGCTGGATTTGCAATTCTTCATCAAGACCATCAATGTGGGCTTCGCAGACAACCAATCGAAGTGGTACAATGACCACCCTCCCAGCGACTACGTGACAGGTTAAAGACCCCCGTCCGTCCCGCCCTACATAACGTAGGATTTTTTAGATACCGCCACCACGATAAAATGGCCGGTTTTCACACTAAGACCCAGTTGGTAAAGGAGAGTCCGCCTTGGACGCGCCGCATCGCATACAATGTCCAAATCAGGGCAATACAAGCGGCTCTGACAACCATCGACTGGTTGGGTTCATTCAGCAGAACTTCAGCCAACGCACCCAATATTGTCAAGACATACAATGTGAGAGATCATTTACCTGTGCGGTAAGTCGCCAACAGTATATCTCGACGCCTTGGCTTTCGTTTTCCTTTCCGAGGAGCGTCTGCATTTCCGAGACTCTCTCCTCAGGTTCAAGAACTGATCGACATTGTAGGGTTTTTCTTCCTTCTTCCTATGAAGGCGGCTCATCCAAGACACTTCCGACGCTGTTTACTATTCATGGCGGTGGCTTTTGTATAGGCTCGTCTCACGATGATGACGCTTGGAACCGTTCCTTTTCCGACACTCACTCAGTGCTGGTTATTGCATTGAACTATAGCAAAGCCCCAGCAGCTCCGTTCCCTACCGGCTTAGATGATCTTGTATCGCTATATCTAGCTGCTTTGGATGATGAGTCTCTCCCCATTGATAAGGCAAATGACGGACGTGTCGCTATCTGTGGGTTCAGTGCAGGCGGCAATCTGAGCCTGGGCTTGTCTCAGCGCCTGCTTCAGTCTGACCACTGCCCGTGCCGTCCCCGTGCAGCTATCTCTGTCTACGGTGCACTTGATCTAAGCCGTTCACCAGAGGCAAAGGCTAGTACGCGTCAGTATAAAACGGATGCTAGTCTCGGCTCCCCGCGTACATCCGCACGCGATCTCCTCCTCAACATGGCCCCGCTCTTCGATTGGAGTTATCTGCCCGATGGACAAAATCTGCAAGATCCTCTAGTGAGCCCTGGCCCGTGCGCTGATCCAGATGATCTCCCTCCCCATATTTTCATCATTGCGTCGGAACTGGACATGTTGGCAAAGGAAAGTCTCGAATGTGCAAGCCGTCTGGCCCGCTCAAGAGGAGGCTCCGGAATCTCGGTCGCTGATTCCGAAGTAGCTCACTGCGGGCGTTCAGAGCCTGGAAGACCTGGGGAGCTGGTGTTGGACGATAAGCGATTTGCTTGGCAGGAAACCTTTCCTAACGGCAGCGTCAGATGGCTCCTGGTGCCGGATGTGCTGCATGGTTTTGATAGTCTGCCCATGCGTGAGAGGTTTGGAGGAGAAGAGACGATCAAGGATGCAGAGCTCAAGACAGAAGCATATTGCAAGCTGTTAGGTGACTGGCTTCTTAACACAGTCTTCAGTGCTTGAAGGAAGCAGCACAGACACACTCCCTTCAAGTCTCGAATCAGCTACTGTCGTCATTTCTCTGTTTATACACAGTAAATACATCTCGACTCAAAGTCATCTCGACAATCTAGACACGATCAGTGCGGCTTGATTCTAAGAGATTGTCAGCTTCAAAGTTACTCATAGGAATCACTGTATAGAGAGTCCAAAGACAAAAACACATCAAGCTATCAATACCGTTCTATTTGGAATAGTCAGTGCCAAGAGAATCTAGACTCTTTAGAGCGTATGCCTTGATTGTGTCTGGCCCAACTTGGTGACTGAACCGGTACATAGAAATAATACAGGGATATGCATGCCTTGAATGCCACCCCAAGTGCCCTAACCTTGCACAATATATCGGAAAGGGCCCGAGTAGCATTCCGGGTAGATCCCGAAACACTCGGGCATCAGTCGCTTAGACTAAGTGCAGCACGAGCTCAGATCAGCTCACTTCGGAGTTGGTCTTGGCTTCCAGCCTCAGCTTCCCAACCATTGATGCCACTCGACTTACTCTGTCCTACCTTGCACTGCACAGTGATGTATTAGGTTGCTTTTCACGGAGCACCGGACTAGGCCATGAGATCAAATGTATTGTACTTACCGGCACCTTCGACACCTTGCTTGGAGAGTTTGCTCAACCCATAGGGTCTTCTGTCTGCCGTTGGGCTTCTTTCGATCCGGATCATGTTTGAGGATCTTTTGTCGCCCTAGTCTTGCCATGCAGTAGTATTCTGATGGTAAGGATCTTGATGAAGTCGACGACATTGTCTGCCATGTGGTCGATCGACACGTCCAAGGAATTCACCAAGTAAATTCTTGATTCCGTCGCCTGGTAGGTCAATTCGCCAACCAATTTATATAACTTGCGGCGAATAACAACTGATTGATAATCTGAAAGGTGTCTAACGGGCGAAATTTTCGACTCATTTTACCATGACCATTTATATCCCTTTGTGAATGCAATAGGAGGCTTGCTCGCAAAGTCCGCAGACCGAACTCGTCGCTTCAAGATCACCAGACCCCAAGTCCACGCCGGCAATGATGAGTATAACAAGCATACCCAGTTATAAGAAGGCAAGGCCTGTGAGGAGAGCTCCAACAAACATCTCCGCAATACTTGGGGAAAGAAGCAATGCTCTTCGGTTGACCTGGTGGCTGAATGATGCTAAGGCAACCAGCCAACGCTCACACGAATGTGGCCGTTTGGGAATAACGAGGTAATGGTGTGCATCACCGATCTTTTTGTCTCACGAGAGGCCAGCCTTTCTGGACGCTGTGGTAGGGTACACCTCAGCCTATGACATTTGGTCACTGCTGGTCAGTGTCTAAAGGGTCTCTAGGTGTTGTCACAGCGGCGGAGTCGTCCGCAATGGGAAGAACATTCCAGAGCTCGGAAGGACCAAAATTAATGAGCTATGCAAGTGTATGCATCCAGCGTAACGTATGGGAAGATGCTTCAGGGAAGCAGTTGTGAATTTGGCAGCGGGGATAACGCCGAGAAAGCGTGTTGGGTAGCCGAGAATAACTGCCTCAATTCATAAGCAAACGATTCTCAATAATGCAAAGTTATCATAAATTATAACAAACCTTTCGGCCACTTAATGTATTCAATCTTATCCAAATTCCATGAGATGAGATGTCACCGGAGTCTTCTTGATCGTTTACGAGCGGCCTTGTCTGCACCAAAATGTTTATTCAGACCAAGCCAAAAGGACATCAAGTCGCGCTCGATAAATCCGTCAGAAATACTGGGTAAGTAAGAATATTGAAAAGTTTTGTAATAAATGCTCATATATCAGCGGCAATTCGGTATTATGAGACATAGCCGGAGGTCGGTTTTGTGCGACTCCAAATCCCGCCTCGATTGGTCTAGCGGCTGATGTTGGACGCTCAGCACTTACTCCAACTTGATCAGATGACGCAGCCATGTTGCATACCAAGCCTCAGCTTCCCCTCAATCAATGAAAACCTACCAGTTTCAAATCATAACAAAACAATTCCATATTCCAAAATGAAGCCGTCGCCGTTCACATTTGACCCTCGTGCTGATACTCTACTCATTCTTCAAAACCCCAACGCGCATCTACAAGAGGAAAATGAGATCCAAGTGGACTCGGAGCCGGAGTATGAACGGCTTGGATCCGAGGAGGCGGGGTTGATGGAAACAACAAAGGCCCGACGCGATTCACCGATGACTTTGGACAACGATCAGAGCTATCCCAGAGGATCATTAGAAGAGGGCGGCTCAACACAGGTCGAATTCCGAGTATCGTCAAGACATCTGAGCCTTGTCTCCCCGGTTTTCCGGGCGATGCTGGAAAGCCGATTCAAAGAGTCTCAGCCCAATGATCGAGGGCTCTATGAAATCCAAGCTAGCGAATGGGATGCCGAGGCACTCGTGATATTGCTCGACATCATCCACGGTCACCATCGCGATGTGCCGAAGCGGATATCGGTGGAGACGCTCTCGCATATAGCAATTATTGTCGATTACTACGGCTGTCACGAGATCATGGAGCTGGTTTTCGCTGCTTGGGTGAGCTACCTTGGGCCGCCAGAAGACTTTGTCAAGCAAGACCCCATGCGATGGTTGTTTATTTCTTGGGTCTTCAGGCAAGAATCATTATTTACAACCGCGACGAAGATGTTGCTCTTGTACGACAATGGCAAATACGTGGTTGACTTACCAATACCCCAGCCAATATTAGGTAATGACGCACCATAGAGTTTCTCCATGGAAAATACTGATCAGTTCATAGATAAAATCGACGACAACCGCCAATTCGTTCTCAATACTCTCTTCGGCCATCTCTACAATCTCCAGCAAGATCTCCTCGAAGGCAAAGCCGGCTGCTCAGAAACATGCGCCAGTATGCTTCTCGGTTCATTGATGAAGCAGATGCGAACAAGAGGCCTCACACCTGTTAGGCCATCGATGCCTTTTGATGGATGGAGAGTTGAGGATGCGCGGAGTATGATTCTTGGCTTTGCGGCACGACCTTGGCGCGTTCCTGGAAGGTCCACGGATCATCCTTGTACGTTGAACAAGTTCTTGTTTTCACGCGTCAGTTTGACACTGGCACATGCGAAAGGGCTTGAGTTGAAGGATTTTGAGGGGAGTCCTTGTGCGTTGTTTCAATCTATGAGCTCCTAACAGCTTAAGTGTATATGTACCACGTATGAATGCCATGACTTTCAATCAAAGTTGTGAACTGATTAGACTAGGCCTGCGGAGTTATGAACGTAGTCCTTTCCTGATATCTATACCTTGTGCAAATGCTTAGCAAGAGAAACAGCATTCCATTTCAGAGAGCACGCGGTAGAAATCCAAGCAGGGCTATCCTACTGCCGTCAGCATCAGGAATCTTGTTCTTTTTTCCGTCTCGTGCACAGTCACCTTCGATCAGCCTATCCTCAAGATTTAGCAATATTGCCTGCTCGTGATTTTAGTGGATATCATTATTGTGCATTGATCCCAAGTCCTGGAGAATACACTGCGATCCAGTTATATGTTCTTTGGAGCATGATGGAGTCGCATTACTTGGCCTGTAGTAATAAATTGCAATACTTGTTAAGAAGCTCTATTGGAATACTGACTAGTTCACGGTTCAATGTCAGTAATGATTTTGGTCTTTTATACATTGAAATTGCAACGTGAAATATAAGAATCAGTACTCTCCACAGGCTGAGATGGATATACAGAAGTTTTGAGATGTGAATTGCCTGTAGGTATTGAACTTATTTTCAATACATTTGGCCTTTAGTTGGATATTAATTGAGGATAAAGTGGCTTTTGTATCTGCTGTAGGGTATTCAAGATTACTAGCTACCTGTGAGAAAACAAGTGGAGGGGAGAACAAGCGGGGCTGTGGGGTCTTTCCAACGCGGCTGACGTTGCTCAGGGGCTAAGCTAGTCCTAATCTGCTTAAGTCTCGTCAAGACCCGAGATGACAAACTAGCCCAGCATCTCCCGCACTTCAAATTGAGACGAGGCTGCAGGTTCGTCTGGTGTTGTTATGCCCCGTAACGCTTTCACTTCAGTGTTTTCCCGATGTTTTGAAGCATTTTTGCTCGACTAAAAGCCTTATGAAGACACTATTGCTCAATAATTCGGTTTGCTTTTTACTTGCCGAGATTGGAGCTCCATTTTACGAGCTATGCATTCTGTTACAGCAGAGCAACGAGGCCCAATGAGAAAGCTTTACCTAGCCCCATACAGGACCAGGTCCGAACGCCACTAACCCCATTACCTGCAATTTTCTGGCCTGTCCGGACCTGAGGTGCAATCGTCACCGCAGCAGATTGCAACTCTGCGTCACCAAAGTCAATCAACAACATTCTCATTCTCTTTGCGCCCACCCGACGACACATTGGGAGCCTCATCAAGTGATAGGCGCGCAATCAGCAATCATTTCCCCAAGACTCAGCGCACTCTTAGCATGCTGATGCGATAGCGCGACCGACAGAGCAGTCAGCCAAAATGGCAGGCCAGGAGCCTCTGCGACAATTTCGAGATGTCAAAGATGCCGTCTATCGCTATGACTCCGTTTTCGCGTCAATCAAGTCGCCAGCTGAGCTTTATGAGGAGAAATTGAGATCAGTTCAAGATCGCATTGCGCAAATATGGTCCGAACTGCCATCGGCGCCGCCGGACCAAACATCCAGGCTTCAGGATAATCTGATTGAGCTGGCTGGCCAGAAGAAGGAAATGGAAATCGACCACAAAACCAATATCGAGCACTATGATAGGATTCACGCGCAGAAGATTCGGGAAACAATGGACTCGTTCCGCGACCATCTCTTTCAACTCATGGGATCAACCAGTGGACAGTCGCAATTTCAGATGACGCCTGACACTACTGGGCTTGGGACTGAGCGAGTTGAGAGCGCACCCATGGAGCCAGAGTTTCCGGAACAGGAACCAATTGTCCCTGTTCCTGCAGATGATGAGATGGACGATGGACCAATGTTTGACGATAACCTGATGGATGAACCAATGCATGACGGCGCTGATGATAACGAACCCACGGAAGACAATTTACCCCAGGAGGACAGTGCGATGCAAGAACCTGTTGAGACTGAACCTTACAACGAAGAACCTACAGGAAAGGAACCTTTCGAGACGGAACTTACCAACGGGGAACCTGCGGAAGAAGAAACCGCCGAGGGGGAAACTGTTGAAGAATCTGCAGAGGAAGAACTCGTGGAGAGGGTATCCGTCGAGGAGGAAGCTGGTGCGGACAGTACTGAAGAACCTAATGACGAGGAAGCTGCAGAAGCAGAACCCGCCGAGAGAGAACTCGTTGACGATGAACTTATCGCAAACAGGACTCGAAAGCCTAGCAATCGCGCAAAAGCTTTTAGCAGAGACATTGCTGCCCGTGACAATATTTCTGCTCGTCAGGCCAGGTATACTTTCAGTCCATCACCGACTCCGGCCGCTGAAACCATCACGGTACAAGCGGACGAGTCGGACGAAGAAGAGGAGGAAGATGAGGACGAATCGGAAGAAGAAGAGGAAAAGGAAGAGGAAGAGGCATCTGAAACTGAATTTTCTGAACCTGATGAAGCTCCCCCATCACCACGACAAACCAGATCAGGAGGAGTAAGTTAATTCACCGCAAGTTTTGATATTCTACTTACCAAATTCTTCAGACCAAGCGCAAGGGAAGCTTTTCAAGTCCGATGACGAAAACCAAACGCCAAAAGTCGGAACGGGAATCTTCTACTACTAAAGTAACACAAAATAATGCAACAACAACAGAGCCACCGCGACGCCAGACTCGATTACGTCAACGATACCACGACCCAACAGGCGCTGACGAATTCAAAGGTATCACCAACCCAAAATGCGGAAAGGTCTATTTGACGTACTGGGACAAGACCAAAGAGTGGCTTGCCGTCCTCATTCTTCCTATGGGCAGTTTCGACAAGGTTGGGATTCCTGGATCTATCAAAACCTGCGGCCTAGCAGACTCCCTTCCACCTTGCTACCAGTACGGCAAAGTCTCCGGAGAATACACGTGGGCCAAACCTTACGAGACTGGGAATACTCTCGTCCAAGAACGCATGTTTCCGGTCATGTACTTTGACGGTCGAGACTTTCCTAACAGGAGTGCCATTGACTGGATCGAGGCCAAGGATTTGCGGAGATTTGACCCAAACCTCAACAACGACCTTCTTCCTCACATCAAAGAGGTCGACAAATATCTGAAAACTGATCCGGCAAGAGCAGCTTTGCAGGAGGAAGACGAGGATGAGGAGGCAGTACCGTACAAAGAAAGGACTGAGTCTCAAGCACCGAAGCCTGAAGAATCGAAGGGGAAAAAACGCAAGTCAAGTGAACGCCGGACGGCAGGATCCAGCAAAGCCGAGACAAATTCAAAGAAGCACGCTCCAGCAATAGACACAGATGCTCAGAAGGTAACGCCTACGCCGGAACAGATGGCAGCACATAGGACAGCAGCACTGAAGCCTTACGTGCTGAGGATAGCTCAACAACACAGCAACTCGGACAAGTCAAAAACAACAAAGACTGCGACTTCAAAGTCAGCAACGACGACCCCTGCGAGATCAAATGAGAAAGATTCAAATGGTCGGCCTGCATCTAAACCGTCATCTCAAAAGCCAGCAGGGTCGAAGTCATCGGGCTCAAAGCCAGGAGCAGCGAATCTGACCAGACCGGCGGGGAAAGGATCTAATCAGCATGCACCATCAGCCCATAGGCCATCAGATTCGAAGCCACCAGGTAACTCAACTCCCAAGCTAACAGCTGCGAGACCTGCAGAAAAAGAATCAAGTCAGTCTGCGCCGAAGCCATCAACAGCAAAGCCAGCAACGGGGAGACCAGCCGAGAAAGAGACAAACCAGCCTGCCCTAAAAGCGTCAGCACCAAAGACAGCACCGAAACCTGCTGAGAAGGAATCAAATCAGCCTGCATCGAAACCATCAGCACCGAGGCCTGCCGAAAATCGTCAGAGCAACAATGCCCAAAGAAGATCAAAGCCAACAGGTCCAAGGCCAACTGTAACAAGGACAGCATCAGGGACACCGGCCGAGAACGAGCCAAGCCAGCCCGTTGCAAAGCCACTAGCACCAAAGCTAGCAGCTTCCAGGCCAGCTGAGAAGGAATCAAATCCGCCTGCGCCAAAGCCAACTGAAAAGCCCCCGAACAAGTCTGCCCAGACCGAGACTCAGGCACCTGCAACTGGTATGACTACTCGCCGTATGCAAACTCGGAACTTACAGCTAATAAGCCCCAGCGGAACGTCAAGTCCCTCCTCCAATTTCTGATGAAAATCAAATGGAATTTGAGCCTGTGGATGATGAGCCTGCTCCAGCTTTGGAAGACGGCTCTCAAGCTGCCCCTGTCGGGCAACAAGCTCCCCAGCCCAGAGCCAACCCTCCGCCTCCAGCTCCAAGAGCACCATCAGCGCCGCCAAGGCCCCAGTCTGTTCCTCAGCCCAACAATGTTTCTCATCATCCCTTGCCAGTGCCTTCACCTGTGCCAAGGCCTGCCAGTACTAGGAATCCGCCACGGCCACTACCCGGTGAAGATGTCAAGAAGGAGAAGAAGCCTATCGTCGTGATTGACATTTCGGATGATGACTCAGACGGTGCTGCTGAAGACAATGCCGCTGCTGCACGTACGTTATCGCAACAGGCTTCCCGAGCCCAAGTTCTCCAAGAGTTGACTGCCGCTCTGCAAGGAGACTTAACCGCCAGCCAACAACGAACGACAACAGCCCAACGTACTGACGCGGCTCGACGAAGGGCAGTTGACATTGCGCTAGCGGCACTGAGTGAGGATGAACCCTCGAATTCTTCGGCTGGACAGACGCGGGACGGGAGATCTCATGATTCGATGCGTAGGTCTGTGCAAGGAGGAACACGTGCCCCACTCTACAGCCCAGCTGTGACAATCACGTCTCTGCCAGACCAAGACCAAGCACAAGCGGTGAACACGAACCGGAGCATCGATAGGCAACTCGGCTCTGGATCACTTCCAACCCCGCCAGCCCAGTCATTGCCAGGGCCCATGGACACCGATAACTATTCATCACGACCGCCATACAGCACAGGACCAAGTCCGATAGGCCCACCATATCGCCAGCCACCTCCTGAGCAGCATTCAGACCTGCAGCAGCCTCAGCCACGACAAGCGCAGGCTTCTCAACAACAGCTCCTGACTGAGTTCATGAGTGCGGCACCCAGTCACCCAGAAACCTCATCTCGACGCCCAAGTTATGATCAGGCACCCCGGATGCCCGAACCTCCTCCCACGACTCAATACTGGCATACGCAAGGGCGATTGCAACAGACAAACGATCCTCAGCAATTGCCTCAGAACCGATACCAGCCAAGCCAGCAATCGCATGCTTCCCCTGTGTCCACTGCACCTCAGATTCAGTATCCGCGACCTGATGTACAACAGCAATATCCTTCCCAACAGGCGGCTCCATCGTATCATCAAAATACGCAGAACCAGGCGCAACAACCTCCAGCGCAGCCCTATAACCAGCCGCCGCAACCTTATCAACACCTGCCTCCGGTGCAATATCAACCGCCGCAACCCGCCCAACAACACCATGTTGCTCATCAGCCGGCCCCAACTCAGCATCATGATACACAGGCGCAAGCGCAACCGGGGGGAGGGTCTACTCAACGCACTCCTTCTCTTTCACACCTGATGCACAGACATTTGCATGAATCTCCACAAAACCATCGTAACCAGCCGCTGTCGCCACTACCGCAGGCTTCTCCCCCCATCTCTTCTGCTCAAACTCACAACCAGACATCGCATACATCACATACATCGCGTCTATCTTGGTCCAGCCCGTGTGCCAGTTCTTCAACACAACCTCCACCGCATACGGGCCAATTGCCAAGTGTTCCAACGGTCGCCTCACAGCAAGCTGTCCAACATCAGGCGCCTCTCCGTACCAGCCATGAGTGGCCAACCGCATATCAAAATGGTCAAGGACAGGTACAACAGGCCGGAGCTCCTGCTGAACAGCCTTTCTCGTCTCAATATCAAGCTGCGCCCTCAAACCACTCTCGATCAGCGTCTGGCCACAGGCAAAACGAGCAGCGGCCTGCCTACCAACCATCAACTCATAACGCACCTCAGGCTTACCCCCCGCTGCCCTGGAATCAGCAAGCAACAACCCAGGCTTCGAATCTCCTTCCTCCACGGCCACTAACATCCTTCGACCCACATCTTCAACAAGATCCGAACCTACTTCCTCCTTTAGCATCGAGTAACAGGCCACCGGAACGACCTTATCAGCCTTCTTATAACCCCTATTCGACCATTCCTAACATAACGCAACACCACGAACCACCTTATGCCGGAATCTACCCACCCCAGCTTCCTCGACTCCGAGAAGCTGGTGCTGGCTCACCACCAGCAATCTCCCAAGTACAACCTCAACAACCTGCACCTGCAACAGCCTACCATCCGGCTCCGCTTCGCCAAGTTGCCCCAGCATCTGGGCCTGGGCCTTCACCGATACAGCCAGCAGTAAGCCCCCAAGTACAACGGGCCTTGCCTCCGCCGCCAGAGCCTTCAGCAACTCCAGTCTCACAGGCATCGGCGCAAACGACTTCTAACCAACAAGCTGAGTCTGAGTCTGGTTCGTCCCGTGATAAGAGAGACAAACGGGACAAGCGGGATAAGCTAGACTCAGAACCACCTGAGAGCACCCAACAAACCTCAACAGCCGCGCCAGCACCTCAACCGGAACCTGTCACCGGGGAAGCCGACAATTTTCATCCATACGTCCAGGTTGATCTCAACCTTGCTCAAGACCCTCCCGACTGGGGTGACTCGATGCCATTTGAGCTCGTTCAATTCATCGCTGAATGGGAACGCCTACGCTCTCTACGACAAGGTCTGGAAGGTCTACGAAATTGGAAGGGTGGTCTCGAATGTTTGTTCTGCACTGGTCACGAACGGGTGCCTTATGTCTATGACCGCAAGAATTATTTTGAGAAGCATCTCTTGGAACACTGGAAGAAGCAGAAGAAGCTTCATCCTGAGGGGCTAGATCCTGCCCCGCGCCCAAGACAACGGCAACAGCAGTACACTTTTAGGGACGGTACCGCAAATCTCAATTTTTGATCTGGAGAATAATAAACAGGGAAGGATTAGGCGTAGTGTATTGGATTTTATGAGGCGTTATTTATTGATGCATTTTGGTGTCAGATGAGGGATGCACCCACCAGAGCGAAACTACCGTCATTTTTGTGCCGCAGGATTTGGATAGGCATACACTGACTGGAGCATTGGTCGAATGACAGATAGCCTCCTCTGTAAAGCAAAGTCAATTTAGAGTCACCTCTCAGTTACTCAGGTTTAGCCACGGTATCTTCTTGACCTCAGGCCCTTGAGTGTGATAAGATGTGAACCTTGTATCTCGTGAAATATTACGAGCTTTTTGACATGATTCATGTTTGACAGCAGAAGCCCAAAGTGCTCGGTGTAGTTGCATGGAGTGATAATACACTCATACTGCCCCTACTGCGGTGTCGGACGCGCCGCCCACCACGCCTCGTTTGTTTTGGTGAATGAGATGTCACTCATCGCCACTCCAGGGCTGAACAGCAGCAGTGCGAGTAAGGGCTTGGCCCTTAGTCTAGATCGATCGGCCAAGTAAACATGAATAATTGAACAGTGATGATAGTAACAGATTATAAATACAAAGATAGTCGAATAAAAACACCAGAACTGTCATTGAGATGATGATCAACAGCGATTCATAGTGAGTGTTAGTTGGTGCGGAGACAACAGAAAGACGCGTTGCGTTAGTGTTAGTTGTCCCCGCAACAAAAAAAACAGAGCCAACGCGTCGGGAGGAAAATGATCCGTCAATGCATCTCGAATTTTCAATTGACGAGGGACACAAAACAAACAGAAGAGGCCAGACAAAGGAACAACACCATCGCAATACTAAAAACAAGGACTAATCTCACAGATTGACGAGCCATTTATCGCATACAACATAAATCCACCGCGACAAACTCTATTCCCACTATCCACAGCCAGCCTCATCACCTCATCTCGCCCAGCATCTCATCTCACCCGTCCCCACCAAAACACAGCATGGATAACTATCAGAGAATAGAAAAGGTCGGAGAAGGTTTGATCACCAATCTTATATCGGCGACACACATGCTAACTGCTGTCAGGTACTTATGGTGTTGTCTACAAAGCCCGTGATCTCAGCCACAATGGCCGCATCGTCGCTCTCAAAAAGATCCGTCTCGAGACCGAAGACGAAGGCGTTCCCAGCACCGCCATTCGCGAGATTTCCGTCCTGAGAGAGCTTAACCACCCCAACGTCGTCAGCCTCCTGAATATTGTTCACGCCGACGGCCACAAGCTCTACCTCGTCATGGAATTTCTCGACCTTGATCTCAAAAAGTACATGGACTCGCTCCCTGTCACAGACGGCGGTCGCGGAAAGCCTCTTCCGACTGGAACTGCTACGACCGTGCGAAACTTGGGAATGAGCGAGAAGGTCGTGCAGAAGTTTATGCTGGATCTGGTTCAGGGCATTAAGTATTGTCACTCGCGTCGGATATTGCATCGCGACTTGAAGCCGCAGAACTTGCTCATTGATAAGGACGGAAACCTCAAGTTGGCTGATTTTGGTCTGGCGAGGGCGTTTGGTGTTCCGTTGAGAAGTTATACTCATGAGGTTGTCACGCTGTGGTATCGCGCGCCTGAGGTCTTGCTTGGTGGACGACAGTATTCGACCGGTGTTGATATGTGGTCTGTCGGAACCATCTTCGCTGAGATGTGCTCTCGAAAGCCCCTTTTCCCTGGCGACTCTGAGATTGATGAGATTTTCAAGATCTTCCGGTGAGTCGCCTTCCGCTTGGAATGCCGAGGACGAGTACTAATCTTCTCAGAACCCTCGGTACACCCGACGAGGATGCCTGGCCCGGTGTCACCACATACCCAGATTTCAAGCCTTCTTTCCCCAAGTGGCAGCGTGACTTTTCTGTTCCTCTTTGCCCGAACCTGGATGAGGCTGGCCTGGAACTATTGGACTACATGCTCATCTGCGATCCTGTAACCCGCATTTCGGCCAAGGCGGCACTAAACCATCCTTACTTTGACGAGATCCTGTGAGTAGGCCTAAATGACTTATCCGACATATCGCTGACATGAAATTACCTCAGGGAACGTAACTAATTCACTCATGTACTGGGGCTTGACGCGATGAGGAGTTGATGAACAGAACTTTGTAGAACACGACCAGGAAATGCATGAAAACGGGTTCATTGAGGATATGAGTAAGATAGGATGAACTTAATGAGTATCACATGAAGGAGGCAATTATTGATGATAGATAGCATGGGGAACGGAGGTAAAAATTGTAAACTGTATTTGTCTTTGCTACACTGTTCTTCCCTCTGTATCAATCGTCCCAACCCAGGCGTGATCGACTAACATTTGAGCACTTCCAGATGTCACTTTGCTAGGAGGATACAGATGGATAGGCTCATTAAACCAGATTTATGAAAACAGCATATGTTCAGTGAAATCAATATTCCCTATCGGGCTAGAAAGTAAAGAAGTATACTAAGAATTATATACAAAATACATACGACGGCAATACGTTAGACCTTGGCCTTGGTAGTAGCACCAATAGCAGCTCCAGAAGCCGGAATCAAGAACTCACTAGCCTTGACACGCCCATCAGTTCCACGAGCACCCTTGAGGGTGGATGCATCTGTGCTCTTGAAAGAGGCATCATTCCAGGTATCCTTGCTATCCCACGAGTTTCCAGACGCAGATACCTTGCTGTTCAAGCTAACCTGATCACCAGTGTTGCTGGCAGCAACGTTCTTGGTAACTTTTGACGAAGAGCTGCGAAGATTGAAGCCATTGTCACCGTTCTTCCAAGCAGTGTTACGGTCAAAGGTCAAAGAACCAGGGTTGCCATTATCGATGAAGCCCTTCTTGGCGTTCTGGAAGGCAATGCAGTTCTTGACGATATGGTTCGCGGGAGGGTTGTTGGTAATACCTAGCTTGAAGCCATTGCCATCGCCCTCGAAGGGCGTGAAACCCCAGCGGTTGAAACCATTACCCCAAGCGTAAACCTCCTCGAGGGTTATGGGCGAGCCGAACATGTACAAGTCAAGGCCATCATCGACATTGTCCCAGAGACGGGCATTGCGGAGGACGTTACCTTCGCCGCTGCCGTCCTTGCAGGCAAAGCCGTCGGCACTTTCACCGTTCTTGCGAGGGTCGCGGTTACGGTAGGAGTCAAGGTTTATGACTTGGTTGTTGGAGGAAGCGCCCTCGAGTTGAAAGCCGGTCTCATAGTTGTCATGAGTGGAGAGACCTTCGTAGTAGTTGTTGGAGGCGTCTCTGGCATAGATACCATATGGACCGTTGATGATTCTGCAACTTGTGAGTTTTTGAATCTCTGGGGTTCAAGTTGAGACTTACTCGAGATTATAAAAAGACCACCACTCAGCATTTTGGATATGGAAGACGCCACGCTCAGCATTTGGGAGTGACTCGCCAACAGCCTTTGGTGTACTGTATCACGTTAGACTTATCATACTCTTTGCCTTCAGTATCACTTACCCAGGCATGTTCTCTCCATCAATGATAACCTTCTCATTCTGATAAGGCTTCACAGTGATAGGACTCCCCTTCGCACCACTCGTCTTGACCTGGATATTCTTTGAAGGAGCATAAGTACCCTTCCTCAGATAAATGAAATCACCAGCCTTAGCAGCATCAATAGCAGACTGGATCGATCCATATGGTGCAGCAAGAGTACCAGAGCCGGTACCAGTAGGAGATACAAAGATATCCTTAGCGTTGGCACCAGCCAGGAAGGCTAGGACAATTGCGGGGGTAAGCTTAATAACAACCATATCTGCGAGATCCAATGACTAGAATGCTGTGACAGTTCTTCATTTTCGATGGATTTGTCCAGTGTTTTATGTATAAGAAACGCACTACATGTAATTTCCTAGATGGGGCCTACGGATCGGTCCACTCCGAAGGGGACGACGAGGTTGATGATGAGGGGTATTTCCACCAATAAGACGAAATTACCCCTTTCAGAAAATCGATGTTTCACTGGTGGACATCATCTCGGGAACGTTTCATAGGAATTATTTGGGGGCATCGGGAAAATTGGGGGATTCAAGGTCGTTCATTTACTCCTTTATGAAGTTAGTAAATTGACGATTCGGGGGGAGATAGACCGAAGCGGTGTGATCATATGTCCACAAGATTGCGTAGTCGTTTGATAGATCTTTCAAGTGTCTATATTTGTAACAGTATCTTGACCGACAGTCTATCGAAACTAATAGGAAATCATAAGTGTCGGTCCTCAGAGCAAGCAGGGGGGGCACTGACTTGTCATGAAAGGCCCGAACCATCATTAGTCTCAGGAGCATCCGAGCCGTTTACATTACAATTACTCCTGCCATTTGCATACCCATGCTATCCAGGTTTCTTTACGAGGTTTCTGTGGTCCTTCCTCGTTTGTCTCTATGTCCATATCCCCATCGCTCGGTGATACCTCGAAGCTCCCATTCCGATAGATGCCTCAACTTTGTGCCAGACTCAGGTTCCCTACTCAAAGATGGTCGAATCAGATGCTGTCAGAAGTTTGAAAGTTTGACAATAGACTTAAGAGTCGCGTATATAGCTTTAGGTTCTTCCTCAGTAGAAAGGGCATTCCACCAGAGTATGTCTTACGGCCCTCACCCAAGCAACATGGGGTTCAATTATAAAATGCATATTTCGTAATAGACATCAGGTTTAGTAACGCAGGAGACCTGGGTGCGTTTGTAAATGAAGTCGCGACTATACTAGCCCACTTCGGGTTCTGCACCGAAACCTCCGCGTTCATACGGGGACCAATGCTTTGAGGCTGAGAAGGTGTTACCGTCTTAGTAAGAATCGACGGGGTCCAGACAGTGATTGGCTTCAGCCTCGTGATTTTGCAACGTCATCATTACCAAACTTCATCCATTCTACTAAGCACTTGAGAATAGTGCCCAGCCTTGAGAGAAGTATAAGGACGCCTGTTCCGGAACTACTTGTCTGGAAAGTTACCTCTAAGTAGACAGTGGATATAGCTTAACGATACACGCAATTTACAGGCAAAATGGGTGAGTTGGCATACCCCTCATTTGATCTCACGTCTGACATGCCCAGCCACCGAAACCAATAACCAAGGCCTCAGCTACGGCGTCGGCAAGATAAACGCTAAAGGTGCTTTCACTGCCGAAATCAAGATTGCTCCCCGTGTCGGACTTGAAGATATCTGGCAAGGTCAATATGCCGGCGCTCAAGTGATGGGAAAGCGCCCAGGCATGTACATCAAGTACCTTCCTACGAAGTATCACCCCGTCAACGGTGATATGCTCACGGGAGGATGCTATCTCTTCGACACGGTCGAGAATGCCAAAGGCTTCGAGGACTGGACCACAAACGAATTCGAAGTGGGCGAGCCAAAGGCGACCTATTGGAAACAACCTTTGTTCAAGCACGTTGATACTTTTGTTTGGAACGTCATCGGTGCTCATAACTTCACTCCAGTTGAAGAGCATGGAATCGGTCGTTTCCAGCGTTGGACTTACCATCATGTCGGTGTTGAGGCCATCTTGAAGCAGCTGTATCCTGTTCTCAAAGATGCAGCTGAGAGAAGAGGAGCTGGCTCATTTTGGCTGCTGCACCGGCCAGAGGATAAGATGATCGCCGTTCATATGTCGTTCCCCAAGCCAGAAGATGGTGATCATGACACCATGCGCGAAGAGGTCGAGGATATTGCTCGTGAAGGTTCTGTGGCGGACGTATTTCCCGATGCTCTTGAGGCGGAAGTGCTGCTGGATAGAACGAGCATTTACTACGCTGTTTGGCAGCCTTTGGCGCAAGGAGATGTTGTCAAGGTGACGAGCCCCAACTTTCCGGATATTGCAAATGCATCGAATGGAGCAGCTTGAGTTCATGTCGGCTTCAAAATAGGAAGCGCAAGAAATTGACGAATGCTATCTATTTACCTCATACCCCATTCTCACAAATGAACCAAACTTTTATGCTTCCAGTCCGTAACCTAGCCCAGCAGTGCCCTTTTCACCTTCTCAACCTCCTCCGAAGTTCCACAAACCAATCCAGCCCTATCGTCACATCCCTTCAATGTAGTATCAAATACTCTCGCACCAGTCTCAGGATCAATGGCCTGACCACCTGCACACTCAACAACGAGCGCTACAGGGAGTAACTCGTAAAGCCTTCGCAGCTTAGCCTTGCTGGCAGAAGTTACTGGCGAGATGTATACGCCATGACCCTTGACCAAAGCGTGATATATATCAGGAATGAGACCTCCCGAATATCGTAGAGTGTACTTGTCAGTGATGAACTTTGTGACAAGGTTCATGTACTTCTCATTATCGGCGGCGGCTCGTAGGTTGGCAGGAGCGAAGTAGCGTGTTTTGAAGGGAGGCTCAGCGAGTCGAAGCTCAGGACGCGCCACGACGAAGTTTTGGGTATCGTTGAGGCTGACTTCGAAGCATAGGGGCTTGGATCCTGGGACTCGAACGGCGACGATGGCGAGGGTTCGTGGACCGAATACTCCAAGAACAGAGGCGATTTGCTTCTTTGTAGGTTGCCCAACTGCAGTCACGCCGTCCCAAACACCGATAATGGTACCCACAGACCAGTTGGGTCCAATGATAGAGCTTCCATCAAGAGGGTCGAAAGCGACAGTGTATTGCTCGACACTGCCATCGGCTTGCGTTATCTCTCCTGCGCGTGTTGGCTTCTCGACAGGGTCCTCTTCACTGCTAGCAGTTTTAATAGCAGCAGACTTAGCAATACTCTCACGAATAATGTTCTCGGCCAGAACATCAACGTTCAACTGCTCATCGCCAAAAGCATTCTCGGTCCCCACGATGGAAACGTCATATGATCCTCTCAACCCTTTGCCAATGTCTGCGATAGCGCTTAAAAGCTGAGGAATGACCGAGTCGCGCAATGAAGCTCTGTTCTCTTGGGGGAGAGCTGATTTGAGAAATGGCGTGAGCTCAAGCTCGGGTGCTTTTGTTGAAGTCATTTTTGCTGGATGTGATGTTGAAAATGTCAAGTTCAAAATGTTGATCTCGAAATTGAGGTTGCGTCATTCAAAATTGACGCAATTGAGCTGCTGTCATGGTCGAGCTTAACCAGATATAGTTTAGAGAGTCGTTATCGACGGCCCGATTAGCGTTGATAGCGGGCGATAAGAACGCCTCTGTATCTTGACATCACATCATGGCCATGGTGTTAAGCCATTTTGCCTTTGATGTGATTTCGGCCGCGGGAAAAGGTATTTGGAGTGAGATTCCTGCTGAATATGGACGTTAGAACTCATAATTCCCCATCTAACGTCAGATTCCTTCATGGATGCTCACTAGGTTCATGAAGTCAAAATCGAAACCCGTGGAGCCCAAAACCTTCCTCTACTGAGAGGCCACGTTGATGCGCCCTCGATCTTACAATACTCAAGTTTGTCATATGTTGTCTTATGGTTTAAATCAGGAGATATCGTTGGGGAGAAAGTTCGGGATGTAGATCAGGCGAGACCGAGTTCCCCGGGAAACCCGGCTGCCTGGTCTTATCGGGCCGCATGAATCTGGTTCAGAATATCGTATCACTATAACTCTCGTGACAATAAAAAAGAAGATGATCAAGATTGTAAGTATAACTGGATCACCTGATCAATCGGTGTTGAGAGAATCAATGAAGTCAGAGCGGGATGATCGATGAGTACATGCGGAACCGGGTCCGCAATACGCAATACGACAGAAGATGAGGTGTCACAAATCGATCGACATTGAACAAATCTTGATCCGATAACTCCTCAATTCTGAGATGATACCCTGGTTCCACGGAATATCCCACTGTCACCTTCCACGGAATCGCATTAGATTACCGATACGTACACGTTTCCTCGATATTCGGCGGCCGCGGAGTTCCATGTCCGTCAGATTATCAACTATCACAATTAGAATCAAACTGAACTTTACAATTTAGATTCGCTGGTAAATCGTCAGATATTTTATGCTGTATACCAGTATATTCATTAAGCTCTTACGATGACGCAACAGTCTCGCTGGCAACAACAGGTCCCTTCAGCAACACAGGGTTTCCGTCATAGAAGTTCTTGATATCGCCAAAGACATCAGCGGCCGCCTCGCTAGCAGCAGCCTTCTCAAACACCTCAAGGCTCTCCCACTCAAGAGCAGCCTGGATCTGGAAAGGCGCACCCTCCTGGAAGGTAAGAATCTTGTAGTTCTTGAGACCGTAGGAACCCCATTTGCTGCAGAGGCATTAGTAATTGCATTGAATTCTAGTGATATGTCAGATGGGGTTCCACTTACGATGCGACAAGAGGCATGTGCTTTGTGAGATAATAATCCAGGTCGAAAGAAGGACCGGAAGGATAGACAACGAGAACTTGAGCCATTTTGATATACAAAAAAGTGGTTTTGAGTGAAGCTTTGGCGATATTTGTTTCGGTGAAACGGCCTCGGCAGCTAAAATCGAGGGGTAGCAAGCATTTATATAACGGTACCGAGCGGGGGCGACAGCCCAGCTCCCCACCTTGGGAATTGGGCGAGTCGAACGGGTCAACGGAGCTATCCTCGGAGTGATGTGATTGATGGAGACCGATTACTCAGCTTGGGATTTGGTTTGAATGGTGTTTTGATTTCGAGAGGGTCCCGAGGTTGAGCGGTCAACAATTGCCTTGGCTATTTAACGATAATTGGCTAATGCAGCCACGACAGGTACTAGTGCGTGGCTCGATAAGCTTATCAAATTCTGGCCAGTGTGACATCAGTCCACAGGAACTTGACAAAAGGTTGCAATGGGAAGTTGAAATGAGATTTAAGTGGTCTATAATGCATCAACAGAGAATGAACTTCTTCTCTTCAGCCACGCCAGCTAGACCGGATTTGCCCTGGTTTGCAACAATGCCGATGCGACGGTATGTTGGGAGGCTGCCCTCCATCTCATCCGATGCATCCTCCACTACTCATGAACTCCTCCCGTTCCACGGTGTTATCATCAAATTGTCCCTCCCAACACCAAGGCATCGCTATCGGAAGGTCCAACCTTTCGCTTTCTAGTTCGAAATACGGAGGATTAGACCAGTTCTCCGGGGCGATCCGTAGGGAAAGTTGCCGGAGGTGTCCTTTCAAGGTGACGGTTGAAGACTGAATGTCTGAAACATATGGCAAGCCTTTCCAGGAAACATCGCAGGCCAACACCGTGATGTTATCATCTGTAGCGTTCAAGTCCTCCGGTGAGGATACCTGAAGAAAGTCTCAAGTAGCATATGCATTACAGGATACCCATGACCAAGATGGAACACCAGCAAGCCCGGCTGATTTGTTAGGCCTAAAACGCATCCAGAGAAGATCATTTATGAATGCTTCTTTCTATGAGCCAAGCAGTGGTGTATGTCTTGATATTTGCTGTGATAAGATGAAATCCCTGCTATTGCCACAATCCTATCTCTAAGAAAAGTAAAGTCTCTCTTCAAATAAATTGAAACCCAATAATACCAGCTTCGCTTCTCGTTCGTATAAGGTTCGTCAGAGGCATCACATAACACGTCCATTGGGTGAGAAATTTCACCGGACTGTGTCTTGAAGAAGCCATTGCAGTGCCAGTAGACTTCTGATTTCAGGCAATGCAGAGTTCGACATGAAAGGATTTCTTCTTGTACAACCCAGTCTCTAGTGCTCAGATGGCTTTGCTTCTGCTTCATAATTGGGACTTCGGTCTCAAATCGTATACAAAAGCTTCGTGAAGTATCCTCAGATTCAGGACTCACATTCTTGCATTGGAGGAGAAGAAATTCCGATCGTATCCGTATGCATATAAGTCATTCCCCATTCTTGAAACGCTATAAGAGTCTCGAGAACAGTCCAGAAAATGCCATTAGTCGTACTCGTCTTTGCAATATGTAGCTGAATCGGTGGGTTCAACAGTGGCTCATATTCTCCCAATCTTCTTTCTGCTCTATTGTACTCTTCCGATAGTACTAAGTCCCATATACCTGAACACAGAGAACATGTCTATTTACTGAGCTCCGAAGTTGGTCAGCATCTGGATGCCATTCGACCTGTTATTTTCCAACTCTGGCTTCTTTGCTGGACTCTATAATCTGCTTGAAAACACCCTGACAAGGTTGACAAGGTATCTGCGTTCTTTGAATCATTTTTTTCCAACCCACTTTCACTGAGGTGCTTATGTGTCCACTAAGAATCAGGTGGCGTTTCGCTCAAGTGCCCTGTAGCAGGGCTCTAAATCGCCAAGACACTTCAATTCAACAAGGCTATAAAGGCGCCCAAACATGGCACAATTGATTGAATGGCGCATGTGACGACCATTCCTCTTCTAAACCTTATAGCCTTCTTCAACCAATCCTACCTGCAAGCCACAAAAAGCCCGTTCTGCCTTGTTTGCCCCGCACCTTCTCTTTATCGGATAGATCAACGAGGATCGGGTCATCTTAGGTCTCAATAGCAATCAGCCTAATGGTGACACAGCCACTTGCAAGACGCCAGTGAGGCATCAACACCGAATTGCGGTAGTACGACCACTAAGATGGTAGTGGGAGGTAACCAGGAAGAGGCCTCCACGTTCGGATCCCCCACCTGTGAGATTTAGTTTAATAGGGCTGAACAGGTCCAAGACTTTCCGCGCATCAGCATCAACTTTTTAACATCGCTTAATTGAAGCTTAACAGTCTATTCACTACCTAGATGTCGCAGCAACCTCCTTATTGGCAAGGTTCCCAGGGCGGCGCGCCCCCTCAGCCGGGCTATGCGGGGCAGCAACAGCCTGGCCAGGGCTACTACCCGCCGCCTCCAGGCCAACAACCGCCTTACGGTTACCAGCAGCAAGGCCCACCTGGAGGACAGCCAAACCAGCCATATCCTCCTGCGGGGCAGCAGTACCCTCCTCCGGGTCAGCAAGGTCAATATCAGCAGCATTCACAAGGCTATCCACAGCAGCCTCCTTACGGCCAGCAACCACCAGGACACCAAGCGCCTTATGGGCAACAGCCTCCTCCGGCTCCCTATGGACAGGGACAGTACCCGCCCCAGCAATACGGCGGTCCTCAGCAAGGCCAGCCTCCATACCCTGGTCAGCAACAGCAACAGCCACCTTACCCCGGCCAACAGTGGCAACAGCAGCCTGGACAGCAGCAATATGGTGGGCCACCTGTCAATGTTCCTCCAACGCCAGCATCACCAGGTTATGACCCAGCCCAAAAAGCTTGGGTCAAGCCTGTAGACACAGCAGCCGACGTGGAGGCTCTTCGCAAGGCCATGAAGGGAATGGGCTGCGACGAAAAGGCCCTGATTCGCGTTCTCGTCAGCCCGAAATACGCTGATCCATGGACTATGGCCCAACTGGTCCGCGATTACAACAGTCGTTTCATGCGCGATCTCGCAAAGGACATTGAGAGTGAGACTCGCGGCGATTTTGAGACTTGTCTCCTCGCTCTGATCCGCGGGCCATTGGAGAACGACGTCTACAATCTGTCAAAGGCTCTCAACCGCGCAGGTACTGACGAAGATGCCTTGAACGACGTTCTTATCTGCCGCTCAAACGCAGACATCCGTGCCATTACCGCTGAGTACAAGCGCTTCCGAGGCAAGGAACTTCTTGTCGATATCAAGGAAGACGTCGACGACACACTCTACCGCCTCTACAGCATGGTTCTTGCCGCCAGGCGAGCGGAAGACAATGCCCCGGTCATTCCTCAGGAAATTGACCACAAGGTTACAGAGCTGCAGAGGGCCACTGAGGGAACCATTGGTGCCAACGCTGTTTCAGTAGCACAGATCTTCACCAGCAGCAACGACGCACAAATCCGTGCCATCAACGACGCATATCAGCACAAATATCACCGCAGCCTTGAAAGTGTCATCGAGAAGGAGTTCCGCGGTGACATGGAAGATGTGCTACTTCGAATACTCTACCACGCACAGGATCGAGCTCGATCTGATGCAGGCAGACTCAGTAGACCTCTGAACAAGTCGATGCGAAAGGATCGTCTCTTCATCAACAGGCTCATAAGTCTCTACTGGGATCAGGGCCGTTTATATCAGACGAAGCAGGCGTACAAACCTGTGACTGGCTCAACGCTGAGTGGGAATATCAAGTCGGTTCTGAGCGGTGATTACAAGGACTTTGCTTTGGCATTGATCGGCGAGAAATAGTTATAATGAAGCAATTGAAACCTCGTCCAGGGGAATCAGTTTTCGATATGGATTTGGAGATTAAATAAAGTCAGCAGTGTTTTGCTTCATGCAATAATATGGACTACTCTCACCTGCTTCGATCACTGATCATGAATTGCTATGTATTAATAGTGAAATTCTGCTGCGGCTGAAATGTGCAATTGCGACCCCCTCCACCAACCAGTGAAGCACCAGGTGAAAGACACGTATCCATATTCATCAATAATGAGACTAGGGGTGTCATTTCCGTGTCAACTGTTATAGTATATTCATCTCTTGCTCTGGCAGTACCACTCTGGAGAGTCTGTGAGCAAATTCAACTACTGATGCGGTACGGTAAATCAGCAGTTCTTGGTCTCCTTTCGGCCTTTAGCTTGCTATTGGCTGTCTCGTTCTAAATTACACCGAGATATCTTTATCTGCTTGGTGGGATAATTTGGTCGTGGGAGCTGACAGTCCATGGTGATCTGACAGTTTGGTGGCATGATGCATCAAAGGTTGCACATTAGGTACAGATAAACACCTTTAAAGACGCCACAAATCACCACTGGCAAATAGAAAATGAGGAATCTCAACAGATGTGCTGACGAGAGATCATTTGCACTTTCGGTTACATGAGAGCCTACTTGGTAACACTATGAATAAATCAGGCTGGCGGTTAATGCTTGTGTACTTAATGCCCGCCTGAAGCCTACTCGTTCAGTAATTATCTCCCTGTCTATCTACTTTCTCCCAAATTATCGGCTCTTACTAGGTTGAACATTTGAGGTTATCTACACAATGCACAACCCGTACTCGCAAGTGTGCGCTATCCCGCAGTGCAACAGACCTCGTAAACACTTCACCACGAAGATTTCGCCCTGGTGTCAATATCGTCAGTCATCCTGTCACCAGTTCTATTTTGTTACTTTGCCCATATCCAAGTGCCCTGGCTGACAATTGGGATTGCTCGAAAACATAGACGTTTGCCCGATGTGCACAAGTCGGTCAAAGCGAGCAGCATACAGGGCCTGCTTTGTTTGCAATCCACCACCGCGCGATGATGACTGCGACTGCTGCATCGTCATGTAGAAACAACATCTATACGAAGCGAAGGAGCATGGGGTGTAGGAGGAGATGCTTTTTGATGCAATTTGATGCACATCTATGTTTTACAGGGCGTACTCGGCCGTTGCATCAGGGCACTGCCCCCTGCAGAGGCTGCGGTGGATTGACATGGGCTCACGGTCAGGAATTCTTGTCAAGTTGTTAGTAAGAAATTCAAATTCATGAATTGAAACAGAACGAATGCATGAAGAGAAAGAGAGAAGAGAAAACGTGCTATTTATAGATGATCAGGCTCTGGCTGCTCTTCTGAAGCTCTTCCCTATTGGCGCAAATTCCTGCAGCAGCTACACCCTCATTCAGAAGACTGTTGGTTCTGAACCAACATAGCTTCTCGACACCGACTAAATCCTTCAAACATGCAGTTCTTGGGATAAACATCTCAGTCGAAAAAACTCCGATTTTAATGCTATAAACTCGAGAGGTGAGGCGTTCAAAGAGCCTATGTCGCAGGAATACCTAGAATTATTCATTTCGATGAGTCTTTTTGTCGTGAGGCTTAGAGGCCAGCTTCAGAGGCTTAGGGGTTTCTGGATAGCGCTTAATGTTTATATACTTCTCTCTTCAGGTTTCGACTTGGCCGGGGTGTTCAGCCGAGGCAGACTCGACCATAAAATGAGGCAGAGGCCTCTTGTCATGAAAGTGTATTTCTATTCCTTTTGTTCTCTTTTCTTTTCGAGTATATACCAGGAACTCGCCTCCAAACTGAGCTTTCATTACCCAGATTCATATTATTCTTCAACATTTATTCATAGCCATGAACAAACAGAAGATCGGCGACATTCCAAAGATAACCCCTCTTCAAACCTCGTTGGGTTTCCCACGGTCCGATCCTGCGAGCCGATTCTTCGTACGGACTTATAAGAAGTTCATAAAAGACTACAAGACGCGTGATGGTGTGCCTGGAGTTTCTCTGACCAAGTGGAGCGATGTGAGACAGAGAGTCGAACTTGAGATCATGGCCAAGAGATTCGCGGTAGTAGACGGTCGAGGACAACAATTCTGGCCAGCAAGTGAGGGCTCTGAGCCTGGTGATTCACTGACCTGGGGAAGAAATGGCGAAGAGTAAAACTCACGACTTATGATCTGTTGCAAAAAAAAAAAAAGTTGCTTACCTTTCCACAGAATTGTCAAACTGCTCGCGCAACTGTTCTTCCGTCACAACCAGCAAGAACACCAAAAGGGTTTGAGCTCCCCTACCAAGAAGAAACAAGCAATTCGCCACGAAAGACAGAGATCGCAAACACTTGAACAAGGGTACTGCAAACCTTCCAAACTACACTACATGTTTGGCTAACATGTTCAATACCAGTAATGCGGGATCAGCTTCAGCTCCAAGTGAGGAGATGGATATAGACCCATGGCTAGAAGATACTTCGGGCGACGATACCAGCCTTCCAGATGTAGGCCACTTTCGTTTACAGCCGAGAGGATCAGATGCCCAGGTAGGTGGCCTTCTCGGTCTTAGCACTATACCCATATATGTACATGATGCCTGGGAAATCATCAACTGACTGTACTAGACTTCTGCGGCGGGCAGTACAAGCAATAGCACGCCACCACCTCCAGGCACGACAGCTGCAACAAACCAAGTAAATGAGAGTTCAAGCTCTTCTGAGCCAGTTGCACCTGTCGCAGAGATGACTGGACGTCAAGAATACGCCACCGCAACAAGCACAATTACTCAAGCTGTAGAAGCTATTACTGAGAGATACACTTCATCGGGTCGTAGCTGTCGACCAGTTCAACGTCTTAACTTTGTTGAAACGCCAACCTTTGATACGGAGGATGATACTCAATCCTTGTCACCACCTCCAAGTCGACAAAGCGATCCAGGATCCCGCCTCAGCCCAGAGCTTGGGACAGAGACTGAGCCTCCTAGAGCTTCTCCTGGCGGAACCCCGCAGAATCCTCGCGCAGCTTCAGAACCGATGTCCTTCGACAAGACCCAACTGTGTACTGAAGACATAACTCCTGTACTAGAGGCAAATCAAGCCACTAGAGCTATGCCTCCACCTCCTCTCCCCCAAATTACACGACCAACACCAGAAGTTGTTGCGAGAAGGCCAAGGCATAGCATCAAGTACAGTGTCGAAAGGTCCCCTGGCAACTTCAGAATATGGGAGCATTATGGCACATTCGGTCGCATGCCAATGTCGGAGTTTCAAGCCATACACGGCTTCAACGACATTGAAGGTGTTCAGTTCATTGTTAAGCGCCGAGGAATGAGTTGGGATGACAAGGTGCCTGAGAATGATGAGGTTGCGTTTCAAGATATGAAGGTTCGCTTTCTTGATCTGATTAAAGATGACCTGGAAGGAATTGGCATCGAAAGAGACTTCGTACCCTATGATATCTGGATCATTCCAATCAGGAACTCGGAAAATGATGAGGGCTTTTATCGGGAGCAAACAATTGCTCTATAGAGTATAGTTTTGACAGATGTATGTTGGTCGACGGGGTCGACCATTTAACGGGAGACATATCTTCTGAATGGGGTATTCTTGATGATATTATGATTTCATAGCGCAGCACAGTCCTTCTATCAGTTTTAACGAAATGACGGGTCAATGCAAATTTATTCTGAAACCCGTCGTGCCGTGAGTAAAAAAAGCTGACAGCGTCTTCTTTCCTCCTGTCTCGATGATACAGCCTCCTCAAAGTTCACCCTTCTTGACCAACTCACGAATAGTATTGATAGATCCTTCTACTGCCATCCTGGCCATCTGCATGGCCGTGTCAGTCATCGTGTATCTAAAATCATGAGTCAAAAGACTCACCTTGGAATACTTTTCGCGCAATTCTTTAGCCCGTTCGCTGCCCGCCTCGACTTCTGGATGTCGCCATTTGAAAGCGTATGTCAGCACCAGATTACCATCTGCATCATAGCTAACGATATTGAAGATGTTACTTCCGTCTGGTTGGTGGAAATCGACCCGACTTGGCGCAAATTCGTAAACTACCTCCTTGACAATGGTGTCATGATCGCCTCGCGCGTCTTTGTCAAATGTAACTTGTCGGACGACTTTTGTGCCTGTTTCTATCTCTTCTTCGCTGAGGACCTCGCACTCAAGAATGGGAGCCACGAATTCGTGGGCTTTCCGGACTTTGCGCTGGAGGCCATTCCAAACTTGGGCCTCCGACAGGATGGGAGAAACACCGCTTGGGTTGATGGGAGCGCTGAAGGCCAGATTTATGACGACCATCTTGAAAATTGTTCTGCAAGACTTGGGTCTAGCTTATGGAATAAATTTCTGGTGGTAGGGTTTGATGCTGACGTTCGAATAATCACGGCTCGATGGGCATAAATCACGCCTCCACTTTTGTATCAACTATCATAGACTTGGGTGACGTAACATTTCGCTTATTAACGCTTTTCTTCAACTAATAAATAGAATGGTATACCAGGATAAGATAAGCCATGCTCAGGCTCCTATCTACTACTGCTTTTCAAATTCATCAATCTTTTCCTCGTTCACTGCTTTTCCTTGGATCTCCTCTGTGATATCCGATCCTCCCATTCCAAACATTCCCTTGAAGACACGAATAAGACTTTGTCGACCTTCCCAGAGAGGGAACAGACCAACGGCGATGGAACTACAGAACAGCCAGATGATACCAACAGTAACCCAACCAGTGAAGAAGGGCTTAGAAAAGACATAGGATGTTCCGTACATGGGCATGGGCCAGAGGATGAGGAAAGCAATTGTCATGCAGACAGTCATTGTCTTGGCGATCTTGGAAGCCTTGTTGAGCTTGGCCATATCCTCCTCGGGGGCAACAGCAAAGCTGGTCACAACGGCGGTTTCCGAATCGCCATTGGAGTCGCTGGTGTCGTCAGCTTGCTTGATGGCAGCCATGGAAGCCCAGTCATAACTGTCGGAACCGAAACCAAATGTGAAGAGCGGCACAAAGATCAGAGGACTCAAGAGAGCAACAACGTTGCCTGCAAGCATAGGGTTGTTGGAACCGAGGTTGTCAACGCTGAGAACGCCATCGAACTCCTTGGCACAAGTGACGGTCCAAGCGATGAGAGCGCAGAAAAGACCGAGGATGGGGGAGAGCGCGGCAGCAATCCAGTTCTGGCGCTTCCAGAGAAGAGTCAGAGTAGCGGGGATGACAGCAGCGGAAATCATGACACCCATCCAGAGATATAGCCAGCCCATGCTGATACCAGCGTAGTGAAGACCGACACTGAAACTGGCCATGATGACTCCGTAGAGACAGACAGTCGTGTGTGAGACGCCAATAAGTCGGTTGCCGGAAGCCTGGGGGTTGATGTAGGTTCTAGAGAAGCGTTAGCGTAGTATACAAGGTTTGGGAAACGAGGACCTTACTGGTAAACATCATAGGTGAAAATGGAGGAAACAGCGATGAGCTGAGCAGAGGTCGCAGAAGTGACCGCCATGAAGATCATGATCAAAGTGCAGATAGCACCAGTCTTGCCCAACAGGCCAACCGCAGCGTATGGCAGAACAAGACCAGCCGAGACATCAGCAGGGTCCATGCGGTTGGGGTACGTAGGGAACGCGGGGTTGGTCTCTAGGGCCAGAGCACTGAGACCCATGGTAGTCGCACAGAGCCAAGGAATGGCGAACCATGAAAGACCACCGATAATGTACCCAGGAAGCGCTGCGACGGGGTGAGCAGCGATAGCCTTGTTGTAGTAACCGTTATCCATGAAGACAGTACCGAAGTTGCCGACAATGTTGATGACGAAGAAGATGATACCCTCGCGAGATCGCATGGTGAGATATGAGCCCTCGGCGTTACCGTCAACGGGATGCGAGGCAGCGGCTTTGGTGAGTGCATCGTAAACTTGGCCGGGTGATCCTAGTTCGGTACCGGTAGCGTAGGCAGTGAGCGCGAAAATGAGGATGATGACGAGAATAATGACGGTGTGAACATAATCTGTTAAGAAAGTGGCCTTGATACTGAAAGACGAGTTAGACGCTTTCCTTTTCGCCAGCGGCTGAATTAGCTTACCCTCCAAACATGGTGTACAGAACAACACCCAATGGCAGCAAGAAACATGCCGCAGCGGTATGCATGCCGGTGAGAGAAGTGACTACAGCAGAGCCACCAGTCAACAGCATAGCAGTGACAAGAATGTTGGTGAAAAGGCCGAAGCAAATGTAGACGCAGTGAGTAATGCGACCATATCGGGCCCTAATAACCTCGAGGAAGGTATGCGCATTGGGCGCCCTTCTCTTCAACTCAATGGCAATAGTTGCGAAGAGAATGATCTGAACAGTGGCACCAGAAGCATACTTTGCGATCGTTAGTCACAGTTCACGATTCACAAACAGTCGACTTACCCAGAATGGTCCAGAAACACCATATCGGTACGCAACACCAGATGATTGAAGCAAAGTAGCAGCCCAAGTCCAACTGGAAACAACAGCTGAAGCAACAAGACCAGACTTGACCGTTCGGCCAGCCGTGTTGAACATTTCCGAAGTTTGCTTCTCATGGTTATACCGTTTCAAGACCCATGTTGTGAAGATCATGCCCAGGGCAAAGAGAAAGCCCAGACCAACAACGATGCCATAGCCATAGGCCTGGCTCAGAGGGGGCTCGACTGTGCCGGATGAAGGACCGCCACCACCAGCCATTGTGATAAATTTGCAGTAAAGTTGGTGTTTGGAATTCAAGATCCTATCACGAGAGCATTTGCCACAACTATTTTCATTGAGATCTTCATCATTGTTATATACATCCAAACAATACAGCCGTTTTAGAAAACCCAAGATAATGAACCGTTCAAGTGCCGGCGGGCCTCTCAAGATAAGCAATTCTCGGGTCGAGCTGCACGATAAGAAATTCCCCATGGGGGCAATGATAAGAACGCACGGACATAATTGGCCAAGAACCCCAGTTTGAGCTGCGCCCTTATCAGTTCAAACATTGCAGCGAGGGAATAAGAACCGGTCGATCACTGGCCGGCGGCCAAGCGACTTGCAGGGCGGTATCGTGATAAGAAAAACAGTGGCCGGTACAGGGCATTATTCATTAATTGACACATCAGTGATCGATGCAACACTGTATCAGCTGCTGTTGCACCGCGGAGGTGTAGCACCTGAGCCAAGCCCTTTTCGAGTCTGGAACCTGAGAAATTCAGCCTTAATGGAATGTGTACCTCGTCTTTAGAAATATTCGCATTGAGATAAGATTTTTGAATGTTTGGACATGTGTTCAATTATTAAAGTATGCAGGATTGGTTCATATGCGAGCAATTAAAGTGCTTACCCCACGAAAGCTACGGGTGCAGGGATCCGAGTTATCGTCCCGAAAAACCAACGTCAAAGATTGTGATAATCGCAAACCTTTCGCAATCTTCCTGCTGGGTTCCTCTTCCAAAATTGTGAGCTCAGCACATCTCATTTGTAGGTTCTAAAATATTTCGGTCAAGATAAGAATAATTTGCCTTAAAATCTCTATTCGACGACGTTATCTTGCATGTAGGGCCCAGCCACCCAATTTTTGAGTCACTTGTATGCCTTCTATCCTTCAACCCGTTTAATAGGCTTCTTACCGTCCATTCCTGATACATTGCTATAGGGCAGAATGTTGTTGGCCTGCATAAACCCCCATTTGAAGGAGCCAGAGGTATTGTTTCCCCATATGTTGTTAAGCGATAGTGTATTCGACGAAACAATACCGCTGGTTGGTCGAAGTGGTAAACCAGATACGGGCCCTTGCGCCATCAAGTTTGTGTGGGTTTGAGTATGATTGAAGGCAAATGGATTGATGTTGTTGGTTGCAACCTGCACGTTGCTCGCAACAACAGGCTGGGGATGGAGCTCGGCTTCCAATACTTTCTTCAACTCGCAATACAAGGCTTGGTCGAGCTCAGCCTCGAGTTTGTGGTACAAAGGCCGCTGAAAAGAGTAAGACTCTGTCGATAGCTTTCCGTGAGGTTGTAGACGTAGGAGACGGCATCCAGTTGGAAACTCGATCGAGTAACGGACAGAAAATGCGATGAACTTGAAGTCCTTGGCTGAGGTGGGATACTTTCATGTCTGTTTTTTCTGGGTAGTATTTGCCTCCGGTTTCCTTATCCCGCATGATACTCTTTTGACCTGGATTGCGAATAACCTCAAGGATGGCTGAAAAGTCGTCATTCTCTGTCAGGCGCGTCTCGTACCAAATCAGACTTTGCCAGGCTTTTTCGAACCTGATATAAGGTCAGCTGTTCCTGAGCGGCATAGACCACCAAGTAAAAGACTTATTGCAATTGGAAAACTAACCTGGTCATCTGAGAATTAGTCTCGGAGGTTCCAAGGATCAAATTCTCCGGAATGTCGCTTGATTCATATTGAGCCGTATTTATTCTACCGGATATCGGAAGATCAAGGAGGCTACTCTATGGTTGACACTTGACGAGGTGGTGACAGTGCGAGTAAGCCTAGCTGGTGGTTCATTTGTATATCTTGTGCTATAGGCTCCCCGGTTTAATTCTCGCCCAGGTACTTACTTATTCGCTCCTTTACTTATGGAAGCCATAATGCCATTATTTGCGCACTGTCTGACTTCTCTCTCTCTCTCATTTTTAAAGAGCAATATCTTTTATCTTTTCTACATATTTGCGCTTTTTACGCACTATTGAGTATATACCGATTTATCTGAAAGAGCCGCGTGCATATTTTGAAGATAGAGGATTCACTGAAAACCTCAAGGCAGTATATTGCGCGGTGCCAGCGGGATAGAAACACCAGCAGCTTTTTTCTACCTTGTGATCCAGTTTGTCTAGGATAATAGGACAATGGCAAACAGGTAATGTCGAAAGGAAATTGAACCCTTCCTGAACCATGGCAAGATTTGGTAGACCATTCAGTAACTGATTTCTGTCCTCCTGACATCTCAGACGACTCGGTGGCAATTCAATCCTGATTATGCGTACTTTATGAGCCTTCCAGTTCAAGCTTCAGGTGACAGCATTGGCACGCATCAGACGGATCTGCAACTGCCGTCATAAGACCTCCTCCACGTACCTGGAATTCCCCTGCGTCAAGACTTTTTAGACCAACGGCTTCAGCTCTTCCGTCTTGGGTAAGGCTGGCGAGTTTATGCTGGCCAAGGTTTGGGTGGCATTCCTTATTGGTGGGCATGGTGGGTTACACATTGCAAGAACAGCAATGTATTGGATTGTCTCACATATGTGAGTGACGAACGCGCAACTCTCTTTGGTCTGCTTTTAAGGTTAGAAATGTCACATCGCGCCCGTTATTTGGTCGTTGAGATTTTGAAACGCTTGTAGACTAGGCCGAGTTTGTGGATGACGCGGTGCTTGGAATGCAGATGTTCCGGGAACGGCCAAAACCCATCACCGAATTCAGCTGACACCTCCATTTTGCATCCATTGAATACCCGTCAAATGAACAGGAACTCAGATCAAGATGATATTATCCGTGGAATGTTCAGGCCAATGAAGTGATGATTTCATGAGCTTCAGCTCTTCATGTCCCTGCGGATTATGCTCCGCTGCTGGGTCAAACTCTAACAATGCGATGATCTACCTCAATCTTCGCGGGAGAAAGGTACCGGGGGACAATAGGAAACAATTGAATTGTCTCTCCCTTGCTTTGTTTGCCGGAAAATATCATTTATTGAATGCGTGAACAACGGATTGTAAGAACCGCTAGTCGCAAACATCTGAGACATCACGATCTTGATCCAACATAACTACCGAGGGGCCAGACCACTAAAATGCATAACTACCAAGCGTCAAAAACAGAACAATGGCGACTCCAAGTTACCTCCGTGAAAACCAGGAGAGAAAATTAACTTTTGCCCCTGGGTACTTAAAGTTAAGCTTGGCATCCTAAGTAAGGGTCTTCAGGGTCGCCGATCTCACGGATTGTGATCTATCCGCAACTCAGTCCCATCCACGCCACTCATCGACGTCAGAGAAGTTCCCATGTTCAGATGACTGGATCATCATAGAAGAAGCTTTTTGAACTTTATATAAGGACTAAGAATCAGGCATTCTTGAAACATATTTCCAACTATCACGCCACAGAAACAACTCGAACTTGCAATAACAATCTTCAACTAAGAGACAAAATGCATTTATCTACTCTTTACATCCACTCTTCTCTTCTTCTTGCTTCATCGTTGTTCTCAACGGTGATTGCAGCACCCTCCAACAACCTACTGGACGCTGACATCTCTGTCGATGGCTTTGGCCTTCCCGATGAGAGCGGTGACAATGACGGTGTTTCCGCCAAAGCCAAAGTCAGCGCCGAGAATGACTACAAGGTCCCTAATGGCTACAACAAGCCTCGTGTCCTAGAAGCCAACATCGACGTCACTAGACTGGGCGTCGATCCCATCATCTACTATCCCGACAACGATGATGAGGATACAGACGTTGACGATACTGATGAGGAGAAGCGTAGCATCTTTGCACGACTCTTCACCAGGGCCTTGACTTCTGATAAGAAGGAGGCTCTGCGTCGTCACAATGTTGCTCGATCCAAGGTCAAGGTCAAGGCCATCCAGTGGGATTCCAAACTTGAGTCAGCTGCTACAGCTTATGCAAAGAAGTTGGCCAAGGCCGGTAAGATGCAACACTCTGCAGGAAAAGATCGTCCCAACCAGGGCGAGAACCTTGCGTATGCTTGGGCAAGCAATGGATTCAAGAACCCTATCACTGCTGGTACTCAGGGCTGGTATGTTAACTCTCTCTTGACTCAATACACAACTGACCAAGGGTATTAGGCTGAACGAGAAGAAGCACTACAAGGGAGAGACTATCCCCAAGGGTAATTTCTCTGACTATGGCCACTACAGTAAGCTTACTGCTCCGTCTCATTTCACTATACATCACTAACTGTTCGTCAGCTCAATGTGTCTGGAAGAGTTCAACAAAGATCGGTATTGGTGCCGCCAAGGACTCCAAGGGCGCTTGGTACACTGTGGCTCGATACTCTGGTCCCGGCAATGTCGTCGGTCAGAAGCCGTACTAAAGAACAAAAGAATAAAGTAAAAAGAGATTGCAGAACAGAATAGCTGCCTGGGGCAGTTGAGAAGGGACCAGATGGACGTTTCTCAAGAGCGCTGACCTGATACCTTCTTTGATTCATGCCATTTCGTGGAAAGTGGCTATATGTATTACTACTAGAATACCTCACATTCGCTTACGTGTCACGAATCATGTTAAATAAATCTTTTTGTTATAAAAACAGCTTTGTCCGCTCTTTCGCATGTCAGCGTGAATGAATTGGGCTCTCATATATCACCAACAAACTGACGTCTCTACTTCCTTATGCCACAGTCCAAGTACAGGTGTATCGTAACATGCTTCCATAAAGCTAATAAAGGTTGATGTGCTTGATTTTAGCTAATATCTTGAGGGCCTAATATACGGTAATTGATCTGGAGTCCGTTGAAGGCGCGGGGTCTGATAATGATTGTGACATCCGTTATCGGGATCACGCAAGAATCTCAACAAGTAACAAGTCGATTTAGATCCTGCTATTGCCGAAGACGTGATTATTCGTATATTAAGTGGTATCAAAGATACGAAGGCGTGATTGGACTTGCGGGGTTTCGTTAACATAAATATCGAAGCAATTCAGACCTGGACAGGGTTTGCAAAATGGCATGAATGCGAAGCCCAGCTAACAATCTTTGCCATTCCTCCGCCTCCTAAGTATTTACAAAATACTGTGTAATTTTTAACAGAGCTATTTCTTTTGTAGCTAGTATGGCGTCCAATCCAGCTACGAACGGGAGTGCTCCCGACAACAGCAACAATGACCTCAAGAAGAAAATCATCATCAATGCCTTTGACATGTCAACTATTGGGCACTTATCGCCAGGTCAATGGAAGGTCAAGATCGCTATACTCATCACAATGAATCGAGGCTGACTTCACACAGAATCCAGTAGACAAGTCGGCAACAAAACGCGATCTGCAGTACTGGATCGACTTAGCCAAATTGCTTGAGAAGGGAGGTATCAATGCACTCTTCCTGGCAGATACCTACGGCGGATATGACACTTATGAAGGAAAGCTGGACAATTGCATTCGTCGCGCCGCTCAATGGCCTATGACAGATCCAACTATCCCCATCAGTGCCATGGCAGCTGTGACGAAGAACCTGTCTTTTGCCATCACTGCTTCAACATCTTTTGAACCACCTTTTCTCCTGGCAAAGCGCTTCTCCTCATTGGACCACTTCACCAGAGGAAGAATTGGTAAGTATTAGGTGGCAAAACAGCACGCATGGGGGGCTAACATAATTTGAAAGGCTGGAACATTGTCACAAGTTGGAAGAAAGCGGCTTTCAAAGCTATTGGTCTGGACAGTCCTATTGCACATGACGAGAGATACGAGCAAGCCGACGAGTACCTGCGTGTCCTATATAAGTATGTCGCCTTTACTATCTCCATGCGACTTGACACTGACCTCAAGGCAGACTCTGGGAAGGCTCTTGGGCAGACGATGCCATCTCCCCTGATCCAGAGAACGACAGCTATGCGGACCCTGACAAGATCCGAACCATCCACCATCACGGCAAGTTCTTTGACTTGGACACTCGCCATATTGTTGACCCTTCGCCTCAACGTACGCCATTCTTGTTCCAAGCTGGTACCTCACCAGCAGGCCAGACATTTGCGGCAACTCATGCAGAAGGCATCTTCGTGTCTTCCCACTCACCAAAACTTCTCAAACCCAAGATTCAAGCAATTCGGAAACAGGCTGCTGAACTTGGCCGAGATCCTCAGTCACTCAAGTTCTTTGCGACTTTCACGCCCATCGTTGGTCGCACTGATGAAGAAGCGCAGGAGAAACTCAAGGAACTACAGAAGTATGCCTCGACTATTGGCGGTCTAGTTCTCGTCAGCGGATGGACTGGCATCGATTTGTCTAAGATCCCACTTGACCAGGAACTCACCTCTGCAGACTCTCTAGAGCAGCACAAGGTACAAAGTCTTCTCGATGCATTCACTGTAACCAGTGAGCATGTCCCGAAGTGGACACCAAGAGTCATTGCTGAGAAGGCCGGCATCGGTGGACTCGGCCCAGTTTCTGTTGGAAGCCCACAGACTGTCGCTGACGAGATGGAGCGTTGGATCAAGGAGGGAGATTTGGATGGATTTAATGTTGGTTATGTGACCACGCCTGGGACTTTCGAGGATCTGGTCGAGCTATTGGTGCCCGAGCTCCGAAAAAGGGGTTTATATCATGAGATACCTAGTGAAGGGGGCCATACTCTGCGAGAGAATGTCTACGGGATGGGTCAGTCTGGGCTTCGGGATGATCACACTGGATCAAAGTACAAGTATGATGTGTTCAAGGAAGACTAGTCTACAGTCTATGGCATATAGGGCCAGTCATTCTGGTAATGTCTTAGATCAACGAAAGCATGCGTTTTGCTGCAAATGCGATCTCCACCTTGACCGCGTTCCATACGGCAAAACACAAGCCTGCCACAAATGGAAAGAGGACAATCTACCCCAAAAGCATAAGGAACCAAGCATTCAGTGACCTCTTCTCATATCTACAGCCTACCAATAATCAGATTTATAAGCGTTCATGTTCAGAAGGTATCCGACGTAACCGCCCTAACCGAGGAGATACTGGATGGGAGGCTTGATTCAGGAACCGTTTCATTCATCGCTGCGCGGCCATTGGCCATGCAATTTCTTTAGATTTGTTCAACTTCTTTGTACTATATTCACGAAAGCCGCCAGGAATCCGCAGATAGCTGTTTTGTGAAACCCTGATGAAGACCAAGTATAGGGTGAAGGTCTGTTGGAGATGATGGTAGATTGTTGCTAAACGGTGAGGTCACCGCTGAATCTTCAACAGGGGCCGTGCCGCCTGTTGGCAGCTGTCAGGCGAGTGGATGCCACTAAAGTTTAAGCTGCTAGTGGAGGGTTGCCGCTACGAATTTGACGTTTTCGTTCTACCATCGGACCCTTTCCTCTGCAAATGCAGTCGACTAGACATCTTGCTAACCCTCTGACATGATAAATCGCGAGATGAGGTCTGTGATTGCCGGCCTGGTGGCTAGTGCTCAGACGCCTCTCAAACACTTCAGCCGGACGTTTTGGCCTGTGTGGTCTGAAAAACTTCGAGCCCCGCCTCCGTTAGTTAGGTAGGTAAGGTGCAGAAACGCTGCAGTTACAGAACCTTAAAGCGCCGAAAGAGCAAGTTTTGCAATACCGTGCCGTCTTTCCCTACTCATACTTTTGAGAGTTTAACTCATTAAGGTAGCATCAATAAGAATAGGTCAACCAACAACAAGCAATCGCATATCGCAATGACGTCCTAGAAATAATTTGGGCTTCTCTGGACCCGCTGTGATGCAGATTAGCCAGTGAGTGCTTGGTCCACTCGCCACGTTGAACGTGTGTCATAGCCGACACACCCGACACTTCCAACGTTAAATGTGCATTATAGCGACGACTCTTGATGGTCTATCATCAGCAGTCATGATATTCGTCGAGTTTCAGCAAGATCGCGATCCACGGACATGCAGCGGATAGCTCAAATGCCGAACACTCTTTCACATGTGTTCAGGATCAAAGGCGCCGATATTCCCGAAAATCAGCTCATTCACTGCTGGATTATTGGTTAGCACCTCGCCAACAACAACAAGCCTCGGCACTCAACGTTTGTGAACGGTGGACCGTCTAAGCACAAAATGATCCAATCAAAATATTCAGTCAATTTTTTCTTTCAAGCTATTCACTATCAGTAAACAGGGTTCAGGAGCAGCAGGTGACATTCTCTGCAAATTTCCGTCAAAACGGTCAAAGATTCCAATGTAGAGTAAGTAAAGAGAACAAACCACCATCATTATGAACGACAAGCATACCAAAAGTCGAGTCGCTATTATAGGCACGGGTCTCGCCGGTCTCAGCAGTGCTTATCTTATTAAGGGAGACCGTTATAGGGTGACGTTGTTTGAACAGGTGCGCCACGTCGTCAACGACAACCGAGATCCTTTGCCCTGGGTTTGAATCCTTTCGCTAACAATGACGCTTCCCTCTAGGGTGATAGAATTGCTTTCGATTCTGCTTCTGTTACGATTAAGAACGATAAATTCGACGATGCCGAACGAATCGATTTACCGATGCGCGCGAGCGCGGACGGGTATTACCATAACTTGATGCGCATGTATCAACATCTACAAATCCCGCTTCATCCCATTCGGTTCCTTTTTGTCTTTGCGAAAGCAGCCGCGAGCGTCGATGGAACAGTCCCAGTCAAGGGAAGCGATAACGAGACATACTTCATTCATGCATCGAACTTGCACCAGACACCGCCGCCGTGGCCGGGCAATCGCGGTGTAATTACACACTTTGTCGAGATTGTCTTCCTGATTGTGTGCCAATTCTGGTTCACCATTGCATGCTTCCTCATCGCGCCGTTGACAACCACGTCCTCGGGACACAGCGAGTCCGTCGCCGAATACTTCGATCGCATACGGTTACCCCGACGATATACATCGCGTTATCTACTTCCGCTTCTGAGCGGTGTAGCGACGTGCACACACGAAGAGCTGCTTCAATTCCCCGCGAGCGACGTTGTCAACTACAAGAAGCTTTCGCATGGCAAGCAGCATTATGCTGTCTGTGGTGGAGTCTCGCAGGTCCAGGCAAAATTGACGGAGGGACTGCAGGACGTCAACCTCAATAGTCGTGTGATTGAAGCTGTGCCTCAGGTCGATGGTACCGTCCTGGTTCGCTGGCAATCGACAGTTGACGCATCCGGGCGCATCCACGAGCAAGTCTTTGACCGTGTCGTCCTCTCCGTCTCCCCCGATGTCGCTGGTCGAATCTTTAAGCCCCTTGGTTCTACGTTGGCGAAGCTTCCGACTCGTCAAGTTGAAAGCTCTGTTTTGAAGCCGGAAAAGGCGGGAATTATCGTCGTCGACACCGATAACGCCAGCTCCCGCCAATCCATCGCTTGCATGCACCATTCAAAGGACACCTCAGCAGCCCAGGTCTTGACCTTGAGAACAATGTTCACTGACGTGGGAAGCCCTCGCACAGAGGCTCTTCACGCCATGCCCAGTGGAGTGGTCGTCAGCACTTGTCCGCTACGCGAAGAGGCACAGCCAGAAGCTATCAAGAAGGCCAAGTTTACTAGAACCCTGAGAAACACAGAGGGTCAGGCCCTCGTTCAGAAATTGCTAGGCAATTCGGGATCTAAGAAGAGTGAAGATGATAACGCTATGGCTTGGGTTAATGGGCAGGATAATGTGTGGATCGCTGGTGCTTGGTGCTGGGATGGCATGGTGCTGCTGGAAGGTTGCGTCGTGTCGGCCATTAGGGTAGCTCAAGATTTTGGGGTGGCGATTCCATGGGAACAGAAATAATGACGAATAACGACTAGAATAATAGATAAATGCAGATTTCTTTCTACAATATCACCTTGAATGCAACAATGCAACACTTATAATTGCTGTAATTTTAATTAATTCATATTGGAATTAGTCATTTAGCGAAGTCGTAGTTAGTGGGTGAAATCGGTGCGTGCAAATTGAGCAACCGTGAGATGTCACCGTCTTTCTTCATCACAATCAACAGCCGTTAGCTTTCGGCGCGGACCGCAATCGCTAGCGACAACATGCTTTTCGAACAAGATAGTTTTGGTCTTGGCTTTGCCGCAGGCCTTGTCACCGCCCTGGCCATCGCTGGCATCATTGCATTGGTGGTGATGCGAATGAGCGATATCTACGGCCTGGGACACTGGAAGCTCAACATCACGACCCGACCACCGTCCATGTGGATGAACGTGGGATACTGGTAAGCCCAGCCACACGTTTCTGCAGCCTCAATCACAAATTGACTTTTTGTCGCAGGAGAACCCCAACAGGCGAGCCAATTGAGACTCTCCCTGAGGCTGCCTCTGCGCTGCTAGAGCAGGTTGTGAGCGCCGCCGGGCTGTCGGGTGATGCACCTGGTAAAGCTAGTCCTCGCGGTTCCCTCGCTGTTCTGGATCTGGGGTTCGGGTGTGGTGACCAGACTTGGCAATTGGCGAGGATGGCTACGGAGCAGGGCTGGAGGGATTTTCGCTATGTTGGGCTTACGCTTAATGATGCGCAGGTTCAGACGTCGCGCCGCAGGATTTATCGCGAGTTGACTGAGGCGGGGACTGGTTTTGATGCGGAGGCGTTCAGTCTCTTCCGCGCTGATGCTGCAAAGCCACAGACTTGGGATCCCAAGATCAAAGAGGCCGTTTATTCTTTGGCTGATGAGAAGTATACTGAGCGATGGCTTCTTGCTCTCGACTGTATCTACCATTTCTCACCGTCCCGAAAACCCGTTCTTTCACACGCCGCCAAAGAACTCGACGCCAGTTACATGGCATTCGACCTCCTCCTCAACGAGAAAGCCTCCACCAAGGATATCTGGAGGGCTAGACTCATCGGAAAAATGATGGGATGCCCACTCAAAACCTTCCTCTCGGAGACAGAGTACAGAGATCAACTGGTGGAGTGCGGATATGACCGCAACGAGATCACGATTAAGGAGATCACAGACGATGTCTTTTCGGGCCTGGTCAAGTTCCTCGATCGCCAAGACAAATTGTTAGCAGAATACGGCGTCACAATGGGGGGCTTCAAATTAGCAGGGAGATTGTTCAACTGGTTCGACAAGTCCCGCGTCGTAAGAGCCGTGGTCGTCGTCGCTCGTACGAAGAGCAAGACAGGATAGGGAAATAGCACCGTAATCACAATTCCCCAAAGTAACATTAATTAACATGTCTCTTGTCAGATCTTACTTTGTGCATCCCACCTTATTCTTATTCTTAATCCTGGCCCTATATCCGCGCGGGCTCCGTGTCCCTCCCTTGGTTTGGTTCACGATTGCCAGTGTTACCATCTGCAGGTTTTTGCTGGCCCCCCGCTCGCTGTTCCTGAATATCGAAAATAACGTCTTTTTTGTGGAAATTGGTACTCTGTGTTTCACTAACGGTATGATGGTCGATGCGCGGACGGACCTTGGGATCCCAGGAACCACGGCACTGGAATCGAGGACCCGCGGGTTAGGCTATGAGCTGAAGTAAAACAGCCAGGATGTTGGTTAGTGTCGTTCGCGAATGAGGCGAATAATACAGTGACATTGAATGAGGGACTTTGAATCGGGGTCGGACATTGGAACTTCGGCCGATAACCTTGTGTCTGTGTCAGTGAACGTACGACAGGAACCGCAGATAGAGTGACTGGCTCCAGTGCAATGCATCGTTAATCAGAGTTAATCGCTGACCCGTCCTCCCTATATCTCAGCTTATAATGTTCCCTTCAATCTCATTAATTTACGGAATGTTCTCGGCCCCGGGCTTCTCAGCGGTCTTCGATCCACAATCAGTTTTGTCCCCCGGCGCCAATGTGATAATCTACCGATCCAATGCACACGTCACCAGGGTCATACTCAAACTGGCCACGGACAATGATCGCATTTCTCCCCTCTTCCTTGATCAAGCATGCCCCGCGGAAGCAAAAGAAAATAATGACCAGTTTAGTTAGCGACACGGCCTGGAACTTTTCTCGCTCTTCTAAAAACAAACCACATGGCCGCAAGGACAGAATCGTCCAAGCTTCCTTGTTCAGGGGTGGCCGATCAAGGGTTTAGTTAAACCACGTATAGGAAGCCTCCCTATATTCCCGAGACAGGGGCCTCATCCTGCAATAGGAATCACTTCGTCGTTTCACTTTTTATTTGCACAGCGAAAAGAGAGAGGGAAAAAGACACTTGGCACCCCCGGACGATAGGCGGGCCTTAGTTTTGCGATTTATTCGGGCTGATAGGCTCATTGAGAGCCCTGCACCGGGTGCGTGAAACTGCCTTTTCGTGATGATCGTGTCAGGTCCGTGGAGTTCGTTTCCGCCTGCATCCCAGACCCGATGGCAAAAAAAGCATAACTCATGTTTCGGTAGATATTAAGAGTGTTTTGATGACCTGAGCTGAGTCTATTACGTCAATTTCGGGTTTCATGAAACGGAAAATACGAAAGTTTGTCCACGCGGCATGTCCGCGACAGAGGCCTTTTCGACATCGAACATGCTCACACGCGGCCCCAGTATCCGATTAAGGTAGACCCCGTCCCGTATTAGCTTACAAGGGGTTACTTAGCCAAGCGAGTGTTAGGCTTATCCCAAGCAGGGGCGAATACTCTCGCGTATGCTCGTCACCCAGCACAAGAGCGAACCCCATGCGGACCAGGGGGTGCTGGTTTAGAATCCTTCTTTTACGTTTGTGGCTCCCCCGACTTTTCTATAGCTGTTCTTGATACCTTTTCTGTTTAGTTGTTGGTTTCTCGAATCTGTACCTGCATACGCCAAACGAAACATCGGGTATCTTGTTGCCGCCGAGGAGGAAATGTAGCGATGAAGCTAAGGCTTCGCGACGACCAAGATGACGAACCCGTCCATACCTTTGTCAATCCCTATGTCGAGTTGAACGCCGGGCTGTGGTCGCTGTTTGTAGGAGCGACGATCTTTCTGTGGTTGAGGTTGTATGTCAAGATTACAAGGCGACATGGAATGTGGTACGATGATTATATCCTCCTGGTATCATGGGTGAGTACACATCGTCCCAGCATATCGAAGCTGCATCCTAACGAGTCCAGTGCATCCTTCTCGCCAACAATAGTCTTATCGTCTACCAATTCGGAAACGGCTATGTTCTCAAGGACTCATCGCAAGAATGGGACGACAGAATGCACATACTCATCAACATCTCGTCATGCGGAACATTGATCGGCCAGGCCTGGACAAAGTCAGCCTTCGCAGTAACGTTATTACGAATGAGTAACCGCTGGCAGAAATGGATTCTTTGGTTCTGTATTGCCACCATGAACGCCTACATGATCGTCAAGGTGTTCTTCCAATGGGCCAAAGTTTGTGGCAAGCCAACGTACGATAACTGGTATCGATTCAACTTCTGCCTGGATCCCAAATTTCGAGACAATTTCAAGGAGGGCGGCAACAGTGAGTGACCATGGACAGCGAGGTATACTGGGGGATACTAACGGGGTGCAGTTTACAACATAATTATGGATTTCGTGTTTGCATGTTTCCCTTGGCTTATTACGAGAGGGTTGGAGATGAAGAAGGCTGAGAAGATTGGCCTTTGCTTTACAATGAGCCTGGGAATGATGTAAGTCAAAGCGCAATAACATAGAGACAACTGTCTGACCTAAGTCCAGTATTGCTATCGTCTCGGCTATTCGAGTAGGCTGGAAAGACCAAGGAAATGGCCGTGATGCCTACTACATCTGTAAGTTCTCGCGTCTCAATTCTACAACATTCACTCACAGATTCCAGGGCGCAACGGCATGTCACAAATTTGGTACTCATCAGAAGTTGCTGGAACAATCATGGTGCAATGCATACCCATTCTCCGCCCTATCCTCCGAAACTTTCACTCATCACTTACCTCCCGCCGTCTCGACTCCCAGACCGGCGAACGCAAAGGCTCCGGCTGGACATGGACACGCAGCAGCAAGCACATATCCACCGGTCCCCTAACACCTGGTCATCCTCCCATTCTGAACAACAACCCCGACGGCATGGAACTACGCAACATCCCAGAGGAGCAAGAACCAGCAGAGTTTGACTTCTGGGGCAAGAATGAACCGCCTTCACCGGATGATATTGAGGATGGAAGGGCAGATATCAAGTACAAGTTCAACAGGGAGGAGATGAAGTTTACAAGAGATGATAGTTGGCCACTTGGAGGGGGAAGTGAGAGCGGAAGGAGTGCGAGAAGCATCGAATTGGCGCACTCGAATATGGGATTGGCTGTTGAACAAGAGGCTGCACAGCAGGGACTGTCGCCACCACCGCCTCGGAGGACTTGAAAGAGGCTCATATCTGAATTTCACTTGTTTGTATAATAATAGGGTTAGAAAATTACTTAGACACGACGTTATGTACATATCTTTTGTTACTCCAGTTTCATATATGTATGCCGATGGTGACTGCTGTGCAATTTTCATAAGATGCATGGGATATTAGCATATCCACCAGAAATATCAACACGATGATCTCGCACAGTTTAATACATAACTTGAATCGCTACATCCGGTCCCATAATCCGAAGAATTCTCGTTCCTATGGGCCGGCAAACAAAAGCAAATCTTCTATATCTAAGACCCGGATAGCATATACCCGCTCACACTAATCTTCTGTCGTTATGTTGTCATCCACATGTTCTATCATTCCTCACATGCAAAACATACCCATCTACCGTGCATCTTACAACCTTGAGTGCTCCTGCATCGGCATGACCGAAGCTGTTTCCAGGTACCTTATATCCGGCAGTCCCTGATCAACCCAGCCAACCATAGTCTTCTCATATAACCGCCGTTGCTCCTCTGCCGAGGGAGCGGGACCCTTCATGCCGCGGGCCAATCTGCTCTCCCCAGTCTCGATAAGCCAAGCATTCTCGTCCCACTCGCCGTTTTGAAACACATATCGCCTTGTCTCGCAGTTCTTCCAACCTGTACCGCATCCTGTCGTGCTGTTTTCCCAGTCGTTGCTGAAATAGTGCATGAAGCTTCCATGAGCAACTAGGGCAATGTGAATGTCCTCGTCGGTGTCTTGACTCAAAGCAATACCCTTTTCTCTGAGTATTCTTCTCACTGTGCGAGCACGTGCTGCACATGCGCCTGTGACGGGACTGTTCGGTCCATAGAGGTTCTTATCATTCCAACCTTCCGGTACAAGACTCAGGTCAACAGGCCACTCGTTCCGCAACGTCATCTCCTTGAGAAGAGCAGGATCTGTTCCGATATCGCAACCGTGATCAGAAATTTCTTGGGCTTCCGGGATAGCAAGGATATCCTGTGTCTGAATGGCATCATCAAAAATAAGATTTGTCGTATGCAGGGTTCGCATCATTGGCGATGATGCGATGAGTTTGAACTTGGACTGATCCTGAAACGAGGCTTTTCGTCGTTCGATGCATTGTTGTTGACCAAATGGCGTTAGCGCGGGGTCTCTCAGGTGAAAGAATTCTTCACCAAGATTGTGATAGCCCTGGGCGTGTCGGACTGCGTGGATGATGATTTTGCCTGGCATTTTGGTGTACACAATTTGTGGAGAGAATGTGGAGGAGATCAGAGCTATGGGACATCCCATTTTTATATAGAGGAGATACTTGGTTACCAAGTGACATCAATGTTTTCGGCATTATTCATCTTGTAAAATTCTTGACTTGGGTGCCCCATCGAGGCGCGTCAAGGCTTGTTAGTGCGTAAACCCATTTGGGTAATTGACCACGAAAGATCTGCAAACGTGGGACATCTGCTTAACGTCACAGGCCGTTAGATTTCAAGGCAAGGCTACAGCGCTTCAAGTACTGTTGCATTGTATGTCTTTATGGTTGATTTGTAACTCTGTCTCAGGGCGTACTGACGAAGTACTGAGAAACATTTGTTCTGGCTTGAACTCTCGAACCACTCAAGAAATAGACTTTGAGGAGGACAAGTGTTTGGACAGTGCTTGTGAAATGCCCAGAAAACTTTGTACAGGGATTCTTGTCACCGTTGACAAACAAAAACGTGCATCGGAGACATAGTTATGTGGTTGATATCAAGCACTTCTTAATTGGTGTTACTTTACGGCATCAAATTCCCGAGCATCGCGCTCGAGCTTCCATATTTGTAAATACACACGACACACCTGACTTCTCTCTGCGGGGAAAGACTGCATCACGTTGGGGTATTTCAGGTAAATCCACGTAAAAGAATCCATAACGTGGGCGAGCGATTGGTGACGAGCGCGCACCGACGGGACGGCACGACTCCGATAAACGGGAAGCTATGGCCACGTCACATGCGTTATCGGCATCTCAGACTCACTCAGAGATGCCTATTCATAGTAGCATGAAGCTATCACTCATACTTCCCAGTGCGGTCTGATGCCACTTGATATTAGCGCCCTCTCTTTTCCTCAACGCCCAGAGCTCTTTCACGAGATGCGTCATCTGTGACCAGATCGCCAGCTCTGATCTCTCCTCAAAGAACGCGAGAGTATGAAGCATTCGCTGCTGCGTTGACGCATCGGCAATCTCAAACGCTATTATGGCAACTGGCCAGATCATTGGCGAGAAACGTTGGGTTGTACACGTAGGTAAAGCCTCGATATGAGGTAATGATTTCTCAACAAGTGGACGCACCGCATCCATCGGCATGTCCTTCAGATTGCGTTTCATGTGAATTAGAGCGGCGTAGTAGAAGATACAACCGTGGTGGTAGATCAGATCGGCATAATCTTTTGCTGTTGATGTCTCAGGTCTATTGGGTGCTGATAGATAAAGCTCCAGCTCCAGCCGGTCAAGTTCATCAGGAGACGGATCACTTTCAGTAGAAGATCTTTTCCGCATTTGAAGAGCATTCATTGCGCGAAGACCTTCGTACACTGGTTGAGGAAGACCGAATGATTCGTACAGTGTATAAGGTTCAGGCTGAGGACCAAAGTCGTTGGTAAATCCCCAGTAGGAGGTTTCCTGATTGTCAAAGAGCAATTGAGCTTGCACAACGGTTGCCATGCTCCGAAACATCTGATACAGACTTGAAGCTGCGTCACTTTTGTGCCAAACCTGCGGATCAATATGGTTAACCCATTCAACAGCACCGCGAAAGTGTAACCGCCAGAATGTCGTCGGCAGTGTCACCGCTTCATTGTAGATGCAAATGATGATGGATGCTAGAAGCGATACACAATCGGCACCATTTTTCGAATGTTGGATGTTTTTGGCCAGATGGGTGATGCCAATATTGTGATGTTCTAGAGCGACATTCTCAAGGGAGCCTTTGGACTCCTCGCATTCCCTCTTCTTTGCAAGATGGAATGCCGACGCTGAGCAGATGAAGTGGAACAACGCCGTTGCGCCTGTTGACTTTTCCGAGTCTGTGCGGCTTCCTTCAAGGGCGATGGGCATCATTGCGCTCCGCAAAGGGTTCAGAGGGCCAGGTACTGGATTTAGAGAGTCACAAAGGCTGAGCGTCCAATGTTGCAAAAGCTCGCAGTGAAGAGCTGGATCAGGAAGAATATCAAGGTGACGTGTGATTCTGCGTCTCGGGCCTGGGGTATTGACTGGCGACGATGCGTGAGAGATAAGTTCTGATACACCAGGCAAGGGTAGAGAACCTGTACTGAGATCCCCGAGACTGACAGGTGTTGAAGTGCCATGAGTATTGATGTCATCTTGAGGAATAGGGTTTTGGTCGAAGAGTTGCAGCATGGGAAGCTGAGGTTGCGCAGTCTGAAGAGAGGCATACGGAGGACCTGTCGTCAGGCCTTGACCCAAGAGTTCATAGGAATGGAATATCCTTGTGTTCAAATGGTCGGTGAAAGGACCCTGGCTGAGAGGAAAGTGTTGATCAAGGAAGAACGGCGTACTGTTAGATTGAGCTTCGGACGGTAAGTCTGAAGATGCCTCATTCGAAGGCCCGTCACCTTGATCACTCTCATCTGGGCCGTTGGATGATGGGCCATCTTGCTCAGAAAGACTCTCCCCAATGGAGTCCAAGTCTCTTGATTGGCGCAGTCTTGCAGCAGCCTTTCTCCTCCTCCCTCCTCTCCTAAAGGTCGTCGGGTTCCTCACCGAAGCCCACGATATCCTAACACCATAGCCTTCACACTCAATGCCAGCCTTCTGGCAACGATTGCATTCCGGCTTGGCTTCGTCACATTTCACATGCTTGGCGCGACATGTCCAACAGCCCGAGAAGCTCTTGGTCCGGGGTTTGCGGGGCTGGCCCGATGCTGTTTTACCGGGAGAACGGGGCGGATCATCCGACATTGCTGTGGCCAGATCATGCCTATGTGCAAGGTAGGTAACGTTATTATGAAATGCGGTGATGAAGAGATGAGGTTGGTTGATGAAGTGCCCAGAATTGGTTTGTCAACGCGAAGGTGAAATCACGTCGTGGTCATGAGCCTGTTTGGGAATAGTGTGTTATGTACGCTAAGCTTGACCTAGGAGTGCTCCACTGGTAACAAAGAATCGGTATGGCAACAAAATGGCAAATTTTGTCTCATCACAATTTATCAAGCGGAGAGCTGATAAGATGCTGCGGGTGATATGCCGATGCTCTTTTTGGTAAACGGCTTTCAAATTAGGGGTGCGGACGGAAGAATCGCGAACTTCTGCTCCCCGCAGTCGATCCCTTGACTTGGAGATGTCGGTATGAATTACCCTAAAAGGTTTAGCATCTCTGCCAAGCAGCTCAGATCGAATCATCGCGAAAGTGTGTGAAAGCTCTTCTTGGCAATTCGAGCCGGTCATTGAACTGGTGGATCTCTGTCACCATGACCGAATTATTCATTTACAATAAGTCGTATGTGCAATACTTACTTTTTAATCCTTCTCATAATTCTTTCTCAAATATTTATAATCGACACCAAGCATTAATCATCTGTTCTTTGCTATCGTTGTCTTATTCCCTAGACATTCTTGACCTACAGAACCCCAGAATATCAGCAACCACCGGCATCATGACAGGCCTATCCCAGCTGATCAGGCCACAGTCACTGACTCCTCCGCTATTCAAGAAAAGATCACAGAAGTCACCAAACAGACCTCCTGCATCTCTCGATTGCCAAATCGATACTTCTCCGATCGTCATTGTCAATGACGACGATACTGATGGCGCTACTATCTCGGGTTCACTACTTTTCAACGTTGAAGAAGCCATCGAAGCTGACAGCCTCTCTGCCACATTGCGAGTTCATGTGATTTACAAAAAGCCATTCAAGAGAACATGCAAAGCGTGTAAACACCAGGTATCGGAACTTAAGCGCTGCCACTTTATCAAAACAACGACCTCACTAGATCACAACAATTACGCGTATCCCTTTTCTTACCGAGTACCGAGTTATGTTCCTCCTTCTATGGATACTTCACTAGTTTCTGTCACATACGAATTCGAAGCTGTAGCCTCTGTAAGGCGAACAGGATCAATGCCAAAATCACCTGAGATCATCACACTCAACCGTACTCTTCCAATCGCACGATCAATACCAGTTCCGAGCAACCCTTTATCATCAAGTCGAATATACCAAGCGGCCGGAATCGAGGTAGACTGCAGTTTCGATCCTGTCATTAACCCCAGTGGCAAGAATTATGTGAAACTCACTATGAGCGGGCTTCGGAGCTATCCTGACAATGGGGAGGATGTTCAATTCTGGCGTGTATGTAAAGGCACTTGGATGCTTCAGGAGAATATCAAGAGCACAGCCATGGCGTGTTCTAAGCACGCACAAGAATGTCAAGCGGACGACAAGAGCCACTCGCAAAAGAAGACAATTACTCTAGGCGAATCTTCGTTCTACGACGGGTGGACCACGGACGACACTGCAGGAACACTCAATATGAAGTTTCCCTTCTTCATCAAGAAAGGCTCTTCCCGTTACAACCAAGATACAGGCGATGTTGGCGACACATCGGTCACTCATACGCTGGTGCTGGAACTACAGTTGATGAAGGAGACCTATCCAAATGGCAACCCAGATCTCTCTGTCAGAACTGGAGTAGGCAGGATCCTTCGATCTGAGCATCGGGTTGTGTTGAGCGACTACGTCAGGCCTTCCGATCATGTTGCAGAGGAGAGTCTGCCCTGCTATAATGATCTCCGGCCTGGACCACCGCTGTACCAAGAGGAGGATTATGAATGATTAGTGTTGTTGAATAGTTTCACCTCAATGAGAAATTAGGGATAGAGGGAAAGACAGTTAGGAGTTTTGTAGCTTATTAGCGTAACGATACCCCGATCATTTACCAAATATATTTTCAATTCTTCCGCACTTACGATGCATAATCGCAGAGTAACTGCATGTAAGATCGGTGATTCCTTCTTGGGGCCGTCAGATTTATTGTGGGTTGGTAGCCTAAACCCCATTTCACCGCTAGTTATTGCTAATAAACTCACGTTTCTTCACTTCCTAATTCTACCAGACAAACCAACAGAATGGCTTCTTCGGAGCGGCGACTGTCTACGGGAGGGACACCACCATACAAAGTATTCATCCAAAAACCCAGTCATAGCGAATTCAGGGACCACACAGGTCGCCATTACAACGTCGTCACTAGTCGAGCTGGCCCCAACGCGGCCATCGTGAAACTAGGCATTCAGTTGTATTGCTTGGGGGAACCGGAGTTTAATCCTCAGGACATGGGTTCTTCTCTGTTGAACTCCGACGCCGTTGAGGGCTGGGGTAATGCTCGTAATCATTGGCCGCGCGTTGATGTACACACGGGATTTGACACCGTGGAGGAATGCATAGAGCACCACCGCCGTGAGAAAGCGTTCCGCAAAGAGGCTGTCAAGAAGATGAAAGACCATGCAGTGGCTGGATTGTTGGAAGCCGAGGCAAAAGAAAAACTGGCCGCAGAGATCCAAGGAAAGGAGCCTCTTCCCCATATCGTGCCGTCTTGGTGTGAATCGGCTAAGTTCGTTGAGAATAGGTGGAGCCTTGGAGATCGTTACAAGAGCTGGATCTTCGTCATACCAGCTGAACGATCCTCGTGGGAAGATGTCATCGATCATGGGCTACTCCAAGTCAAGTTCGATCTGGACGTCTCTCCCGCCATGTTTTACTCAGAGTCACCGACGTTTAGCCTTACTCGAGAGGGAGAACACGGTTGGATTATTCTGGAGAAGACCGGCGTTGAAACCCTCAAGCCAGTTGAGATTCTACACCTCTGCGCTAGAGAAGAGCGCGGTACATCGGAAAGTACCCCGGGGAGCGATAGGACGCTGTTTGGTGCTTGGTGTGATGCGACAATGCAGCTTCGAGACTGTACTTATAAGCCGACGGGATGCAAGAGTTGTCGTACGGATGAGCCACATGATTTCTGTGAGGAGGAGATGGATGAGCACTATAACGATGAGGATGGACAATGTGTTGCCTGTAGAAGGGAAGAAGAGGAGGAGAAACGGCGGAGGGAGCAACAGAATGATCAGCCTAAATGATATTGGTCTATGACCCTACGCTTACAAGTTACTTCGGCATTTCGCCAAGACAGCGAGATACCACCTCTTTAGTAATGCCTTTTATTTCTAGCACTACACATATGAGATTGCAAACAAAGCTTCGAGATTTGCTGGGTCTTATTGATAGGCAGTCAATTTCTGAATCATCACCATAATCACTCAGATGACGTCAGCAATGCTGACAGTGAGAAATACATAAAATACACCGACTTCTTTCAGCTTACGACCAGTTCTCCTCTCATCTCTGAAAACTCAAGATCATCATGGCAGATCAGGCTACTCTACAATTCGAGTTCATCCGTTTGGATACGAAGCCAAGTGCGCAGCTCTCCTACAGCTTCACCGATCCTACGGCGACGAGGCCTACCCACCCAACTCTTATTGTATTTGTCAATGGCCTCGGCGCACCGCAGGCAGGATGGATTGCAACAATAAAGAAACTCAAAGAACTTTCTCCTCAAGGTCTTCCGGCAATGCTGACCTTTGATCGCTTCGGGCAGGGTCAGACTACTGATCGTGACCCCAACGATGAGGGAGCTGCTGATCCAACTCATGCCCATGACTGCATGGCTGTAGTTCGAGACATTCGACAGCTCATTACTCAAATCTTGAAGGATAGACTGAGTGTCGATGACCCAGATAGTGTCAAGCTTTTGCTGATTGGAAATTCAATCGGATGTGCTCTGACTCGTCTCTACGCTGCTGAGTACCCTGGCACCGTAACAGGAGCCCTTCTTCTCGACAGCGTGTTGACAGATACGGACTTCGTCTCCGTCTTCCCTGACCCAGATGCTGAGGGTTTCGACCCTGCCAGTCTTCCATCAGGTGTCACAGCAGACAATTTACGCGTCGCCCGAGAAGAAACCGCAAAGCGCTTTCACCCAAGTGTTGGGTCGAGAGAGGGCCTCAGTAGAAAGAACCTTGCTCAGCTTCTTGGCCACTCGGACTCACCAACCCTTCCCAAAGTCGATGGCAAAGACCCATATATCACTGTTCTGGGCCATGACTTCAACTACTTTGCCGAGCGTACGGGAACAGACTTCAACATTCCTGGAGAGGCTGTACAGGCTTACATGAATACTTATTGGCATCATTATAATGAGGGGCTGGCGAAATTGACGAGCTCAGAGAGGAGTGAAGGACCGATTCAGGTGCCGAATGCGGGCCATTTTATTCAACTGGATAATCCTGGGTTTGTGGCCGAGAAGCTGCACGACATGTTGCAGAAATTGGCCAAGGAATAAGCTGGGGTGTCGGCTAAAACTATAAATACTGTTTCTATCTTGGAGCTTCGATAATGTTTTCCTATCTAGTGTGTGAATGCGTATTTGCTCTTTGCCCTTATCTTGTGTCCATAGAAGTAAAGCACGTAAGGGATCGTAGCCAATACCACCGCAAAACAAGCCATGATGGTCAATGTGTAATGGGTGCCCATGTTTTCGTAAAACGGTATGCCCACTACCGTCATTCCTCCAGCGATCACATAACGCGTCAAAGACACGAATGTGAGTGCCGATGCTGAGTATATCTCGTAGGAGTCGATGATATACATATAAACGCAGATGAATATGCCTGTGACGCCATAACCGAAAAGGACCACAGCGAAAATGGCGGACCAGATGCTGATGTTAGAGTAGTTGGTCCAGCCGAGCCAAAAGAGTGAGATGGGGATCGCAGCAGCTGCACCGAGCATGGCGTACCAGAGACGTATCTCGGACTTGAAGTGGCCATCTGCTTGATTTTGAGTCGCCCGGAGCGTCTTGCGGTATACTATCGGGACGAAAGCGAAGTTGATCTGTGTTCCGAGGAACATGGCGACGAAGATAATGTTGGCGAGTCCTTGGTCAAGACCATACGTCTTCTCAAAGATGTACGGCCAACCAACAAGGAAAGTGAACAGTACGATGTACAGAACACTGATGTATAGCGTCATGGCGATAATGATGGGTTCCGTCAGCATCAGGAAGGGCCGTGTCATGCTGACCTTGAGTCTACTAAAAAGACTCGCATCAGCGATCTCGTGCTGACATCGAAACCGGTCGTCTCCAGTGATTCGCCGATAATGAGCTGCTTTCCACTGCAAGAGAAGCGGACCGTAAGTCTCAGGCATGAAAAGCAGAACCAGTACAAGGACCAGCCCTGATGCGATGAGCATCGTCCACTCAGTCCACCGCCAGCTCACTGCACTCGACGGTCCTATATACGCGCCCATTACAGCACCTAACATCGGTCCTCCAAAGCCTGCAACAGCGTACAGAGGAAAGCTCCAGGTCTTCTCAAGACTGTTGTACATGTCTGCTATAGAACCTCCAGAACAAACAAGGGGTGTTGAGGCTGAGCAACCGGCGAGGAAGCGGAAGGTGATTTGCGCACCAAAGTTAGGTGCGAGAGCTGATGCCATTATCCAGATCATGAAGATTGCCATGGAGAAGATGTAGACTGCATTTCTACCGAACGTCTCGGAGAAAGGGCCTGCTATTAGCGAACCGAGGCCCATTCCAACCAAGTAGAGACCTGGACGTGTTAGCTTCTGTCGCGCAGTGAGAGAGAGCATGAAACATACCTGTTGCGAGAGACTCAGCAACTTCGCTAACCCCCAATGATTCTGCTGCTTGCGGAAGAACCGTCGCATCAATACCGGATGCTGCTCCGACAAAAAGAGCGATGATGGAGATCTGTAGAGTGACTCCAATGCGTCTTCCAACCGACCAGTTGTGAGGATCAAGAGGGTCGTCTGGACCCTCCCAACCAACCACGAAAACCTTTCCATCGTGGCCTTTGTCGTTCTTGTGATCCTGGACATTAATTCCTGTGAGTACCTGACCCAAAGCGATGCCGCCGGACATGCATCGTCGAATGGTTTGAGCCGTTACGGTCTGCTGCAGCGACTGTTCGGGGATCTCATCGCTCGAAGCATAAGTGTCTGCCTCCGTGATCGGCGGCAACCTTGTAGCATCTCGCTCTTCCTTCTCATTCAGCGAGTTTCGACCTTCAAGTCCGGCTTCAACATCGCGTCCAGTATTCGGCGTCGTATGCTGTCTCGCCTTGCCGATATCGCGATCAATCTGCGCCTGAGCCGCAGCGCCAGCCCTTCGATACTGGAGTAACGATTGCATTTTTCTCTCCTCAAAAAACACAATGTGAGAGAGGCAAGATTTTAATAAAAATTTACATTTTGGCGAGATTTGTCATAGAGATAACGTTAGCGGGCCGAATAGTCTAAACGAATTCCCACATTTCGACGGTAGTTGACTTCGAATGCGTCATACGTTACCAATGACAATTTCGTGATAAGAAGAAATGGAGTCGTTTGCGGGCAGATCTTTCCGGTGTGAAGATCCGGAAGTAGATCGGAAATACGACTGATCTGAGACCCGTTTTCTCGGACAGAAACCCGCTCGCTCAATTGAATTGACCGTAGATTACCGAGGTCGTGTTGGAAATAATTGGCGACATCAGTTTACGTTAAACGGGCTTCGAGAAGATTTCGGGGAACTGCTTGGTAATTTCCGGTGACTGAAACAGGTGGTAAAGATTTTGGGGTTTCGCAAATCCTTCAGCCTTGGCAAGCCATCAGAGCGGATCATAATGTTCCAGAACCAACGTGGTACAGAATCTTCTGTCAAGATAGATGCACTGTCAAACATAGACGGTCGCTCGTGTTCTTTCCCTGTGTATACAACACTCAGCGGTATGAGAGATGTTCCCCTCCAGAATGAGATGAGCTTCAGTCTGGCGAAAAAATGAGAAATGTCAGAAGTTGTAATGTTGGGTCCAGGGTAAAATCTCATGTCACCAAGTTTGCAGCTGGGGTTAAATTAGTATTGGAGAAGCCGCTCTCCGCATCACATCATCTCAAACGTTTCAACGCAAACTGTCAAGTCGGAATTTAAAAAACATGGACCAAAAGGCACAGACAATTCAACTTGCATCTTGGGAACAAATTGAGCCATTTTAATAGCTCAATTCAATATTCGGACATGACGCCTTGTCGCACGACTCCCAACTCTTCAGCAGGTAACCAACCAAGCCACCCGGTGTCAGGACTCATTCCGAACCAACAAGTGCCAGGGATAAAAAAAGACGAAGGATTCCAAGCTAGACCAGGGTAAAAGGTTTCCACGCGCATGACATTGGCCGGGGCACAGCACATAACAACGGTGGAGAAATGCAAATCCGTTTACCTCTCTTGTTGGTTGTGAAGTGCTGGCAAATAGCAACCAGCAGTGGCTGAACACTTTTGGTTAGCTGCCGGGTCTACTACCATTTTAGTTTCCCCTGCTTTTCTAGCGCTTCAATCAGCAACTTGGCCGCACAACCTCTTCCCTGCTGATGCATCTTCATCTGGTCTTCTCTTCGCCTCTGCGGATCCGAGGGTTGTCCCACCAGCTGAGTGCGAGGCCTTTACAATTAATATCTCACCACAACCAGCTGAAACATGCAGACAAACAGTTCAGCTTATTCTGTCGCTTCCCCCAATGCTCCCCCAAAATGGACGGATCAATCATTCCACTCTGGGGTACCCTCCCCCCCTTCGCTAACGTGATCACCAACACTCCAGATCGGTCTACCCCGGAATCCCTCCACGGGGTAAAAAGGCCATTGTGACAGTCCGATATTAAGCTTTGGCGCCCCTCGTTTGTGTCGTGCTTTTTCCCTTTTGCTTTGTTTGCAAGGGTTCCCCGATCTACCATGGTGACACTCGACACGACGACGATCGCACGTTCAATATGATCGACCCCGTTTACTACGAGCTGAGTTGGTCGATTCTCAGCACGATTGGGATAGCTAATGTCTTGTTTGGTCTTATGGTCGCTGGCATTACGAGTTTCGGCCCCGTTTCCATCGTTCCTATCGTCACGTCTGCTGCTGGCGCTATAGCCAACGGGCTTTGCTATTATGCTTTTTATGAAGAGGGGAACTCTATTACGACCAAGGCTGTAGCCTCCGTGTTTGCCGATGTCCTGTGGCTGGTACGTTTGCCAGGTGCTTCATGATATTCGATTCGAGCTAATGTATTGCTGTCGCAGGTTCAAGAGGCTGGCCTTTCGTTCTACAGTTATATCATCCTAAGTCGAGTCTTGCGCGGTCGCCAATGGATCATCTTCGCCACTGTATTCTGGTTCATGATAATCTCCGTCTCCGGTATTCGCGTCGTCATTGCAGCTGTACGAGCCCGAAGAATAATGAGCGCCCTCGACACCGATCAGTCATTGATCAACCATCTACATATGGGATACTTCATACTCATCGCCCTCTTGGAATGCCTCAGTTCTTTCTTCCTCCTTCGAGTCTTTAGCTCGGCGAAGTCAACGTCTCTTAGTGCTGCTATCAAGGCTGGTCTGTTCAGATACTTGATGCGGAGTACTGAGGTCCGACTTGCACTTCTTGCAGTGCTGGGTATCATGCGGGCTATTACATATTCCTTCCAAAATGCTGAACAGAGCGCGACGAATCTTGCTTCGCAGATTGATCGATTCGCATATGCCATGGAGTGCATGTTTCCAGTAATGATGATGTAGGCTCGCCTTGTTCACTTTGATCTATTCACGCTAACAAGCTCAGTATCGACATTTTAGCATCAAAGGTCGTTTTTCACAACCAGGTTTACGGCTCATCAGGACAGAGCCGACATCAGCCTGGTGGCTATCCACATCGACATTTCCCGAATGGCCGTGGTGGCGATATCGTCCTCACAACACAGCAAGGCGAGAACATCGTTGAAGTTCGGGGAGGAGAGTCAACCGGCGACAGGACAAGTTCACAAGAGCGCATCATCAGTCGCAGGGACCACAGAAACCCTTCATCAGATATTGATCTTGATGAGATGGACACGAAACAGATCGGCATTAGTAAGACTGTCGCATTCGAGGTACACAGTTCAGGAGATGTTGAGCGGTAGAAGCCCCAATAGCAAGCCGTGCAAATCAGTTCACGGGCGGTGTATAATCTAATTCTATAGAAATGCCTATCCATTTCATTTGCCCCTAACGATTATGACATTCACCTCCGAACAGATAGTATCCACTCAGTAGTTCTTCTGAGTAACTTTGTATCTGGACTGAAATGAAGTGTATAAAAGGCTGGTGAAGGCTGGTGAGTTGTATCAGGATCCTGCGCACATGTGAGTTTAGACTGGCCAAGCTTGTCACATATTACTGACCTCACTGTCATTCTGATTGACTGCTGATATGCTCATACCAAAGTCTCAAAGTCCACAATGCTACTAGGGCATCCATGATGTCTTGTTGCAACGGAACTTGAATTGTAAGCTTATGGTCGCCTTCTTGACTTGACTCATGTGCAATTATCTGCCCATCTGCATCTATCCACTGATAAGGCCCGCCTTTTAGCCTTGGCCTCATTTCGAACATCTTCTGTTGGGCAACGGCATTGAATAGTTGAACATCATCTGCTGATTTGTCGGCATTCAGCATCGCTTTGAATTCCAGATGTTGCGCAGGGGTTTTAAAGACGTTGACCTGGATATTGCCCAATGCCTTAGGCGATGGAGCGGTGAGGTAACATGCTGGTGTATCGTGTCGACGTTGCAGCATGAGAAGCGAGTTCACAAGATAATAGAGGTCATGAGGGTGTTGCCGTATTCTTGAACCTTTCCCATCAGGCTGATTTGTTTCGACAACCTCGATCTGTTCAAATATGATGCTGCAATGCTTCTGAACTTTGCAGGCTATATTGCGGCTAAGCCGGTAAAGAGGTATTGACGGCTCATTCTCCAGTGCTATTTGCTGACCATCGAATATCAGAGTGGTAGGGACCGAAGTCTTCTGAGCAAGGGATGCCTGGTCTTGAGTGGTTGAGTCGGGGCCCATCGTGGATGTCAGTGGCGAAATGCAGATAAATCGAAGTTGGTGATAAATTCGCTTCATTGGTTATTGACTCATCTGGGGGCTGCTCCACGTGACGTCGAGTGACAGTGGAGTTGCCAGACCAATTCATGCGGAAATAATTTCCCGTTTAATCTCCTCTTGTCAATTCGTGAAAAAAGAAGGATAATGCAATATTTAGAGGGGATTTATAGCTATTTATACTGGTTGTTGCCCAAACGAGACCTCATCCCAGACCGTCTTGAACTTCTCCAACAGGCGAGCATCAGGTGCGAAAACGGCCGTAAGAGTCTCCATCGCAACATCCTGTCCCCCGATTCTCATAGAGCTTACAACTTCTCGTAATCTGATAACATACCAAGATCGAACCTCACTCGCAGGTTCCGCGGCAGCAGCACCAACGAATAGCTGCCAGACCAGTAGCTGCATGGAGGAGCAGAGCCTGATATGGGGTTGTAGCAGGGAAAACTTCAAGTTCTCAGCTCTAATATCCAGCGACTTCCGCTCCTCTATAGGCCATAATAGCGACAGAAAAAGCTGTAGAGAATCATGCAAAGAGCGGATGTAATGTTCTTGGCTTCCCAACAGTGTGTCCACTTTCAGTTGTAGACGCTGAACCTCATACCTAATGATAGGTGCTGTATCTTGCTTCGGCGTAGTTGAGGTATGGTAATTATCGATTAATTGACGCAACTCGTTGGCATCAGATCGAATTGCTGCGACGTCCATCTGCTTAGGGTCATCTTCATTTCGCAATGCATTGATGAGAGGTAAATTGGAGTAGCTGGCAGATAAGATTGTATGACCAATTGAATCGCTGCGAAGTATCAATATAAGACTTTCCACGGGAGTGCACCATATTGATAGACATACTACAGGATAAAATCGCCGAACCATGATGGGATGGCTGTATTGCCTAAGGAACGTCTAACTTTGATCATTTGGGCCAGACCTTGGATGTGAACGTCTCTCGCTTTGGTGTCACTCTCAAGAAGCTGAAGTACGACTTGTTAGTGAATACTGCCATGCTGGAATATTGATACATACCTCGGCAAAGGTCAAAGTGAAGACAGCACTGAGCACGCCGTCGGTCAATCCCAAGGGCGTGTCGAGTCGCTGATTGATGAGCTTGATAGCCCTTCCTTTACGCACGGACGCCTCACGAATACACTGAATGTTCTGGAGCCTGGGTGAATGTCTTATCGCTATGGCCATGGATGCCTCGACTAGGGCTGGCTCCGAGTGCAGTAGGGCGATCCAGTCTGCTTCTCGGTTTGATCCGGGAGAGCCGAGGCCTGCTGGGAAGATTAGCGCACGGTACTCGCAAAGTACTGCAATTCCGGTTAGCCGCTAGACCCATGAAACGGTAAGCAACTTACAGTATTCGACGGAAGAGTGTTGAGGCTCGACCATGCGTATGAGCAAACTGTCAGATCCCGGCTTGACCGCATGCCGCAACTGCCGCTCGTCTGATGTGATCAAGGTAGAAGATGCATTTGAAGGTTGAGCGGAGTTTCCTTTCTTCTTCTTGCCTAATCTCTGTCTCCGCTTGGCAAAATTCGTCTTGGTAATATGGCCTCTCATCTGTTTGGCCTCTTTCGGCCCTAGACCGGGGGCATTGCTGACATTGACGAATGTGAACGATGGTGCCGTGCTCATTTTTCTGGCTTTAATCGGAGAATTGTACCGAGATTCTGCTTGCCAGCTCTAGATATGAAAGAGGAAAATGAGATAGGACGGTCCAGTATACGCGACGATAATTTACGAAGACGGACGGCTTGAGTGGGACGGATGATCAAGGTCAAGCGATGGGCCCAGTTTATACCCTTTTAGGAAAATGAGATTGATTGGTAGACCATGGATCTTGAACAGTGACATCGGACCGGCGAGTTGAACTAACCTCAATGGGAAAACAAGATCATACTTATGGGCTTCAATCAGTTGATTGATAATCCGAACTCGTGGCAAGAAGGATCGCGAAAGCCTCAGTCTTTCCAGAAAAGGAAAATGAGCTCAGAATGGGCTATGAAATCGCTTCTTCAGTGAGTCTAAGCATTGAGTGTTCGTTAGTATATAAACGACACTAGAAGCATCTGCAACTGGTGTACCTAGAAGTTCATCATCACAGTTCAAAAAACCATACATAAAAACAAAGCCCAAGCGGTATGCTTCTCAGATGGAAGGTTGGAAAAAGGCTAAACAGAAACAGCACCAAACAGCCCACCATCAACATGTCTCGCTTCTCTCCTCAACTTACTGGCGCCCATGCCCTCGTCACGGGGGGAACCAAGGGCATTGGTAGGGTCATCGTTGAGACTCTATTGAGTGAAGGTGTCAGCGTATCTTATTGCTCGCGCAATGTTCGAGGCGATGAATTTGCCAACTTCAAGGATGCCGTTGGTGGGGCGCGAGCTGTTGGAACCAGCGTTGACATTTCCAACGCCGCTTCTATTCAAGGCTGGGTCGAAGCCTCAGCTGAAGAGTTTGGAAGAATTGACCTTGTCGTTGCTAATGGTATTCATCTTAGATGAATCGTGTTGGGTTTTCTGCTAACAGTGGTATAGCTTGTCCCAAGTACGTCAGCCCAAGCATTGACGACTGGGAAAAGAGCTTCCATGCCGATGTTCTTGGCCTCGTGAACCTTATCAACGCTTCGGAGCCCCATCTGGAGAAGCGCAACGGTACAGGCTCAATCGTCGTCATCAGTTCTCTTGCTGGCTTCGAAGCTAGACATCCAGCAATCCGAGGGCCATACACCACGCTGAAACGCGCCCAGGCCACTTTGGCCAAGGACTTTGGACGATGGCTCGGACCTAAGGGTATCAGAATCAATACGATCGTCCCAGGAACGATCGATTCTCCTCCCGTGACCCAGCCGGATGGAACTGTGGAGTTGAGCCAGTTCCAGCAGATCATGACAGCCAACCCCGACTTTCTCAAGGATCTTGTTGACTCTATTCCCCTCGGAAAGGTCGGACAGGCGCAGGATATTGCCAATGCCGTTGTGTTCCTCGGAAGCAACCTTGGCAAGTATGTCAATGGAGTGAACCTGATTGTCGATGGTGGAATGTCTACGGCTCTCTGAGAGTCTAGTCTGGTCACCGCTACAATATCACATCCATATAGACAGAACTAGAAACTTGGTCTTGGTCATAGGTGCAAATACATTCTACGCTCTATTAAATATCTATAGTGCTCTATAAACAATTTCTTCTATACAGTCAAATCTATTTCTAGCCCATGCGTAAATCAAGCTAATGTCAAAGAATACGAGACTGTCCCTCAATCGTCTTGTCGTACTATTTGACGAATATCTAAACCTGTGTGTTGTCGGTTGATTCCCGCTCTGTCCCTTCCCTCCTCACAACGACGACAATAAAGCCCACTGCCAGAGAACAGATCAGAGCCAAGACAGACATCCACCACCCGAAACCAATACTTGACGTAGCAATAGGTGAGACAACGGTACCAATGGCAGCCAGGACATTGCGGACCAAGTTGAGATCAGCCACGACTGAAGCACCAGCTCCTGGCTTGATGTCAACAAGGAAAGGCATGACAGTGGCCGTGACAAGCATGAGCCCCAGGCCAAACAAGAAAGCTCCGACAAGAGGAGCGATCCAAAACACCCTTTTCTCTATCAACCAACCGTAGATGATCAGTCCAGCCGGGATAAAACCAACGCCGTACCAAACTGTCTTGATCCTTTCGATGGGACGGATTGCTCCGTCGTGGCTGTTCTGGTACTGGCGTAACTTCGCATCGCTCAGTTTACCTCCGACGACACTTCCGATGGCGTATCCGAGACAGTTGCTGATGTAGCAAAGACCAATTTCGATGGCTGAAAAGTTGTAAGATGGAGCAGCATATGCGTATGGAAGTGTCGTGTTGAAGCAGTAGAGGCTTGCGAAGCAGATGCTCACATATGCAATAGTCAGGGCAATGGAAGGAACCATCAAGAATTTCAGCTTAGGGAGCGGCGCTAGAGCATCGCGTTTGAGGATCTGGTGCCATGGCTTAGGCTGCTCAGTAGTGGATTTGACCAGTGTCTCGGGCAAAACCAACAGGGTGAGCATGGCAGCGATGAAGGTGAAAATGGCCATGAAGTACAGATTTGCACGCCATCCAAGCCAAACTTGCAAAGCACCACCGATGATAGGCGCGACCAAGGGTCCGATGAGTGTTCCCAGGTAAAACCAGCCCAAAGCTGATCCACGCTCAGTCGAGATGTAGATATCGCTAATGACGCCAGCACCAACGCTTTGAGCAGACGAGCAGCCCATTGCCTCGATGAGCCGAAACACGATGATGAGAGGAAGGGAGTTGGAGACTGCGCAGACAATCACAGCCACCGTTGAAAAAAGGAAGCTTGAGACTAGAACTGGTCGACGGCCGTACTGCTGGCTCAGAGTACTCCACCACAAAGGAGCAATAGCCAAGCCAAGAAGGAAGACAGTTGTAGTAAGTGCGACCTTTGTCTCAGTGGTGTGAAAGTAGTCGACGAGAGTTGTAAAGGATGGGAAGAGAATGCACGAGGCAAAAGGTGCCGTGAATGCAGACAGAGTGGTTATAGCGACGATGGCGTGCTTCTGCCATACAGAATGGGTAGTTGGATCCTCTCGTCTATTTATCAAGCAAAATCTATCAAACCATGTTTGGTAGAGATGTTTGGGCTTTTCGTTGGAAGCAGTTTCTGACATTGTTTCTAAGGGATGAACACTGTTGAAGCTTAGGGGTTTGTGTTGAGAAGGAAGAGTGAGAGTTGATCTGAGAGTAATATGAGGAGTAAGATGTAAGTCAAGTTAGACAATTGCGTCTGTTTATATGTTGAAACTTACAGCACTAATAAAACTTCTCCTGGTTTGATGATGCCATTCCGGGTTTTCGGGACTTTCAGCTATCGGGATTCCTCAAAATAATCCCGATGCGCTTAGTGATTGGACCAATGGCAGCCGCAACAGGCTTGTAAAATGCCTCTAAAATCTGACAAACATACACCGTAAGCATGCTAAAACTTCGTCAGCTTACGCTAAAACCTGCGGGACTTTCTGATCGGGGATTTCTACTTAAATACTTCCAATCCCCGATATCCCGATGAAACAAACTCCCGCATTTCACTCACCTAAAATGAACAGAAGCTGCGCCAGTTGCGCTACATCAAAGGTCCGATGCGATCTCGACAAGAAGGGTCTTCCATGCTCGCGATGCCAGCAGAAGAATTTGTCCTGCGTGCAAGCTGGGAGGAAGAAACGCATGAGGAAAACGACGTCTAGCAGCATCAGTTCGAACCCATCGCCTGAGGTGATTACCCAGCAAAATGAACAGCAGCTACCGCTCGATCAAAATGTCGGTTGGCCATTCTTCGACACCTCATCCTTTGGTGAGATCGACTTTCTGTCACAGCTTGTCGACATTGAGAGCATGGTTGACATGAGCAATTGGACATGGAGTCCTAGCGATATGACATCGACCATCGGCGACAATACATTGCCTGACAATAATGATCCCTGGACAGGTGCAAGAACAAATGACGGATTCATCTGCCCAGATAACTTCCGACTTCCAGCCGACTTCCTTCTTGAGCTTGATGGCCCAGAGACCATTCCTGTGCATCGTCTTGAGACGCTGGCCAGGCTCTTCTTCTCGCACTTTCACCCTTCACTTCCTCTATTGCATATTCCAACGTTCTGTCTGGCTTCATCACCTTCTTTTCTCATTCGAGCAATTTGCTTCATTGGTGCTGGCTTTGATAAAGATCCTACTTCTACAGCGGAAGCGAAGTTACTCTACGGCTCTCTTCCATCACAGCTGGCTAAGTCCTGTCTTCGCTCAAACGGAAGCTCGCCAAACTTTCAAGAGCTACAAGCTTTGGTACTGCTACAATTTGCTGCTATGGCGAATGGAGGAAGTGCCGAAAGAGCTGCGTCGAGGCTAATACACCCTCTGCTTGTCGCGGCAATACGCCACGAAGGTCTTCTCAAGGTTCACGGCGAATGTACCAAAGCTACACGCAATGCATATTTTTGGACATCCTGGATACAGAAAGAGTCGAATAAACGAGTGCTATGGGGCGTGTATGCAGTCGACTGCTACCAATCGATACTTTGTGGCAGTAAGCCCATCCTATCCCCGACAGATACGAGGGCATCGTTCCCATGCGACGATGCCAGCTGGACGGCTTGCTCTGCATCTCTATGGGCTTCATTACCAGCTCAAGATCCTTCTAGCTGTTTCCTGACCTCCGTTAAAGGCCTCATGGTAGGCCATGCTCCTGCTGAGACAAATCTGACTGATTTTGGGATGAATCTTTTGATCTTAGCAGTCAACTCGCTTTTGGTCGAAGCTCAAACTTCAATATTACCTGTCGATACTTCAGCTCTGGACTTGGCACTACAGACTTGGTATGCATCTTGGCAACAATATCAAGCGCAGCCTCGGAGCCTTTGTGCCAGAACAGCAACCTCTATCCTTATTACGAATAGCCTGTCTTTATATCGCTTGGGAGTCCACTTTATCAGAAATGGGCGGCCTGTACTGGATGAAAAGGCTTATCTGGAAAGGTCGACTGACACTCGGAACCCTCTCATTATCAAAGAGCAAGTGTATCAAGACGAAATGATGAAATATGTAAGGAGAGTCCTTAATGTGTTTGAAGAAGCATAATTCCAGAATCTTGGACTTGGATAGAGTGAGATGAAACCATAAGATTCTGACATTAATGTCCTCAACGTCAAGCAGCCCTACTATAATTCAACGCCATAGCCAATAGCTCCGTGCTGACGCTCGTTCTTCCGAATAATATTAAATACAGTGGTGTGCCATCCTTTATATGTCTCATAAGTCAGCGGAGGTGCGCAAACTGAAGTCTTCAGCTGCAGCAAGTACCAACCCAACATAAAGGCCTCAGCCTGACTGCATAAGCCATCTGTACTACCATATCATACCGGTGCGCCATTAAATATCAGGCTCGGAGCTGAAATCTGCCGGGCCTCGTTTGTGGCAAGATACTTAGTGATCTGAAGCCTAAGATCATAAAGATTCTAGCTGGAATGTGAGCACTATACCGACATCACTTACTTCTCCTTGTCCTACAAAGTATTCAGCTTCAGCTTGAGTAGTACACAAAATACGAACGCAGATATTCCTGTGTAATAAAGGGCTCAAGATAGATCCCCTCTCAATGTCGGCCTCTATCGTGGCTCTCGTGCAAAGTGTCGCATTCATCAATAAGGGCATGCGCTATATCGCTTCCGTGCGCAAAGCGCCGGTCCAGTTTCTCGATCTTCAGAACCAGGTTAGTCATATTATCCCCCCATTAATTCCGTCTGTCTAGGGAAGCATCATTCCATAGCTTCTCGGCATGGTGCTGATTCTTACTCAGTTAGAGACCATCCATGGCTACCTGACCGATCTGCAACAGGTGCTTGACAAGCTCTCGTCCAAGGACGCCCCTCTTCTCGCGCCAGACTTGTCGCATATTACAACCATTTTAAACGCCCTGGAGAAAGACGTAGCTGAGTTGGAGCTGATAGCTTCCGAGTATAGCGCATAGGCCGATAATCGCACCGACTCCAAAGGTTGCCGCCGGAATCCTAAGTTCCAGTGGTGCAGAGATTTGCAACTCATCAACTCGTTCCGACAAAGGGTTGTGCAGAGAAGGACTGACTTGGTCGAGAGCATACGCATACTATGACCAACTCAAAAGTGAGCCTTATGTTTCCCCGCGATTCATTGAGAAACTGACATTTATGCCAACAAGCCTTGCACAAGCGACACTTATGCTAGATATCACGGACCTGACGAAGACAAGGCTTGATGACCTCAACAGCTTGGTCAGCGAATCGTCCCAGAAGTCCGAGTTCTCTCTTTCAAATTTGTAGTGCAGTCTTCCGGTGGCGGCGAAACCAATAGCTTTGCAGCTGAACACACCCCCAGGAGAGCCTCGACGCCCCGCCGGTGAGGAGAAGATAAGAACATGACACACTGCAGTTACGGTGTATGCTTGAAATGAGGCTCTACTTGCCGGTGCAACGCTGGTCAAGCCCGATTTGCGGCTCTGGTCGATGACCTGCCGCGCACGCAGATAAATGTACAGTCTTTCTGCGTTTCTCAACACGCCATTGCAGAGAGTGATCGCTTTACCTGCAGAGTCAGTGGAAAATCTTGGAAAAGGTCCACCGCGCCAATATGATGAGCTAAAGCAGTGTCATGTTTGAACCAGACAAGCACCTATGCTTTCGGAAGCCCGACTTGGTTTACACCTGGGCTGACCTAGGGTTAGGTGAGGGCGCAGGCGTGTCTCCATTTTGCGCTGCAGAGCCTTTTCCTCTCTTCAAGCCCCAGATGAGATATCGCCCTGCGGCATTAACTCAGAGGCGACTTCGAGCAGCTCTGATGATATGGGGAAGATACTCGGTTGGCATAAAGGCAGTTATACTTTTAGCTGCATCCTCATGCTGAGCAACACTGGAAGGGTAACGGGAGGGGAAATTGTAATGGAACGTGCAGACGGAAAGCTTCACAAGCTGCGACAGTGTGAGACTGGTTCAGTTGTCTTCATTCAAGGAAGGCACGTGGTCCATACCGGTCTAAGGTCTGATGGGCCCGATGTCCGTATGGCCATGGTGTGCCCCATGTGGCCCTCCTCGCCTTTTGTTCGAGATGATACTTTCTTGATATATACGCGAACCATCTCAGATACCTCTGAGCTCTATGGACAGTATGTTGAGTATCGTTTCAGCATGCTCATGGAGCGACTCCGATCGTGCGGGAACAAAGTCTTGACGATCGTCAAAAGGGGACAAAGTTGGACACTGGAGAATTGAAGGCTTTCATTCAGGAGCAAATGACGTTCCTTGGCAAGATGCAGAATGAAATCGTGGAAGAGGACAAGATAGATAATTGGGGCTATAGGGAATTCCTTATCCGGAAGTTTTTCTTGGCATCAATGCCTAAGGAGACTTGTTACTCGTCAGGTTAGGAATAATCTGTACAATAACTCTACACCGTACTCAAATTGAAATTCGGTGAAAGCTCAACTACTCATTCTTTTTTATGCCGCAGTTACCTCAAATGTAGACACCAGCTTCCATGAGCTGGACACCACCGAGTTCCGCAGCCAGCTCTGCTACAAGCGGCCTTGAGAATTCCTCCACGGGGCGGGATATGAAAACATCAGCACATAAATAGCCCTCATTATCGAGACCAGTTGGATCCAGTCCACGCGCAACTACATGTGCGACAGCGTCCCTCTACTCCTTGGCAGAGGCGAAGCGGCGCTGGCGAAGCACAACACCCGGAAGCCTCTCCGTCACGAGCCCATGTTCTCTCAATGTAGCCGCGATCTCGTCGTAGGAAGATGTCAGAATCACAGTGCTAGCCACCTAGAGGTTGCTTGATCTACTGATTGCAGCCACTATGCGGGCGAAGGTGCGGGAGCTCACGTAGCCAACACCGCCCGTACAGATGACAAGACTCACGTCCTGCAGCGCCTTGCGAAGATCCGGAGAGGGATCCTGGACCTCTAGATCCTCGACCCAACCAGCGTCGATTAAGCCGGCGCCCAAGGCGTAGCGAATAGCCTGATCTGCCTTGTCAAGCCCAAACACCACGGGCTTGGAAGACCGTTCCCGACTCCCAAAGATCTCCTTGTCTGCCAGAACCTGCTGCTTGGAATTCAGCTCCGAGCCCGTGTAATGGGCGGTCCAAGTATCGATGTCCACATGGTGCCGGAGCAGACCTCCATTGATTCCGTATGAGCAGCAGATGTCTAAAATTGCGGAAACGGTCGTCCCCCGACAAGAAAATTGATGAAGCCGCTGGAACAAAGGTAGCGCTTGCTGCGGGATTGTATATTGCAGGGGCGCTAAGGTTGTAAGATATCCCCGCGGGTCTTGATGGTTGTATAAATCGGTAAAGTTAGATTTCTGGGCGACAGCGGATTGATTCTGGTTGTTAGCCATTGCTGAGTACTGTTCGCAGTATCTGTGAAAGGACAGAAGAAAGAGTTGGTTGAAAAGAAGGATATGCCCGCTCTTATATAAACCCAGTCTGACGTATAGCTCACTTGTCCCAAGGAAACTCCGAGATACGGTGGGGGCGTCAAGGTCAGACCATAAACCGTTCAATCATTATCTCGAAAGGTGCTGTTGTATTGATATGGTAGCCTCAATATGCATGCCAAGACCCTGTAGGTTGGACCGGTGAACACGGTGAGGCTGAATCACCCCCGCCTTATCCACTTGATAAGAAGTTACAATTGTATATATACATCTACGTGGCTTGGTGTAACTCAAATGCTCTGCTCACAAGGTCTCTGACGGCAGAGTGGCATCTCTGTCTATGCCAGGATTGAAGTACTATGGTAGTATACAGCAATACAGGGTTTATGATTTGAGCCTCTGTATTATGTGTGTAGTGTAGACCTGGGTTTTATTACAGAGCTATATGCACCATGTAGCTGTGGGTTTGGCTCTTATGTCATAAGCATCTTCGTGTGGATTACTTCCCTATCTATCATACCGGCGTGATATCTGCTGGACGACTCGACAGGTACGGCTTGAACCAGACAGCACGAGATCCTCTCCGGTCCCCCCTGGCCGATGCAGTAAAATAAGATGGCAGTATTCAAAACGCGCGAACGGTTTGTCACCCTCTAAACCGGCGCGCAATCATTATGTCAGGGGTTCAGCGGTCTTTTCTTTCGAACTAGGCTACAGCGGTTCCAAAACAAGGTCCCAGGTAGTTATCTTTCCCACCTTCTCCCCCAATGTCGAGATCAGGGAAGCCTCGTATGCATAAGGGCGAGGAGCAGGAACTACTGAAGCTAGACCTACTACTAAAGACCTCGCAAAAACCCTTACCAAATAGTCGCCTACATTCGTTTGCGTTGCGATTTGAGGTGTACTTGCAATACGAAAGAGCGGAACCCTTGCATGTCGGCGGTCCTGTGGTCGAGACAGCAGCAGTGAATTATACGAGAATGCTTTAAATCTTCATCTTGGCCAAGGAAATTATAACCTGTACAAGAAAGAGAGACTGTTGGAAGATAAAGGAGAGATCGAGGATTTGGCTCATGTTTATATCTCCTCATCTAAGCCCTACCTACATCCCTTGTCCTGCTGCATTAATAACATGTTATGTTGCTTGTTAGTTGTTGTGAACAATTCCAGTGTGAAGGTTTGTCTGGACCTAGGAGAAACCTAACAAATTTTGGCAAGTCTATCACGGTCATCTGTTGGTAGCGTAACAACAGCCAGCATACTCCGTAGCGCGAAAAGCATAACCGAGCGCCATTTCCAATGGACCCTGTTTGTGATTTTTCCTGATTGTCAAATGGCAAGCTCTTATAGTAAAGATGCTGAAACTGTGAGGAAGCGTTAAACATAAACGCTCCTCGCGCAGCCGTGGCATGGGTAAGGATCGAGTATCCAATATGAACCCTAAACTTCATCAAATTGCCAGTTGAGAAACTGGGTTATCTCAAGTAGAAATATATTGTTATCCATAAACCCAGTATTTGACTTTAATGCTCATTTCTGAGTCGAATAAAACATCATTCCAGTACTGCCATTAGTTGCAATATTCCTGAATCGTATCAGCTCACTTCACTTTGACAAAATTGTTATCCGATAGTAATTCTTCCCCCAATATTATGCCGACAGCTTAATCTCGGTCAACTAATTCTCGTGATCACTTTCGATTCTGTCCGCGCTCTTGAAGTGCCTGATTCTCATCAAAAGGCCTAAAGTAATCTTTTCTTCGCAATCAGACAGCGACAATTGTTCCAGAACTTCTACTGTACTCGGAACAAGGTCCCCGCTACGCCACCTCTGCTGTCAACTGTATTTAGATGAACTCAATCGTAAGCTAATTCGCTAGTGTTCAATTGATCCACAAACTGCCGGCATTGAAGGATTACATGCCCAGCCTCCATCGTGAGTTATGACAATCGTTCAGGCTTCAACTAGTCACACATTTCCAACACAACACAAAAACGTGTCGCGCGCTTCATCTTCTGCTCTTGGTTTCTCGGGGACGTATTGCACGAGCACGCGATAACTGACGAAAAAGACTACGATGTTTGCCGACATCAGTCAGTCAATGACTCAGGCAGCCGATCCCTGTAGAAGCGGGGGAATGTTAAGCTTGATTACTCAAAACTCAAGCTTATTATCCCACGTCCAAGAGAATCGTTACGCAAGAACCTCTACCCATCAAACCCCATCAGGCAGGTGAATAACCGTACCGATCCCTCCCCGCAGCAAAGCCAAGTAGCCAAGCCAGCTTAGCCATTGGCCAACTCTGGGGAGCTTCCCAAGAGGGTTACAACGGCAAGACATGACGACATTCGCGAGAGCTATCCCGAGCTCAGGATCGTAAGCTTACCGACTGGGAAAGGAAGTTCATCCATCATGATAAGAGCTTTGGCAAATCAAAGGCGTGCTTGGCTCGAGATGGGATCCTGTTTGTTGGGAATACCAAGGACCTAAGTGTTGTTTATGCAATGGTTCCATTGTAAGGTAACATGACACTGCAGAATGGGGTTGGTCATGTTTGCGAGGGTTGCATTTATATCCGAAGCTTCCCATCGCTCCACGATTGCTTCCCCTCCCAGGCAGATGCTATCGTAAGGCGTTGATAGTCCACCATGCATTTCCGACAGCTCTCGACAGTCGCAGCTTTCGCTGCTGGCGTATCTGCTTGCCAGCGTGATCTCGTCTTGGGCAAGCGACATACACATCGCCAGCCGCTGACCAGACGCAATGCCGATTGGCCTCCAGTTTTGACGGAGCAAGAAACTCTTCTTGTCAATTCTTTTGACAATTCCTCCATTGACAAGTGGTCTGACTACTACGGTCACCAGAATAAGTTGGCTGGCTACGGAAAAGAAGCTGCCCAGTGGACCGCTGATCGTTGGTCCGAGAGCGGATTTGATGCGCATCTGGCGGAGTACCATGTGTTCCTCAGATACCCAGTTAGTTCGTCTCTTTATTTCACCGGCCCCAATGGTACAACGACCGAGGTGAACACCAAGGAGGAGGTGCTTGAGGAAGATGATGTTACAGGCTGGAATGTGCTTTCACAACAGACCTGGTTGGCGTACTCACCGACTGGAAATGCTTCTGCTGAATATGTCTACGCCGGGTAAGTTGAGAGCTCAATGGGCCTGGATGTTCATCACTGACGTTTGGGCGCTAGCCGAGGCTCAATTGACGATTTCGATCGGCTAGTCGAGCTTGGTGTTGATATCAAGGGCAAAATTGCTCTCATCAAGTACGGTGGCCTATTCCGTGGTCTCAAGGTCAAGAACGCTCAAGATCATGGTGCTATTGGTGCCATCATCTTTACTGACCCTGGTGATGACGGCAACATCACAGTCGCAAATGGCTACGAGGCTTACCCTGGTAAGAATTCTCATTTGGCAGCTATGAGGACATCATGCTAACTGAACGCCAGATGGTCCTGCCCGAAACCCAAGCTCTGTCCAAAAAGGCTCAACACTATTCTTGTCCACCCGCACCGGCGATCCTACAACTCCTGGCTACCCTTCCAAGAAGGATTCGCCTCGAGCTGATATCTCTGAGGTTATCGCCAAGATCCCAGCTTTGCCGATTTCTTATTCGGCTGCTCAGCCTCTGCTGCAGGCTCTCAACGGCCACGGTGTTACCGCTGAGAAGGTGAACCGTACTGCGTGGACAGGCGGCCTCGATGCCGAATACAGCTCTGGTCCTGCACCTGGTGTGAAACTCGCTCTTAGCACCGTCTCTCGTGACTCTATCGAGCCAGTGCACAATGTCATTGGCGTTATCAACGGAACCAATGCTGATGAAACTATCATCATTGGAAATCATAGAGATACATGGATGGTCGTAAGTCAACCCGCAAGTAGAAACTCACAAAGTTCGTTACTGACTAATTAGGGCGGTAACGGAGATCCCAACTCTGGTTCTTCGATCCTGATTGAACTTGCCCGCGCATTCAAGAAGCTCACTGATTCAGGCTGGAAGCCCAAGCGAAACATTGTTCTCGCATCTTGGGATGCTGAAGAATGGGGTATCATTGGCTCTACTGAATGGGTTGAGGAGCACGTCAACTGGCTCACCGACACAGCTGTCTCTTATCTGAACATTGATGTCGCTGTCAGTGGTCCTCGACCTAACCTCGGTGCTTCCCCTGAGCTGCATACCTTTGCTACTGAGGTTCTCAAGAAGATCGTTGATCCCAACTTTGGTGGCTTCAATCAGTCCCTCTATGATGCTTGGCACGCTGCCAGCGAGGGAGACATTGAGATCCTGGGCTCTGGTTCTGATTACACTGCTTTCTTCCACCGTGGTATCAGCTCTCTCGATACTGGAAGCAGTGGAGGTGCCGGTGATCCTATCTGGCACTACCACTCCAACTACGACACCTATCACTGGATGTCAACTTTTGGAGACCCCGGATTCCATGTCCATACCGCTCAGGGTCAATATCTTTCCCTGCTGGCTTACCACTTGGCCTCTGATGATATCCTTCCCTTCGACACTCAAAATTACGCCAAAGAGCTTCGTGCATACTACGAGGATCTTGTTGAGTATGCCGAGAGCAAGGATGCCGATCTTGATCTTGGTGAGCTTGACGAAGCCATTGAGCACTTCAAGAAGAGTGCCGATGAGGTCAAGGCTCTTGAGAATCTTGCCCGTGAGCGCGATGATGATGTCCTCAAGAAAGTGGTCAACCATAAGTACCGCGACTTCCAGCGAGGTTTCATTTCCCAAGGCGGTCTGCCTGACCGTGACTTCTATAAGCATGTCGTCAACGCCCCTGGTCTCGACACTGGCTACGCTGCTGTAACCTTTCCCGGTATCACTGAGGGCGTTCAGTACGCCGAAGATGGTGACTTCTCTGTTGCTCAAGAATGGGTCAAGAAAACTGCTCGTGGTATTGTCGTTGCTGCGAACATTCTCAAGACATAAACGGAGTTAGGCAAGAGTTGGACGGGGAGTGACTTCACTTCAAATCAATCATTTATGAACCTTACGATCTCATGGTT